TCTTCATAATAATAATAATATATTTTCTTAGAACATTTTTCATCTGAAAAAAAAAATTGCAATTGAAGAATAGATCAAGCATATAAATTAAATTAAAATCATGAGAAATAAAACAGCTCATCTTCATAATAATAATATAATATATTTTCTTAAAACATTTTTTCATTTGAAAAAAAAAAATGCATAGAATAGATCAAGCATTTAGAACGGTATAACGCTGTTCATGTTATCATCAAGTTTATTCAGAACTTCAACCAAGACATTTGAGATGATCGGGACATTCAAAAGGGCTGTCACTATGTTTTCTACCAACGGTATCGCAAAGAATACTTTCAATGGCCCACTTTTCCATATTTCAATTGAAGTTACGGGATCCGATGTGGGGTCACTCTGTTTCGTTTCTCTCAAGGTATTCAGAGATTTTACTGTAAAAAAAAATAAGGTCATACAGGTATCGTGGAAGACAATATTGAACTATCATCAAACGTCAAATAGTTACTTGTTTTACTAGGCTAGGCATTACATCTTCTTTTCTGTCATGTGAAACATATAATTTTTTCTCCAAATTCTTTTCAATTTCACGCAAAGTCTAAATAATCCATCATTTTTTATTCACCCAAAGTCATTGTCAATTTTGATTACCAATTTGATTCAAATTACTTGGAACGTTGCTTAGCAAATGCCTAGGCAGTAAAAGTACACTTTTTCTGCCTGTTCAGTGTCACCAGCGGAGAAGAAAGTGTAAAGTTGCTAGGAATCTTGTCCCTTTACATCCGCTAAGGGAAAGCAAATCAATCAATTTATTTTCTATACGTTATTCATTTGAGAATAAATTTTGGACGTTCGTAAAAAAAATTGCATGTATTCGAAGGAAATGAATAATACGACTTAGTGTGACAGAAAATTCAACTTTGCTTTCATTAGACGAGAGAAATTTGAGTAGGTATACCTATATGATTTTTCTTTATCAATGAGTTGGTTATTAATTTGAGTTCGGTTATGAAATATTAAGTCATAACAGGAAATTAATTTATTGTGCTCTCTACAAATACTATGAAGTACCGAACCTAAGCATAAAAGAGTGTATAGTAGTAGAAAAAGTATAGTACTAAACTCTTTTTTGATGTGACCAATACCCATTTTCGAGTTTTATGAGAAAATTACCTAGCCTACCAAGGTGCTGCAATTGCACAAAAAACAAAATATTTCCATTATTGTTCATCAGTGAGTAGTTGTTTTTTCTATTTCATTGACTATGTATAATGTAAATAAGAATGTTTCACATCAGTGACAGAATATGAAACCAGCTATGATTTTACATCAAGGAATATGACTGATTAATTTTTTTTGAATATTAGTGAAAATATGAATCTAGTAAATCAAATATCTTACCACGCTGTTGCTCACTCAATTTCATGTGGCAAAATATCACACATAGGACTAGTATGATTTTTGGAATAGCCATTTTCAAATTTGCTGCCTTTTCGACTATTGTGAAAATTCAAGTGATTCTTTGCTATTATGTCACGCTGTTTTGTGTGGGCATTACAATCGCTCGACATTTTTATTGCTAATTGAATTTGTATCAATAAATATCAATATCATTTTATATATCAATATCAACAATAATTGAAAACATTTCCCGATATACTCAAGTACCAAAACATGAAACATCGAACATTCAGTCACAAATGGAAAATTTTAATAAGAAGCAATTCCAGACATATTTCCATAGGAACTTTTTTTTTGAAAAGACTTGACGAATCACCCTCTCTGATGTTTCGTCGAGTGTTTCGTACTGTAGTTAGAAAACAACCTGTATGAACCACGGTACAGAAGACAATTCTTGTCTCTCCTTTATTTTATAGAGAAGAATGCCTTATGTACAGGGTGTCTCCGTATATTTTGAACTCTATAGTCTCTACCTACAGTTTCAACTGTACGAGGTGATGGAAAAATCTTTGAATAATATTAAAGTTGTAGGGTTTTATATGCACTATCTGTTGGCACTTCCTATAATTAAACAAATGCGAATCGCAAAACAGAACATAGGTTCCAAATATGTTTTTGTTGATGGAACCCTGTATATTTTCAACTCTAGTGAAAGATATTTTTTCCCTGTTCACAAATATACCTAGTTTGCTAAAATTTCCTCTAGCCATTTTTCACTTATTTTACATTGAATCAAAGCTGCCAATAACATTTAGACGGCTGTGGGCATAACAGAAATGCCATGGAAACAAAACAGGCATTTTTTGACATCTCTGTCAGTTTTCCAATAAAAATGGGCTATTCCATATAGTCGAAAACGGCTTTTAAGGGACCATTAACAAACTATATAGGTATACAGTGCTTTTCTTTAATGTCTCCCTATCCCTTTTATTTTTTGAACGGGTCAACGAAAAAAAATTGAAACTTGGGGTAATGAAATTGATGCATGAAAACTATATATTATGAAGTAAAATTGACAGACGAATATTTCAAGACGGCGACGGAAAAAAAAATTTGATGGGAAGCTTCTGATGTATACCTACTTCACAATCCTAGAAAATAAAGTCAATATATTTACCTTCTATCAATATTGAATATATGACAGAGAGTGACTAATATTTGTAGAAATATCGACGTAACTGTGTTCGAAAGTGTTCGGCGTGAAATATCTGATACGCTGTTTTTTTGTCAAGAAGTTCAAGGCAACCATTTCGAGCATCTTCTGACTGAACACAGCTTATTTCCTCAAATTATGTAGTAAACGTCGATTTATTCAGCATACAATTATTAAACGTTCCGCCATTTTGTACTAGGTGAAGAAATTGACTTTACATTCTAGGATTGTGAAGTATTCGTCAGGAGTTTCAAGAAGATGTATCACAAGACCCCCTTTCCATTTAATTTTTTTTCCAGATGGCGCCCAGCCGCCATCTTGAAATTGAAGAAAATCACTGTATAAACTGGGCGTCAATTGAAACGTTAATAGTAAAATTTGGCATCAAATTTGCCTTCTCGAAATTTCTAAAATATTGAACGAATTTTGAATTGCCGCCCAGATTCTGAATCTCTTGTTCATCGTCTTTCGAACCGTTCCTTACAGCTTCTTCTAAATTGATCAGGACCCATGATACAGGGTGAAAGAAAGTTGCTCATATTTTATTCAGGCATTTCATAAATAGCAACCATACCTCGGGACGTTTTCGAGTTTTTGCCAAAAACTACTGTGGTTTCCGAAAAATTTTTTTTTGCATTTTTTTTAATGGACTAATCACCTTTATCCTCAAAACGATGAATTAGAGTCTATTTATTGTCATGACTGACTTATTGAAAATGGTACTTAAATGAATTTGGGTATATCCTAATCGTCGTGACCTGAAATAATAATTATCTGTACTGAAATTATCGTTTATATCACTATAGTGATCTTACCTAATGATATTTTCCATTTTGACCCGATTTGAACGAGGAATCTAAATTTTTGAGGAATCGAATAATTATTACACTGACGTTTTCATGAAAATTGGCAATTGATATAACCTCTATGCATACCTACATTGTTTCAACAATACGTTGTTATAGAAACAAGGTATCGTTGTTTGTTTTTGTTGATGAGATGTGTTGATTTTCTGCTCACTAAGGTAGAAAACTTTCATCATAGACTGCGAAGTAATAAATTATTGATTGTTTTTGAGTAACCTGGTATACATATCTGCTCCAACGCTTTCCTGAAATGCATGAAAGCATCCATTTATGGAACTCCTCTAAAATTAGTCCAATTAAAAAAAAAAGCAATAAACATTTTTTTTTTCGGAAACCACAGTAGTTTTTGGCAAAAACTCGAAAACGTCCCGAGGTATGGTTGCTATTTATGAAATGCCCGAATAAAATATGAGCATCGTGATCTTCCGACAAAATGGGGGGCGGAGAAATTTTTTTCAAAATGCACGAAACTTTGTTTCACCCTGTATCACGGGTCCTGATCAATTTAGAAGAAGCTGTAAGGAACGGTTCGAAAGACGATGAAAAAGGCATTCGGAATCTGGGCGGCAATTCAAAATTCGTTCAATATTTTAGAAATAACGAGAAGTCAAACTTGATGCCAAATTTCACTATTAACGTTTCAATTGACGCCCAGTTTATTTGTGATCTGAAGAAAATTCTTCCACAAAAGTTGAAAATATACAGAGTGTTCCATTTGAAAAAACTGATTTGGACTCTTTTTTTCTATTTGAGATTTGCATTTGTTTATGAAACCCTACAACTTTCATATTCGAACGTTTTTTTCCACCTCATCGTATAGTTGAAGCTGTGTAGGAAGGGGTCAAAATATAAGGAGACACCCGTACACCTTGGTAGGCAATAGTATAGGTATATAATTTCTATTCGGACGGTGAAACAAGAATTTAAAAAATAGGGCAAACTCCGAATCTTCAATTTTTATTTATTTATTTTTTTTAGTTGATGTTGGATAGTTTATTTTACATCCTGTATATCAGTTTACCCTGTATACAGATTATGTTGTTAACGAGGAGTTGAATCAATAGTTCAGTTGTTAATTTTCGATTAATATAATAATCGTTAAAAATATAGTCCTATATATTTTTAGACATTATAAGCTACAGTTTTATAAGCCAACCTTTAAGACAATATCAGTCATTACAGTTGACTCGTCCGATACTTGATGGAAATCCATAGGAAGATGTAAAAACTTCACAAACGATAAGATTTTCACAACATTTTTAATCGCATGACATGTTTCGCTAACACAGTAGCTTCATCAGGTGCAATACTGGTACAATGAACTAAACTAACCTTGGCTTGCCTAACTTTTATATATCCTACTTTCCCAACCTGAAGGATTAGAATTAACTGTGGAAAGGTTCGATAAACTTTCATTTTCGGAAAATAGGCACAACATCTATATCAAAATACAATGTACCGGATTAATTTGAAAGGGTTGATAGCTAATTCATATTTATTACCTACTAAAAAAAACAAATTCAACACTGGTGAACTATTATTAAGGTCTAGTTGATTGTTATTGATCCGAATCATCTATTTTTCAGCATTATCGAATAAATCTCATCTCTGAATCGAACGCTTATATCCATCTTCAGTTTCTTATCTTCCAGCTTGCCCTCAGATTGCACCTCGAAATTTTGCAAAATCGTCACCAACAGAATTTTCAACGCCATGTACGCGTACGGTTTACCTGCAATCAATCACCATTCGAAACAAAAAAAAATGTCTTGTGACGTCATATCTCACCGATGCACCCTCTGGGACCCGCGCTGAAGGGAAGGAAAGAATAAGGGTGTCTGGAACGAACAGCTTCTGGCATAAAATGTTCCGGGTAGAATTCCTCTGGTTTTTCCCAAAGCCTCTTGTCTCTGTGGATGTTGTAGATTGAAACCATGACTGAACAACCTTTGGGGATCAACCAGTCATCTTGAAATAAATTAAATATATACAGTGGACACTGTTTTACCGCTATAACGAAATCGATTTTTTACACATTGACATGTGTTTCGCTATGTTAGCATCGTCAGGAGAAGATTAAAACTAAATGCTCTATCCAAGAGGGCTATTTATATCGTAAGTACTTAGTATATAAGTACCTAGCCGTTACCACCGATACAACAAGGCCAGCAGACTCTGACGTAAACAGCTCGTGACGTCACCAAGAGAGGCCAGTGTTTTATTTTATCGCTTGTCGACTAACGCGTCAGTTCGTGTTAATTCATCGGTGATTCACGTATGTTTTTGAACTGGTCCCGAATTCTTTTGTTGTTTATTCATCAAAATAATTGGCGGAAAAATTACTGTTTTGTGAAATATTTTGTGTTGTGATCGGCGAAATAACAATGCCTTTCAAGTGTTGTGTTCCCTTTTGTCGGGGGAATTATGTGGGTGGTTCAAAAGTTCATGCTTTTAGTTTCCCGTTGGACGAGGAGCTATCGAAAATGTGGGTATATGCAATTCACCGCGAGGATTTTACTCCATCTAAGTTCAGTAGTAAACAGAGCTTAATTTATAATGATGAATTAATAATAGAAGACAATTACTCTCTCATAAAAAGTATAAGTAGAGGAAAAATAGAAAAGCTTTGATTGTGCAGTTAGTTTTGTATTCGTATATTATAGTCAACAAAATCATCTCTGTCGAACATTTTATCTGATGATGATTATCTTCTTTTCTTCAAACGTTGAACACGTGTAAGGGGATCCAAATGTGATTTTAAAATGTTTTGGCTGGTCAGAATTCAAGAAAAGATTTTTTGTAACCAACTTCGGAGTTCTAATCGATGATTTCTCAAGTGTAACACTCTGAATAATAGTATATATGGTTAAATATGTTCAGAATCACATTACCTATCACCTCCTTTCAGATATACTATACGTCAGTGAACCAAACACTCTGTATAACTACCGGATGACACGAAACTACCCTCTGTGTCTTTTAATTAGAGCTGTAAGTGAAGACATGATAATTCACAAGAAAACAATGGAAAAAATTAAAGAGATATTATACAATATCTTCAAAAATAAATGTTTTTCGAGTTGCAGAAATGCATTCCCAATGTATATTGAGCTGTTTGATTCTTCAAGACGTTTATTAATACAACGATTTCGTTTCATGAAAAAAAGTTGCTCTAACATTCTTGTATTATCATTCTAACAACTCACATTATAAATCCAAATTTGATCATTCAAAAAGTATTATCGCACTTGTATACAACGTAGATATTAATAATAATATAAGTATATTTTTCGAAGTAGCTGTTTTGTTACTTCGTCTTTTATTATCGACTTCATTTATCGCTCCAATTCGAGGATCACCCTGTATATTATAACCATACCTAACAAGAAATCTTCTTCAGCTTTCCTTACTATGAAGGCAGCAATTGGGAACAATCTCAAAACGTCTTTGATCACCATATCCAAGTATGTCAATTTGTCCAAGTGTTTTTCCTCGATGTCTTTGTCTTTTCCACCGACTACATCAAGTATCTCTTCAACTACTTTGCTTTGGATATGGGGGTACATTCCAAGGAGGACGATAGTAAAAGATACTATTGAGGTCATTGTATCTTCAGACTGAAAATATTGGGGATAGGTATTAAAAAAAAAAGATTATACAGGCATTCATTATCCGAATTCAAAAAACAAGAATGCGAATGAAAAGACTTATCAGATACCCAACAATCTCTTTTCCCAATTTCAACTCTGAAGCTTATACAGGGTGATAATGGAAACAGGCAACTAATATTTTCTAACATCAACAACCTCCATCTTTTTTTTTTATTTATTGTGGTGCGAACGAAAGGGAATTCCTATAACTAGGGAGGATAGGGAAAGAAGGTAGGAGTTGGAATTTTTTCTGAACTTCGGGAGATTATGAGTTCTTGGAAATACTTCCTCAGGCAATGTATTCCAGAGCTTTGTCCCGAAACATGCAAGTTTATATGACCTTTTCCTTTTATTTTTGGGAGTTATATCGCCTATCAAATTTTCCAGAGTTTGGCATGGTTTATACAGGGTGTTTCCGGAATTGGGGCTATAAATAAAATGAGATCTGAGACATATAATGACACGATGAATCACAAAAAAAAATAGTTTTCGGCGAATTTTACAAAAAATGTGAGTTCCCACCATACTGCATCTTTCAGCTATCATTGAACGTCCGCGGTAACGCATTGCAAAAGTTATTGATACTTCACGGTGCTTGGGATCTCGCCGAAAGCAAACGCTTGGGTTGGGCTATCAACCTCTGATCATTGATTTACAAAAATATCAGGCAAACTTTGAAGCTCAATACCTTCTTTTATTTCGTTTTATTTTGTGTCTTCTATAATCCATTTCATGTATTGGCTGAATTTCGGAAACACCCTGTATATATCATTATATATTAATAGGTTATTATTATTCTACTTTACTCACTGCTGAATATAAAGTAATGAGTTGATGTACCAAGTCTTCACCTCTTGCGAATTCTGGAAAGTTAGTGCGAATATCCAGTAAATGATGTATGATAGGTTTATATGAGTCATCCTCAGAGTATTCGTATTTACTCTGAATGTCTTGTACAACCTTTAAAATACGTTGAAAATGTGAAATGTGGAAAACAACTACTGAAAGTTTTGAATATCTCACTTTTCTGACGAATCCAACCACAACATGGATACCTTCTTCTTGTTCTTCATAGTAACGAGTCAGACGAAAAAATATTTCAATTTGAAGCCATATTTTTACAATTCTTGCATGTAATATAGTATACATCCTGAAAAAATATCAGGAATATTTTCTGAAGTCGCCCTATGAATGGGTATTCAAAACCAAAAAAAAACAACATGAAATTAATTTTTCAATTGGTACAGGACTATCAAAATACCGGGTGTTGTCGGGTTGTAGTGAAAAAAAGCCTGTTCATACATCGAAGGTAATTTTAGTTTGACTCATATTAATTATACAGGGTTGGCCCTTCGAAAACGAAACAGAGGCTCTGTACATTTTCGAGAGGGAAATCTTTCTAAAATATTTTCAGCCCTGCGGCGTTGCCGCTTTCAACGAAAAAAAGCAACAACTTTGTTATTTCAAATGGAACACCTTGTGTTTCATTTTACTATCTACTGTCATTTAATTGGAACAGATACAGGTTGATCAGAATTCTGAATCTTGAACCACCCTGTATTTGTTTAAAATAAATGTCAGTAGATAAGTGAATCGACAGTTGAGATAGGATTATATGAGCCGCTTTGACCAATGATGAAAATCCTAAAGTTGAAATATTTCGATTTTGAACACCCTATAGCTCCGGAATCATTGCCAGTGTGATGCATTGATGAAATCAGCTCTTCAGGGAGAATCTAAAAATGCAATGAAATACAAGGTGTTCCATTTGAAATAACAAAGTTGTTGCTTCTTTTCGTTGAAAGCGACAACGCCGCAGGGCTGAAAATATTTTAGAACGATGTACCCCTCGTTTTTTTGGCGACCTAAAGAGCCTCTGTTTCGTTTTCAAAGGGCCACCCTGTATAATGTTTACCGTGAGAGCATTTTTATGAATTTGTCCATTTCACCGAACTGGGCCCTGGTCGAAACACCCAAAATAGTTTCTGAAAATGAAAAAATTCTGGTGAATTCAAATGAGGGGTCACCCTGTAGACCATACCGTTCACAAAATCAGCACTGCATCTGTGGATCAATGGTTCAACGTTGAAAAATGAACCGACGTTGTCATTTCGAAGTATATCGATCAAAATTTTCGTGTGTTTGAGGATGTATGGAAAATATTTCACAATGTTTTTCTTTATCAATAACGGTGATATGAGGCGTCTATCTCTTCTCCATTTACTACCTTTAAAACGCATTTTTTTCAATAATTTGATCATCAAAATTTTCCACTTATTCGTACATACCAGATGAAGTAATTAGTCCTTTTCCATCAAATGGTTCCAAAAAACGGTACACGTCGTCTTTCGTTGAAAATTTCATCGTAGACATGATTTTCTGGTTCAAATTTTTGTCATAAAATATTGTTCAAACTGGAATAATGGTTCATACTGACCTGTGCCTGATCAACATCTGTAATCATCAATGCCAATTTCGGACCAAACCAAAGTCTCAATGGACTAGGGTAGTTTTTGCAGATGCTTGCAGCTCTGTCCAGAAGCTCTGAAAATCTCATTCTTCATTTTTCATTCTTCAAAGGACCCCGCACGAAAACACGGGAAATTGGCTCTCGGTCAAATTTGCTGAAATTATGCTATGTTGTTGTGGGATTGCTCATCAGAAAAATATGTGGGTTTAAAAAGTGTTGTATGTTTAGTTTCTGAGATATAAGCCGACGAAGTTCGTTAACACGTCGTATCGGGGTAGGATTGACAAAGAAAAAAACCGTTTTTTTAGTATAAATAACACAAAATATGCTAGAAAATGTATTGATCAGAACTCAAATACATGTCTAGTTATGATCACATAAATTATAGTAAATCAGGGTGTATACGAGGCACGGTCAAAAAATTCATTTTTCGGAAAAAAAATTCGAGTACTATTGCAAAACCAACAAGTTATATTTTGGTGACACATTATAGTTTTAGTCTATTGTAGGCTTCGAAAACGTAATTCCATTCATAATAATTATCTCTGTTCGAAATATGAATTCTTTGAATTTTGAAAAACAATTGACAGCTTGTTTTTGATCCCAAAAAAAGGATTGATTGATACTGTTGATTTTATGAAAGCTGAGGTAACTCACTAGCGAATTCAGTTGTTCAATATTGCTTTTCATTTAGATACAGGGTGTGTTAGATTTTGTTGAAGATTATTCAAGATGTTTCAATTGAATATCTCGAAAACAGTTCCGTTGATTTGGATCTCATTTCATTCACACTGTTTTGAATATGTTGACTATCATATGCAAGAAGTTTTTCAATGTTTTATGTTTCGTTTCTGAGATATGCATTTTCGAGTTTACAGTATTACAGGTATTATTAGGTTATTACCTCGGATATTACTATCGATTCAACAGAACTTTACGGAATCCATACTGTTGAGTTTCATATTGATATTCTATGTGGTTCGTCTTGTTGATAGTAAAAAATTATTGATTTCTAATAGTTTCATAATGTAATTGAATGTTTGAAAGATTCCGTAAAGTTCTGTTGAATCGATAGTGACATCCGAGGTAATAACCCTATAATACCTGTAATACTGTAAACTCAAAAATTGATATCTCAGAAACGAAATATAAAAAATTGAAAAACTGTTTGCATATGATAGTCAACATATTCGAAATAGTGTCAGTGAAATGAGATCCAAATTAACGGAACTGTTTTCAAGATATTCAATTGAAACATGTTAAATAATCTTCAACAAAATCTAACACACCCTGTATCTAAATGAAAGGCAATATTGAACAACTGAATTCGCTAGTGAGTCAGTCAGCTTTCATGCAATCAACAGTATCAATCAATCCCTTTCTTTGTGATCAAAAACAAGCTGTTAATTGTTTTCAAAAAGGGGTGTAACACAAAATTCTAAAAATTCATATTTCGAACAGAGATAGTTATCAAGAATCAAAATACGTTTTCGAAGCCTACAATAGACTAAAACTATAATGTCCCACCAAAATATAACTTGTTGGTTTTGGAATAGTGCTCGAATTCTTTTTCCGAAAAATGAATTTTTTGACCGGGCCTCGTATACACCCTGATTTACTATAATTTATGTGATCATAACTAGACATGTATTTGAGTTCCAATCAATACATTTTCTAGATTATTTTGTCTTATTTATACTAGAAAACAGTTTTTTATCTTTGTCAATCCTACCCTGACGTTTTTACGAACTTTGTCGGCTTATATCTCAGAAACTAAACATACAAAACTTTTCAAACTCACATATTCTTCTGATGAGCCATCCCACAACAACATAGTAAAATTTCAGCCAATTCGACCAAGAGCCAATTTCCCGTGTTTTCGTGCGGGGTCCTTTTCAGCAGTTGACAATTTTGTTGTTTATGGAACACATGTTTTCTTACCTTCATCGCTGCAAAGGAAATTCAAGGCATTTCCAATGATAGGAAAAGCAAAAGGTCCTGGAAGTTTCCAGGAGAGGAAATAAAACTTTCTGTATCTGTAGACACATGCCGCTAAGCCAATTCCGAATAATATTAAAATTTCTTTTATCCACTGAGAGAACATAATGCTAGATTGAAACTAAATAAAAATTACCTACTTTTGATATGATCTCACTACTCGCAAGAAGAGGAATGATACTTTACCCATTTTTTTTAAATTAGCTAGGTATTACATAAGTTATGCAGGTCACGTATCCATATATGGAATTACTAACAAGAGAAAAAGCAATGAAGAGAATTCTAAGTAAGACAGTTATTCGTAAACGTTGACAGCATATTTTATTGAAAAAACTGAACCCTCGAATATTATTTAGGAAGGATATTATTTCTCGAATTGTATACAGGGTGTTTCACAGATAAAGGGAAATATTCCAATGGTACATAGGGGTCACCAAGGTGGTTCTGAAAATACCATATTTGATAGGTCTTAGAGTCTTTCATAACGGAGATACAGGGCGATTCATCTATTTCCAATAATTATTCATTCGTCTTCTATAAGTATTGAACTACCCAGTATATTTTTCTGAAATTTGGAATGGAGCTTATACTTAGGACGTTGAATTCATTCACCTATCGGGCGAAGTGAAAATCCAGGTTCGGCTTCAGGAAAAATTTACATTTATTCGAACTATTGAAATAACACACTGTATGTGATAATTTACAGAGTTCATCAAAGGAATCGTAAAGAGGAGGAAAAACTGAACTGGATTTGATGCTTTTTGTTTTCTCGCCACCAATTCTCATCGGAACAATCATAAACAGAAAGCTAAAAGTATGTCAATTTGAAGAGTATTGAAATTATGAAACCACTTTCAATTATGATTATTTGATATATATTCTTGTTAAATGATCGTTCGAAAGAACTTACTCAGTCTCACAGTCTTTATAACAGAGATACAGGGTGAATTATCGGTTTCGAATGATTATTCACTCGTCCATAACTATTAAACTACCCATCGCAGTAATATTTTCTCAAATTTGGTAAATCAGGCAGAATGGAAATACAGGTTCAGCTTCAGGAAAAGTCTCATTGTCTTTATAACAGAGATACAGGGTGAATTATCGAATTAATTATTTGGTATTATTTCTATTCCGCCTGATAGGTTAATGAATCCATCGTCCCAAGTTAGCTACATACCAAATTTGAGAAAATGTTACTGGGTAGTTTAATACTTATGGACGAGTGAATGATTATTCAAAACCGATAATTCACCCTGTATCTCCGTTATAAAGACTGTGAGACTTAGTAAGTTCTTTCGAGCGATTTTTCGACTAAAATATATCGAATAATCATAATCGATACTGGTTTCATAATTTCAACTCTCAACTTTCTGTTTATGATTGTCACGATGAGAATTGGTGGCGGGAAAACGAAAAGCATCAAACCCAGTTCAGTTTTTCCTCCTCTTCACAATTCTTTTGATGTACTGTGTTAATTATTAAATACAGTGTGTTATTTCATATTTCAATAGTTCGAATAAATGTAAATTTTTCCTGAAGCCGAACCTGGATTTTCACTACGCCCGATAGGCGAATGAATTCAACGTCCCAAGTATAAGCTCCTTATCAAATTTGAGAAAAATATACTGGGTAGGTCAATACATATAGACGAATGAATAATTATTCGAAATCGATAAATCGCCCTGTATCTCCGTTATGAAGACTCTGAGACCTATCAAATATGGTATTTTCAGAACCACCTTGGTGACCACATCTACCATTGAAATATTTCCCTTCACCTGTGAAACACCCTGTATAGTGATACTGCTTACCTACTTTGTAATAAAGAGGATTTCCTTAGAAATATCTTTTATTGAGTATATAATACTTACAAAACTTGTTTTTATGTTAAACAATGTAAAATTAATATTATCACAAAAAATATTGTGACATTTGTTATAGTTTTCAACTAAGTATTATAGCTTTGACTAACAGGCATCATAATTTAGTATTTGGATCCATATTATATTGAATTTTATTACCAAACCATGGGAATTATATTCATTTTATACGTTTTGATGTATGAGAATTGAGAATGGAAGGACGTAGTAAAGTTGTCAACTCATACATCACTCCTAAAATTGATGAAAACGTAGTTTCAGAAAAAACTTGAAATTTAGATAACTTTCTTACCAAGGCAAAAGCTATCGCATTTCCATAGTGAGAGAAATTTCTCTAGAAAATACAAAAATATTCACTGAGGAATTAATTTATTACTTCACCAAGAACGTCTGATCATATGGTGATATTGACTCAATGAAATAGGTGCCAATATAACTATTGTTTCTATTTGAATGAACAAGACATTTCACTTTGATAAAATAGATAGGTGTGTATTATACCAATTATTTATACACTTGTATGTACATTGTTTTTGCATTGAAATTCGTAGGAAGGTGACATCTTTCATCTACTTGAAACTGAGACTTGAAACTATTAATCGTTCCATCATGGAGGTAGGGTATAGTATTCAGGTATATACAGGGTGGGGCATTAGTGTGTCGGAGCTCGATTGCTCGAGTTCTATGATCGCTGAAAACTTGATTCAAGAACGAATGTCAATGAGACAACAAGGTCCATAACTAGAAATTATTGCCGCATATACAGGGGGCATCGGAAAAATCACTTTTTTCAAATGGAATGCCCTATTAGCACATTTTTTGAAGGAATCCAGGAGGAACAGAGTTGTAGTACCACTCTTTAGCGTATAGACGTAGGGGTCTGTACGTGTGACTATAGATGGCAGCCCCATACAGTGTGTGTTGCGATCTCTGTATCCTACCTTAGAGCTTTGCCACTAGATGCGGCTACAATATGACTAGAACTTCATGTTATATACCCTGCATTTCAAAGTTATCAATTTTTTTGTCAAAATAAAGTCATCTGCAGATCCATACCGAAAAAATCACTGTAATCACAATAATGGAGTTCAAGAGATAATGATCATAATATGATTTGATGGAAAAATGCGTGATATTTCTGTAGTATTTTCATGCCCTCAAATTATACAGGGTGGCTAAAAATGTTTTTTCATTTCGGAACTTTTGGAAGTGATTTTTGTCGAGTTTTTCAAATGAAACACCCCATATATTTTCAGGCCATTTGGTGTAAAATCGAAACACAAACATCTTTTTACTTCGAAAATTATAGGTAGGCCATTTTCATCGATACACATTCTCATCTGTTATTAAAACATCAAAAGTCCAATTAATAATTTAGTAGACTTATTTTTCCATTGAAAAAATTTATATCAGAATCAAAGCAAATAAAAATAGTTCATATTATGCTAGTTATTCACAAAGTGAAAAAGAACAAAATTCCCATTTTGCATAATTGTAAATTACTTTCCTGGTTTTGTTTTCAATGTTTCATGAATTTATAGGATATTTTGAAAATGGAATTATTTTCTTTTTTTACTTACTAGCATATGAACTATTTCTGATGTTTGCTTCAATTCCGGTTTGAATTCTTTCAATGACAAAACTGGTTTACTGATTTATGGATTGGACTTAACATATAAGAATGTGTATCGATGAAAATGGCCAACCTGGAATTGTGATTACAGTGATTTTTTCGGTATGGATCTGCAGATGACATTATTTCGACAAAAAAATTAATAACTTTGAAATGATCGAGAAAAAGTCAACAATATTCTAGATTGAAGAGTTTTCGAAATATGCCTTGAAAACCCTAGAATGCCATGCTCACTTGAAATGCAAAAAAGTATATTACTATGTCAACTAAAAAAAACAATTGCGATTTCTGAAAAAAAAAATTCTACCGAAAATTACTGGAAACAATTTTCGACTACCAAATTCAGATGATTCAAAATTGGCATGGGCAGCGAATTTCGTCGTTTTTAGTGGTTTGTCATATTCGGTCATGATTAAAAAACCGTGCCCTCAAACATTGTAAATTGACCCGTCCAAAGATTTTTTTCCAAATATTTTTGGTTTGCATAGCAATAATCCATTTTCAAAATTCATTGTCGACCAGAAATTATGAATATCAATTAAAAAGTGGAGGTCAACATTTTTCATAAGCTAATTTTGTGAATGTATAAATAATCTGAGCAACAAAAATTCAATTTGCAATAAAAAAATACCCACACAGCAGAAAACTGATATAATGAAACACAAGAAATAATGGAAGTCATTTTTCAATAAAAATGTATATTTCCAAGGCTTTCTTATTGATCGTATTGTTCTACCACCTTTGCTTCGCTCAGCAGCAATTCTCAAATTATGAAGATGGTAAGATGTTCCTTGTTGGTGTAAATTTGTTATTAACAAGAAGTTTTCTTTCAGAAACAATCGAGAATGGAGGAAAAACGCGAGTATTCTTTTTTGGTGATTAACATATTATTTAATATTCGTTACTGTAGATTTTTTGGATCAGAAAACCTGGAAGAGAAATTCAATCGATATAGCTAGTGAGAAAAACTATCAAAAAAAGGATAATCAGATTACCTACTTGATATGATTTTTCAGTTTCAATGAATACTGGGAATAATGCTGAAATTTTGCATAGACCAACTTGTTCATATTTTTTAGATAAACTTCGAGAAGTCAAAGATTCCATATTGCAAAATCTCCCTTTCAAAGTTCCTGATGGCCCTATTAGCAAGCTCAAAGATTCAATATTGGGTAAGCTTCCATTTGGTAAAAAGGAAAATTCCAGCAACTCTAGCGATCTCCCCGAACATCCGATTATTGAACCGATAGAGTCAGAAAGGAAAAAACTCAGGAGGTTAAGCAACAGTACTACTCGCATCCTCACTGACAGTACTGTCAGAAAACTGGAAGAGCTGACAAATTCGTTGAATAAACAATTCTCATCGGATGGTCATAAAATTGCTGTCCGTTCTAGACCAAGAATGACAAAAGGTAAGTTTTGGATTTGGATAAGATGCCGAAACAGCAAATTTTTGGGTCATAATGAGTTTTTTCGACATAGAGAATCATATAGCTAAATACGTAGAGAAACAAGATTTTTTGTTCTGCTCCATTTTTGATGCTCTAACTTTTTCATTTCATTCTGTATATGGGGTTGAAATTATGAATTATACAATAAACACTGTCTGTAGGTTAATCGAGGAGGTGGTACATTCATTATTCCAAATTTTTTGGGATTTTCTCTCCTCGTTTCCATAAAATAAAAATATGAATATTATTTCAATATACGTGTAGTAAGGACAAATCAGATGATTTGCCCCAAAATGTCACTGCGTTTAAAGAATTTTCCTATCAGAGAGCCTAAAAGAAAAATTCACTAGCTTGTCAGTGACAATAATTTGTATTGAAAAAAGTTTGGAGAAGAGAAATAAAGGTATATAGAAAAAATATCAAATTTTCACTTATCTTTGGACGTTTCGGGACCGATTCTGCTCCCGTTTTCAACATAAGATATGATTATTTCAATAGCTAAGTCGTATTTGTCTTGAAGCTTTTCAGTTTTCATTGACAATTGGTGACGTTGGCAATCAAATGAGTTACAGGATGTTTTCATCAGTTAATCTTGAATTTACCATTTTCATGTTCAGATTTTAGTAGTGAATACCATGTTCTGTCTATATCAACTGAACAAGAAGCAATGCTATTGTCTCCGTTCAGTAAGGACGAAGGAACATAAGTACAATATAAAGAAAAGACACATCGATAAATCGAAACTAGCTGAACATATCCTTACTGAAGACGGACAACATATTATGGCATAGTGGAATAATATTAAAATCATTGGAAAAGAAGATAACAACAAGAACTCAAGTGAAAAATCAAGGAATCTGCTTGCATTCTTCTGAACGGAGACAATAGCACCGCCTCATCGATTTTAAAATCCACAAAATTTGTTGCTGAGCATTTCTAACAGCCTTTAATTTGAATTAAAAATTGCTTGTTGCTAAATTATGAGGTAGTTCGGATGAATCAACACAGGTTAATAGTTTAAACTTGTACATTCCAGAACATCCTCAAAAAAAAAGTACAACAGGGAGTTTTCGAAAGTTCGACTTTAGAAGCATAGCTCCGGACCTACAGAAGTCCTTGATCACCATCCTGCGGTCTCTACAAACTCCCGAATCCTTCAAAGAGGCCATAGACAACGTCCTTGACGAACTACCCGAAAACATGGCGAAACCCATCGAATCGTTCCTGTTGTTCCTGAAAGTTGCAGTACCACCAGGACATACCCAACAGGAGATGTTTATCAAGGTGGAAAACTCCCTCATACAATGGGCGGGGAATCACAGCGAGATTTTAAAAACTATACTGGAGCTGGTGCTGCCCAAGATAGAGCCCTACGTTCTCATATTGATCCCTGAGAGGAAACGGAGGTTGAAATTATCTCCAAATCCCTTGCTGAAACGATAAAACGTACCTGCGGTGCCACCAAATTCAGTCATGTTTGGCAGCTTAACTTTGGGAAGTGCATTGCTGAAATACTGAGAGTTAGTTGCCAAGAGCTCTAATCTGAACAAAAGATGCCAATGTTCAATGTTTCTTCAACCCATTTGACCCTGTAACTATTTTTTTTTCTGATTTTGTATATTATTTCCTTGAAATCGATGAATAAAAGGTCCAATAAGTCGAGAGAAAATCATATAATCAAATCAACAGCGGACCTTTTAAAAGGACGGTAGGATTAATGGCTACTATTAGAGAAATAAATGAAAATTTGACATTTTTAAAATGCTTAGCCAAATTTTAGCTCAGAAGTGCCAAAGATGTGAGAAAATTGTCAAAAAAGAGGTGAATGAGCTGATAAGGCATATTTTGTAAAACATCTACATATTGGAGAATAACTGACGGTCCCAAACCCGTGTATTTATGTTTGTCTGGAATTGTTGTCGACGCACCTTGGTAGGGATCAAAATAAACAATGTACTCACTTAAAATTTGTACCCCCACCTTATAGGTTCGCCTTTAATAAATTGCTTACCGCAAAATACGGTATCATAGCCTCATCAAAGCTGTGATTCTCTTCATCTGGGGCGAGATCATCAAAAACTGTTCATTTAAACCGTTGAAAAGAGGGCGCAGTTCTGAGTACTTGTAATTTTTATCAAGGTTAGTATGAATTGAAATCTATCTTCGGAAATAGCGGCTGATAAAAGTTCGTTGCAATTTTGCCAATACATATTATGTCGCCTTGGAACAATTGTATATCCAGTGACAAGTTACACCCCTATGAAGCAGTACATCTTATCTGCAGTAAATTTACCGGGGCGGTTTATCTGTTGTGCATGAATATTGCTAAAATTGAAAAACCGCATAGAAGCATACCGTCCTTTTAAAATGAGTCGTTCAATTGAAACATAACCACAAATATAAAGAAAAGTTAGTTAGTTAATATGTTATTCGTTAAAAATAATCAAAACAACAGCGGAAAAATAAACAATATGTCTTACCTTGAGTCACTCATTCTAAAATTACTAGAAACAGAGCGTTTTTTAACCGTCACTATCGATCCAAAACTGAACAAAATCCTATAACGATCGCGATTGACCGCGTTCAACATGTTGAATAAATATAAGATGGCTACAAGGGACTGTAGCCATCTTAAATAAATATAATGTGACACTGTCGACATCTTCAAACCGTCAGCTGAATCAGAAAAATGCAGGTTTCGTTTTGAAGTCCTTTCAAAAGGACGGTAGGCGTAAATGGGTTGAAGGAAAACATTTTTGATTATTTTTTAATTTCTTTGTTTTATATTTATTGATTCATCAACATTTTAAAGTCTGAAATGAAAATACTTAATCCTGTTACTATTTTATTATCCATACATAAATATTACAAATTTATAAAAGTGTACTACAAAAAACATATTTTCTTGATGATGATAACCAGATACTGAATGAGAATGTAATTTCCGTACATTCTCACATATTTTTATAAATAAACTGAAAGATTCGAATTTTTTCATCATTAAAAAATGTGTATAAGATAAAATCATAAATAAGGCACATCAACTACAAATATACCGTTGCGAATTAAAATGACTAAAATAAATCTCCCCATAACAAACAGATTCATTACTCTTTGGATAATTCTCATTATATGTGAAACAATCGAAAACATATATTAGACAACCAACATGTTGCAGGATTTGACACATGATTTTTTTCAACAAAATCAGGCAATCTCAACAACTAGCTAAAACGTTGAGGAATGAATAAAAATAAATAAGGATGAGAAAGACGCCGATTCAAGGAAGCAAATAGATATTTAAACACCAAGGTAGTAAAGAATATCAGTATCACCCAGGGACCAAGATTATATCCAGAGGCTTCAGCCTAGGACTATGAAGGTCCCGTGGTGATATTCCTTTACTACCAAGGTGTATATTGAATGTTTTTCACGACTAGCAGTATATTTCAATCACTATAGTTCTGTGAAACTGAAATATGGACCTATTGTCACTTTAAAAACGATTCTTTTCAATTTCTAATTAAAATCTATAGAAGCCATGACCATGACAGTATATGACAAGATTGACAAGTCCTTATTGATAAATAACTATTAGATTTGAGTGCTTTTCCTGCGAATCTCGCATAAGAACAGTGAATCCGGTTAATTATATCAGTGTCATCATTATGTCTTTGACTAGTGGTTCATAAAATGACGAAAACTACCTTGGTAGTAACAACTCACTTTACTCCTTGGAAGTAAGAGTAAAAAATGGTTCTAGAGCTAGTGGTGGAAAACTTTTTTATTTCTCCTCTGGAATCCAAAATATTCTTACACAAAAACTTCTGAATTTGAAATAATAGATGAAATATCAAACCCAGAAAGAAACTGCATACTGTACTAGTTATTATTAACCATCAGAATCAGAAGTACAATTTTGAAATTTTCGATAAAATCTGTCGACTAGATTTCGATAGAAGACCTTCATGTACTGTCAAAATAGTTTCTAGCTTCAGTTGCCCCTATCACTGACGGATTGACGGATAATAACTGCATAGTATTTTTTTTACAGCCTACTCAAAAGCTACTAAATACCAAAAACCACAAATTCTTTGAAAAACTATGCTCAATATCATTTCCGTTCTAAATGCGAGAGGTATAAAATATTGTCTGTTCATCGACTCAAAATTTGTCTGCCTATCAATGGCACTACTTTACTGAAAGCATCGGGAGCTGGTTTGTTTCAATAGAATAGTTTTCAGAACCTCACCTCAGACAAATTACAATTTTGATTTCATTGGCAAATTTCGAGTTAGTTGTTGGTTTGTTGTTTGTTTGATTTTGGTGTTCCATTTTGCACTTCTACAAGAGGTGGAGGTATGTGAATTCTCCAACACTGCTGTTTTCAACGATGACGTGAATTTGAGGCAACATGCAATGACTTTCAGGTAAGAGTTCTTTCTTGGGCCACAAAGGTTTCATTTATATTGAAATAATGAATTCATATTCCAGGAATGAATATGTTTTTCTTATTCGTAGAAGTACTTGAAATGTTTAAACATGAGACATTTTCATTATGAACATGAAAAAATTTATTCCGAAAATGTAGTCAATGAGGCAGATTCTAACAATTCTTTTTCAATGAACAAACAATACCAATACTACACCTACTAACTAGACTTTCACGTAGAACGATAACGCTCAAGATATTCCTAGATCATCTCCACCTCGAAAACATTCATTTTTATTCATCCCTCTTCCCCGCTCCTACCGATCCTGCCCATCAAACACCCCCAGACCCCCCCTCAAAACTGTATCCTATACTTATTGCCCACCGAATCCGTGGACGCCTTCCCGTCCCGCCCCAGGGAAGCCCCCCTCCTCAAAGACCCGCCCCCGAACAGCCGCACCTTCGAGTGCGCGGGCAGCGATCCGCCCGAATTGTCGCTCAGGGCCGAGTCCCTCTCCCCACTCCTCGCCCTGCCCTGAGACGGCTTTCGCAGCGATGCGCTCGAGCCGCCGCTCTCCGACAGCCGCCCGTACTCGCCCAGCTTGCGCGGCGGCGGGATCAGGGAGCGACGGCTGCTCGCGTTCGAGCTCAGCGGCGACTCCCTGAGCTCGTCGGGCTTCTTCTCGTTGTCGGGCAGCCGGTTGTAGTCGCCCAGATTGCGCGGGGGCGGGATCAGGGAGCGACGGCTGCTCGCGTTCGAGCTCAGGGGCGACTCCCTGAGCTCGTCGGGCTTCTTCTCGCTGTCGGGCAGGCGGTTGTAGTCGCCCATGCGCCTGGGCAGGCCGGAGCGCAGGGAGGAGCGCGGTGGGCGGGGCAGAGAGCTAGGGGCGGGGCAGCGGTTCGGCGATTGGTGGCGCTGTTGCTGGGAGGCGCGGCCTTGCTTCTCGAGCAGCAGGATGTCGCCCGATTCGGAGAACGAGTTGGAGGTCACACCCGCCAAAAGTGGCTGGGGTAATTTTGCTTTTCGTTGTGCAGCGACCGGATTAGTGAATCCTGGAAAACAGCAAAGACCCCGCTGAAAAGAAAGGAAGAGAATGCGAGAGTGGGGACTCGATCGGGACCTGAAAGGCGGGTTAGTGGCACGGCAACCAACGGCACACCGATGGGCGGGATCGCCATGCTGGGAGAGGTTAGGGCGGGTGGGTTTAGGCTGGTTGTGAGGGTTGTTTGTTCGAAAAAAATGGAATTTTTTAGGATTTTTCATTTTATGGCATATGTCCTGTTGTAGTTATAATTACTTCATTATTATTATATTATATCCTAAATATCTGATGAACATTGTAGTTTTACCATATATTTTGACCTCTACCTGAAGCTTCATCTACACGAGGTGGAAAAACTTCAAATAATAAATAGTTGTAGGGTTTCATCTGTCCTATCTTTTGGAACTTCCTCATATCAACTGATGCGAATAGCAAAATTTAAAAAAATCCACATCATTGTATTTTAATGAAACACATATTTTCAACTCTATATATATTATACACTCACCGGCAAAAAAAAACGTCCTCCAAAAAATTTGCTCAAATTTTTCACCCTGTAACATTTTTAATACTTGTCGAATACTTGTGAAATTTCGATCAAATCGTAGGTTCTTGTTCCGGAATGTTAGCCTAAATATTATTTTTCTTGAAAAGCTAATTACTTGATCATTATACAGGGAAAAACCAAAGTTGCCATTTCACTCTTTACTTCTTAACGCCCTGTGGCGAAATTGAGTGGTTGAACTTGGCTTTATTATGCTTTGAATTGAAGTGTGATCCCTTTTCAGTACAATAGTTCTTGATTCACGCCAATATCTTATTTTCAAGAGAAGATACGAGTGTTTTAAGAAAGTATGGCATTTTTCAATTTTCATTAACAATAACCAGAACCTACATAAACTCATTGATTAACAACTTGTAGAATTAATATCACTTATTTCTATCTCATTGTCTTAGCACTTACCGGAAAACAAGTTGAGTTGATCAAATTTCTTGAGTAGTTTTGAAAAATTGACTATAATTCTCCTTGAAGGGAGAATCGTAGCTCTTGAAGAGTCTCCGACTAAAAATTCTAAAACTTTCTTAAAATACGTCTCTTAAAAAGAAAATATCGACGTGAATCAAGCACCATTGTGTTTAAAACATGATGAATCAGAAGGTTGGAGAATGGTTCTGAATTATTGTTGTATCTTCTCTTAAAAACTGGTTATCGACGTGAAAAAAAAACATTGTGTTAAGAAGGGATCACACTTGAATCTAAAATTCAATGAAGCTAAGTTTAACCACTCACTTTTGCCACAGAGCGTTAGGAAGTTATGGGTGAAAGGGTAATTTTTGTTTTTCACTGTATAATGCTCAAGGATCAGCTCTTCATAGGACCTAATATTCAGGGTAACATTCTGAAACATGAATATACGATTTGGTAGAAATTTCACCACAATCGGACAAGAATTAAAAAAGTTACAGAGCGAACAATTTTTTTTGCCGATGAGTGTGTATAAAGTAATATATTTCCATTTCTCTGGGGGATCAGAAAGCACAGGAGAGGTTTTCACACCAAATTGGTAAGTGAGCAAACTTGAACACAATTATGAAAATAATAATTTTATTGATAATCATGCATACAAACACTCAAAAAAAAATAAAAACGAACCAATGAAAAACATGCAGTTGTTTGAATAATCTGAATAAAAATGACTTTTCACTAATACTGAATTAAATATCCATAGTTTTGAGTTTCAACAGTTCATGAAAATAAATTGAAACATTGATATTCGATATTGACTTATAGATTAAATTAAATTGTCAACAATATTTGGTTAAATACATCATCTTATTCAAATACATAGCTGTTATGTACAGAAGAACAAAACAACGCTACTACTCCAAAACTACCATTCAAAAAAACACAAAAACTATAAATGACTCACTATTTGACTGTATGAATAGAATGAAATGTATCACTTGGTACCTAAATTTCAAGTGCTCTGTACAAGAAATGATGAAATTGTTGTTTGGGGGATTCTTCAAGAAGTGTTTTCCAAGATTTTATGAAATTTGGACAAAATATTGCTCTTGTTACAAGATTTCCTATTTTTAAAGGTATAAAAATTCCACATAATGATGAAAAACAAAGAAACAGGTAATCACCCATGAAAATATTATTTTTCATTGTATCCTGAAATATTGAGGATATTGAAAATTGAAAGAATTCATGTGACAATAATATAGCAAATTATGTCATTTTATTATTGAAATTGACAAATTATTATTGTAGACAAATTTTATTTCAAAGAGTCTTAATATGAAGTTCTTTTCTAGACGTGGACGGATATTCTGGGGTATGTTTCAATTCAACAACAAAAATTATTCGAATTCAGTGAATAAATTGAAAAACATTTTTAGTTAACAAGACCTCCTGGCTTTTCTCTCATTTCCATAAATAAAATGGCAAATTCAAAAAGGAATGAGCGAGTGGACTTATTCTTATTATCTTATTCTCCATAACAAAATATGGTGTGAATGTTGGAAACTTGGCAACATTGTGCTGTCCACTCGCCAATTCCACCAATTTAAAGAGGAATGGGCGTGTACACCTTAGTAGAACTTTGAACTCAAACCAAGTTTATAATGATCCTTTTATACATAAATAATGATTGACGACAAAATTCGATCGAAAAATTAACTGGAATATTTTATTTTTGGGCATAAATAATAGTATCAAATCATGGAAATCATCCATATTTCTTATAAAAATCAATTCGATAAATAATAGTACCTTCTGAAAACGGACCCTCTTATGTCGCCATAGTTAAAAGAAAATACCAAACGCCCGACGGAGACTGAGGCAACTGATATATTAATTCTTTCAACTGTGATTTCGCGCTAATTCACTCGGTCAGAAATCATGTATCATTCATCTCTGTCTGGAATAGTCTTGTTTCAGTATCAGGGTTATGACGTCACATCATCGCCTCGTTTTCAGAGGTCCAAAAAATCGGGGATTTCAATAATTTTTTATAAAACGTAGGGAGCTCACAGTAAGATACGGTTTGCGGTGGTGAGCTAGTTTGGGTGAGTTCTATCGAATTATGAAATGAGAATTTTTTGTGATATAAGCCCATTGGAGAAAATATAGTACATATAAAATGGCCTTCCTCATCACCCAAACAAACAAAAAATCATCTCCTGTACAGAACTAAACATTCACTTGTACAGTCAATAAAAGGTCTCAGTCTCTCCTACCTTGCTAAGCAGCTGCGAGTCCAGCTGGCTGTCAATCTCCTTCAGCTGATTGTCGAGCTTCTGCTTGGTGGAATCGTACGTCTTGTTCGACTCGTACTTGCTGTATGAGGGCATATGGTGGTAAGAGGAATCGCTGCCCGTGTACGAGTTGCCAGAACCGTATGCCGTTGAATTCGTCAAGACACTACTCACTGACAACAAAGAAAACTCTAGGGTACTGAGTGATTTCAACATTGAAATAAATAAACGTTAATTCATCTAGATCAATGGTTGTCAATGTGTGCACTCAATTCTTTTAGTGGAACAATTAAACTATACTCTAAATGCCGAATATGTTCCTTGAATCTAGTTTAGATGGGTCTCCTAGTTTGACATACATATTTTTTCGCAATCGTCAATAATACGCATCTACGTGCCTATTGGCAAACACTTTAGAGGTTACATGGTTTGAATGCCTTGTGGTATGTATGTGAAGTGACTTTACAAGAGAAACCGTCTAATTTTCTAACTTGATTATCTAAATTCAATATTTTCCTACACTTGATTATTCTAATCTTCCCTACTTTGAATGTACAAGAAGACTAATTCTTCTAGGGACACCATATCGATTTGTTTGATAAAATTTAGGTTCTCAATGTCTGTGTTATAATTGTAGTAAAACATGAATCTACTAAAAATTACTGCTACAATTGATTCTCCCAATCTCCCCTACTCTAAATTTTAAATGTCCAAGATGTTTTTTGGACCTAGTTTTGATGGGTCACCCAGTTTGACCTGCACGTTCTTTCGCAATTATCAATAATGCGTATTTCCGTGCCTAACGGCTAGAACATTCGAGATTAGAACGTTTGAATGCTTTAGTGACCTCACTAGAAAAATCGTCTAATTTTTCAACTGATTTGTCGGTGTTCGAACATAATATTTTAATATATTCTGCTACACATTATTATCTTGATCTTTCCTGCTTCAAATGTCCAAAATGTTCTTTGAACCTAGTACTAATGGATCTCCTAGTTTGCCCTACGCACGTACTTCGTCAAAATGGGGAAGTTTCCTATATTGAGGTTTTTATCTCACTGTGAAGTTTGTAAAAAATTAATATATACTTATTTTTTCTTTTTTTCGTAAGATCAAATTTCACTTCAAAAAAAAGACGAACTTGGCTCCTCCACCAATTCCTATGACTTACTTTCTGAAAATCCACATTCACACAGAGTTAAAATACGATTCCCTGTGCCAGTACGACGTTGCCGACATCATCAATATGTCTAGATTTCCGGATATTGTTCTTTGAATGCATAATAACTATATCATAACAGCAATGGGATATAATAGGTTCTTCAATCCTACTTTGTCAAGTATTATGAATAATTTCCATAAATATATCATTGGATGAATGAAGTTGATTACTAATAAAGATAAATCATGATATTTTGCGATAGTATCTGTAATTTTTCACTATCGTTATACATCAATATGTTATTCATAACTTGTCTTTTTGCTGATGAATTCGTTCCTTAATAAAACGGATCTATTTTCTAGGAAAGTTGCAGATTATACCTTGCAACAGCGCCTAATACTTCCGAGTCCGTCCACACCACTCAAAATACTGACAGGCACAACAAGAGGAAGGAACCATGGGTGTCGGCTTCATTCTTTTCTGACCGATGGCAGTAAATTAGGAAGGATAGTATCATTGAATGTAGCCGATAGTGATTCATTGATTCAATGATATTTTCGTTTAGGATCGAGCTCTATTCGAGACATTTCAATGCATAAATAACAAAACCATAACCTGTCAGAATGAAGCCAACTACCTTCTGCATTCCTGCTCCGAGTGCATTTGTGGTTATGTATGTTTTTGTTTACCAGTTTTACTTCTTCTTCTATTTTTTTCATTCGTTAGCTATTTGTTAGCTAATCGCTAGCTATATTCTTCACCATCAGCTATTTTCAGACTAGATTCAGAATGACAGTACAGCGTGGACATAAAACTGGAGAGTTCCAAACTTATTTTATGAAAATTCATCTGAAGGAAACTTCTCAATTATACGCATCTAAATGCCTACCAGTTATAACTCTTCTCTTACCTAATTCTTCTCGAGACACTGTCGATCCCAAGCAGTGATCCATATCGGCTCCTCCCATGCTAGGATGGGGCGTATGGTGGGGAGATCGCCCCAACATGCTCGACACGTCCTTATCGTAGGTGTGTTTTTGCAACACCCTGATCATGGCGTCTCGTTCCGCTAATTTCGATTCCAAATCTTTCACCCTGAAAAGAATCATCAAAATGAACAGTGCCGACTTTGGTTTATATTTTTTCGAAACCGAATCAAAGTACTGGTATTATTCGCGAGATTCACGAAGTGGGCGACATCTAGGTTACATAATACGAACTTCAAACTGGGGGAAAACAAACTGTTGTCTATCGATAAAGTGCGTAGACTACATTGCATTCAGCTTGCTGTAGCTGTAGTCAAACTAGTCAATGACATACAGTGTTGGCACTGTTGGTAGTGATGATGGTTGAGTTGGTTAATTTTTTCACATTATTACATTTTTATTAGTTTAGTGAACAGTGAACGGGTGAAGAATTGGAGATAGTTCAAACAATTCAAACTAATTATGACGAGCAAATCAATTGACATATAAAAGAACAGCTACAACATGTTTACAATACCCAGATTGTCCTGCTTTGCATTAACAAATACAAATCCATTGTTCTACAGGAGTTCATCTGGACCCCAACTTCAATTTTACTTCATGTGGGGAAGATTTCATCGCCGAAGTTTGTATGAAAAGTGTAAAAATGTGCCTTTTGTTGAAGTCTTCTGCCTCACACAAAATCACATGATTAGCACGGAGAACTCATTCTCCTTCCACTACTGGTCGGCTTTTTCCATGTAAATAGAGCAAAATATCTGCCAAAAGAACATCTACAATAGGCATTATTAGCGTTTTCCATCGAATATTGACAATTATTGTCAAGAAATTTAAAAACTTATCACTCTTATCAGTACACAGTACACAAGCTAATGGCACTAATGGGATTGAGTCAATTGAGTGAGGATTGAGTTTGTTTTCCCCCAGTTTTGACGTGGCTTTGACATGGAACGATGAAAACCGAGCGCCACCTGGTAACATTGATTCCCGCGAATATTGTGTCAGTTTAGCACATGTCACTCATTAATTTGTGTTTCGTGTCCGACGTTTCCAACGTCAAAGTCATTTTTCTTTCATAATTGTCAATGTTTACAATTTCCACGGTTCCTTTTCGTACTGACGGCAAACTGATGCTGATGTTTGTATAAAAACTATGTTTCTCGAAATCATGTTCAACCTCATCAGAGCCAGTTTTTTCTGGCTCTTCAGTAAATTTAAAAAAGTTATACAAATGCTACAGATTCTGCCAACCCGATTACGAAAATCATTTGTAACTACCATGATTTGGTGTTTTTACATTATGAGTCCCATATTGTTTGGTATGTTGTTGTTTTGTCCTCATTATTGTCATAATATTATTTTTGGTACCATTGTCTGATGATGGCCGTAGTGCCGAAACCGGTAACATTTTAAGGAAGTTTTTATATCAAGTGTGGTCGACCGACTTTTTGTTGTTTCTTTTTCTTTTGGACCACTTCGAGATATGGATGATTTTCATGATTTACTAGTATTATGTCACTCACCTAGATTCCAAATCTGCCACTTTTTTCTGTGCAGCATGCACCTCATCCATGTGCCGAATTTTTTCGTTTCTCGCTTCGGTGATGATTTTCTCGGTCTCCTGACTAGTTTTTTCCAATGCCGCTATTTTGGCATCCCTGGAATGTTTTGATGACGTAAAATCATGTTAATAATAGCATGGATATACACGATATTACCAAAAAACAATGGGTAAGTTTGCTATATTGGGAATGTCCCTGTTTGCAAGGCAAGAGTTGATTGAATTTGACACCGCGCCCACATTTTTATCTACAACCAGTTCTACACCGAATCTCCATTGATAGCTGCGCTCAAATTGAGGTTATGTTTTCATTCTATTATGCATTCCAGAATTACATCATTTGACAGGTCGTTGGAGGGCAAACATCTTATTTTGTTCATATTATTATGAAATCAGAATTAGTGGGAACGGTTTCCTTGGAACCCAAATGAATTTCATGATTTTGTTTGGTGAATCTATTTATATTGTATTCTGGATGTGCGCATGGCTGTCCTCATCAAAGCTAACCTAACAGATAGTTTGTGTGGCTACCAAGAATCCGTGTCAAAATCACATGTTCTAGAATGGTCAATTTGATAGGTAATGGCGGTAATGGGAATAATTTGATTGTCAGTGTTCCTCATCCACAAGGTTAGGCAATATTCTTCTTCTTATTTCATATTCCCTATTTTGAATTTCAATATTACAAGAATATTTTATTCTTTTAAACAAAGTGTCGAGTGCATATTGTCACAATAAGTCATGAATTTGATTGAGATTATGTTAATTGTGTCTATGGAATTATTTTAAAAATAGACAGTACAATGGGCTCAAACAGATATTCTACATAAACCTCGAACTTTGTCAACAAGATGAACTCTTTGTAACCACCCACTAAAGAGTCTGAAGTCATTCCATTTTCATTAAAAAAATGCTCACTTTGGAATGCTGGCTGCATCTATGGCAGCCTGCCTGAGGGTACTTTCCTCGAGTACCCTCTGCTCCCACTTGGAACACTCTCCCTCCAGGATCATGATGCGCTCGTCTTTTTCTCTCAGCCTCCTTTTCAGATCCGACACCTAAATTTAAAAAAAAAATTGAATGCTTCATATTCTCATTTATGAAGAATCAGAATCGCAATATAGCTCTCGGAGAAAAAATTCAAAAAAGAACTCAATATCATGAAATAAATTGCAGTCAACAATGGATATAATTTAACCTATCTTGGAAAAAATAGCTTCATTCCTTCATAAACAAAAAACTAGGAAGCTGATAAATCCTCAAAATCAGGAGTATAGAAGCTTTAACTTTGAATCTTGTCCGAAGGTAAATATTGGTCAGACAGGTGGAACTTTTAACAAGCGCATTCACGAACATTATATGATTTTTTCAAAACGGGAAACAAATTAAACATACAAGAACCATATGTTAGAAGAAAATCATACTTTTGATGGTAATTTCGAAATTTTACTCATGACTTAACGATGATTTTGAATCATTAGACAACAACCAACCGAAAATTTTCAACATTTTAGTATTAACGATCAAAGACCTCAACAATTCACCGCTTTTGAATCAGTTTTTTGGTGGGTGGGTATTTTAAAATAGATATTGTTCATATTTTCATGTCGTCTTTTCAAAAATATTGTGGAAATCTTATCGCTTGTGAACTTTGTCACTTTCACCAAAAGAATATGATGTTCACTCACACAACACCAGAAAACTGCCTCTCACACGATTAAAAAGATGACGTAGGTATCAAGCTTTCTAATTCCTTGCCCTCTGATGATCATAACTTGATAATGAAGACGTTCAAATGAAAGTTGAAATACTGTACTGTTCCTAACAGCGAATATTCTTTACAAGGTGGAAGATTTCTTCATTCATACGAAAAGCAGAGATAGAATAGAATAGAATAGAAAAACATTTATTCTGTAAATATCTTACATCATATAAATATAATATAAATATACTACACAAAAGGTGGCATTCGTTTACACGTTCTACCATACCACCACTCGTTATGAGTAAAAAGCTCAAAATAATAAAATCTAGATGGTTAACATTCATAAAAACACTAACGAAAACAACAATGTCTTGAATATAAAAAAAATAAATTAATAAAATAGAGTTAATTAATTAATTAATATAAACTTTTGACTAAGTTTTTATCACATTCTCTGTCTGAATACTTAAAAGGTAGTCTCTCCATATTCTTCTAAAGCTAGCTACAGATCTGTTCTGAGTTCTAAGATAGTATTCTGGGTTATTTAAAAATTCTATTGATACATAGGCAAAACAGTATTCAAATTTGGTGGTATTGTGCTGTGGGATGTTATATCTTATGATGTTCCTGAGGTTATGCTGGTTATGTAGTTCATGACGTGGAGTTAGAAAATCTGCTAAATATGCTGGTTTATTATCATCTATGATTTTTTTAAAAAATACTCCAAATAGTAGTTGATAACGATATTCAATTTTCAGGATGTTGTTGCTGTTATATACAGGGGTTATATGATCATATTTGTAAATGTTGTGTACATATCGAATACAGGCGTTTTGTGAGAGTTGTAATTTATTTTTATATTGTTTTGTTAAAAACTTGTAATTCATTGTGACACAGTAATCTATTTGTGGATATAATAGACTTTCGATTAATTTCAATTTGATTCGTTTATCCAATATGAATTTAAATTTGTGAATTGACTTCAGCTTCATATTATTATACATTAGTGATATTTTTTTGTTCACATGAGGTTCAAAATTAAAATTGGAATCAAATATCAGTCCAAGATTTCTAGCACTTTCCTTATAGGGTATTTCATTGTTTTTGATATGTAAAGTAGTGAAGTTGTGCTGAAAGAATTTATGCCTGATTGTACTTGAGCCAATAATTAGGAAACAGCTTTTTGTTGGGTTCAGTCTGAGTCCATGAGATGCCCTGCCTCAATATGCATCTCTATGTTTTAAGATATAGTCTGGATTATTGTATGGTTATATGATATATGATAATGAAACACGCAGATTTTGTGTATTGAAACAGATATATTGCAGTACTTGAATGACCCTATATAATAGTTTGGTACTTGTAATACCCTGTATAGTATAAGAGATTTTTGTTTATTATCAACATGACGACGTGTTGTTGAAACAGATTTATCAATATAATCGATAGAGAAGGATTGCAGTTCGAATTGCAATTCTCATATCAATCTTTATCATATCCATACAAATACAGTCCACTATCTATCAAGCATCGAACATATTTATCCGGCTCGAAGGACCAATATGTTCGCTTGAACTGCTTGTTGCTACCTATGAAAGCTCCAGCTGCTTGACATTCACTGTTGCCCCGACTCGAGTGCTGCTCTGTATCTTTTAAATTTGAATAGATCCGGCTCGAAGGACCAATTGTTTGATGCTGGATAGATAGTGGACAATTGCGTGAGGAAGCGAAAAAAATTCACCTGTTCGCCAGCCGCCCCGTCAGGCGAGTCCCACCCGCCGCCCCTCCTGTCTCCCTGGGCGGCTTTAGCGCGCTGCAGCTCGCGCTCCAGCTGCAGCCGCAGCTTCTTCTCCGTCTGCTCCCTGCGCTCGCTGGCTGTTTGCACGGAGGACAGGGCGCGCTGCAGCTGTGCCACGCGCTCCACGTACACCTGCTTCTTGCGGCACTGCGATCCAAACACATGAAGGAATGTTAAAAATAAGGCTTGGTATTTATTTTCGGCAGTTTTTATATTCGTTTATTTGCTCGAGGTATCCAAATAGCACAAATGTTCATAAACTCCGTCATTGGACCGAAGAAAACCCTCGTTTCACAAGGAAAAATAGTTTCCAATGGAAGGTTTTTGTTGATGTGTTGATAGAACTCATTGACAGTTATTTAATAGCACCACATTTTCTCCTAGATAATTTAAACAGGGAAATGTATGAACATTTTCTACGGCAAAACCTACAGGAGCTTTTTGAGGATGTTTCTCTTGCCATCAGAGGACGGATGATATTCCAACAAAATGGATGTTCAACGCATTATCGGCTGATACTTTTGCATAATCCGTATTAGGGTTAAATTCACTCTCTACCACCTCCCCTATCACATCACCAAAGGAATGTATCGAATTACCAGTAACCCTGTATAAATATTGAAAAAGTTATATAGTGGAAATATAGTACTAATGATAGTAGATTATAACCTCAGAGACTAAAGTGGCACTTTTATTTTCGATGTGAAAAGTTTGTTACTCGACCGCAGGGAGGAACAGTGAAATAAATGTGTATCAGAAAACAAATATATAAATTATAATTGATGCTGTCGCTTACATCTTCTTCTAGGCGAACGACATTTCCTTGGGCGTTCGTCAGAGCAGTGTCCAGAATGTCGATATGTGTTCTTTGTTCCTGAAGAGTGGCCCTCTGTGCTGCTAATTCGATTTCCTGCCTTTCCTTTGCTGCAGACAACTCCTTATCTACGAAAATCGAAAATTATTTTGTCATCTTCTGTTGATACCAATAACTATAGGCACATCTTACATTGTCCTTTTAATTTACAATCTGTTCAAGATTACTTTGTATATATTTCGCTTTAGTGCGCACCATATACCCTACCTACCCAAACTATACCTGCCAAGGGATAGAATCTGTAATTTCTGTCTTTGGCACGTTTTTAATCCGTCAAAGAGAGTAGATCGACGTGTACCGCAGGCTAATGAACACAGCAAGAATCAATGCGAGGTATAATATGTCCGTTCTATGTACAAAAATATGCAAGAATCGCCCCTATTGAAGCATTTTTTCATTAATCCAGTGACCTGTATTTCGATCTAAATATGTCCTTTCATTATCCTAGCCCTAGCATTTTTTCGAAGTTCCCTGTCGATGAATTCACTATTTATTTATTTATTTATTTATTTATTTATTGAACAAATAACTTCCAGACAGAATAGGCTCTGGTATAAGAAAGTACATAATTATATACCTATAGGTAAACATATCATTATACAAAATATATCAACAACTGTAAATTGACAAACAAAGAATAATATTTGTAAAAAAAAAAAAAAATGGCATGTTCGATTTTATCCAGTTCGCTCAGAAATAATCAATTTTTTCACTTCATTTTTGAATGAACCTATGTTTCTGCAACTTTTTATATTGTCAGGTAGTTTATTGAATTCAGTTAAGGCTGAATGAGTGAATCTTTTTTGTCCGATAATGGAGCTAGCGGCGTCAAGATGAAACAAGTTATATTGTCTTGTTTCATGATTATGAATTTCAGAATTCCGTATCAACATAAAATTCGACTTCAATTTTTTATTTATGATATTATATGATATTTTGAGAGTTTCAATTCTATATATTTCATCTAAAGAATACGTATTTGTTATTTCAAACAATTGATTGGTTGGTGTATCAAATGGGAGACGATACAATACTTTTAACGATTTTCTATATAATGTTGATATTTTATTGAAATTGTTCTTTGAACAAGTTCCCCAAACATTTATTAAATAGTTGATACGACTCAGTATATGAGAGTAGAGAATCATGTTTGCAATTTTAATATCAAGTTTGGGACATCTTCTCAATGCACCAATAATTGGAGATATTTTTTTTGTCAGAACATCAATATGTTTGTCCCACTTCAACCTGTCATCAAACCAAATTCCAAGATATTTTATCTGGTCAGTTTGTTTTAAGAGTCGAATTATTCCATTGATTTTATATTTTTTGACCCGTTGGACCGCCCTATCCAGTAGACGAGAGGTATAATAGTTTGTTCACTGACCCGAAATTTGTCTACCTGTCAATAGCGGTAGTTTACTGAAAACATTAAGATCCTCTTGAATCATCGATTTGACAGCAGTTCCACCTCAGACTAAATAGCAATAGAACAATAATGGGATATTAATACATGAATCATTAAAAAGTATACGCCGACAAAGGGGAGAATTGATATTCTTTTCATCAACAATAGCAAGACCCCCTAACCAGACCGCCACTGGACCAAATTTCTACGTACCTGTGAAATATTAGGTTAGGAACTTTGTAACTAACTAACTAATATCAACAAAAACGACAAATTACATTTCCTACAACGATTATTGCTCTACTACAAAACTTTACAGTGCCGCCAGGTTCATCTTTTGATTCAGATTTGTTATTTTTTTATGTACCTTCTACAATAACTAATGAGAGTAATGAGTAGGTATATTATTTTCAGTAATGAATTTCTGACAATTGCTATTCATACCAAGTTGAATAAGATGTTTTATCCGAAATACCATTTTGAATCATCGATTTGGCAGCGGTTCCACAGAGATCCTTAGAATGTGATGTTTAGGCCACGGAAGAAATACTCTAAAGTCAGTCTAATCTCACATTGTTAATCTGTGCTAAGGTCTTACTTCGAGGTCGTGGGTTCGATTCCCAGCCAGAGCAAGGAACTTTTTTCAATATTTCATTTACGAATTAAATATTGCTTCAAAATCGTTTGTGGTTATGTTTGTCACTGTTTGTATAATGTCCGTACTCTAATGTACAAAAAACGTCAAAAGAGCAGTGTCAAATACATTCAGGAACTCTCGGCTCGGTAGTCGAGAGCGTGAAGGCGCTGAGTTCGTATGGGGACTACCACCGAGACATAGGTTCGAATCCTAGTTAGGCCATGGATGTTTGTGTTTGTATGCTTACCTAACCCCGCGCAAGTTTCGACTTATGGGGCGTTTGGTCCCAGTGCTGGGACCAACGAGGTAATGCAATTGCAAAAAAAAAGGTCCCATCACGTGCAAACGTCCCCCACCAATACCAGTAAGGTCTTACTTTGTGATATTAGCTGCTTGATGAGTCCGTCGCGCTTAGCGACCTCCCGTCTCAGCTCCTGCCCCCCGTACTCGGGCAGGGGAGATCGCGACCCCAGCTGGCTGGACAGCAGGTCGACCTGCTCCCTCAGCGCCTCGTTCATCTCCCGGTAACGGCCGCAGTCGGCCTGCAACCTGGCTCTGGCCGCTCGTTCGAGCCTTTCGCGTCGCTCGCACGACTGCACTAGCTCCTCGTGAGCCTTGTGCGCCTTGAAGATGTCCTGCTCCATCTGGAAGGGGGGTACAAGGAGGGGAGATGAGAAGGGCGCATGAACAGTCACTGGCTGGTATTAGAGTCACTGGATGGTGTTAGTTAGATGAGAAAGTTCTTAACAAAAGGCATACAGTGTAAAATGGGAGAACGTCAGCTGTCACCATGTGGTCTATAAGATAATAGGAATGTATTACCTCAAAATGAGATAAGGAATCTGACTTGTCCTATACAATGATATGAGCTCATTTCACAACTTTTTATACAGGGTGTTTCAGCTGAAGTGAGCAAAATATGAAACCAAATTCATGACTCCAAAAAACTGAAAAAAAAACTGTCATCTGTCTGTCATCTCTCTCTCACCCTCTGTGTTCTTTCCACCCTTAGATAGCAATTCTCCAGCTCCTGCTTCAGCGCGCTGTTCTCCTTGATGAGGATCTCGACCATCTCGGAGCTGGGCCACACCTCCTCCTCCCCCTTGGCCTCGTTTTCCTCCCTGCCCCTAGTGGGGGGCCGCGGGGCGCTCACCCCCCTCCTGAAGAAGCCCGCATCGCCCTTGAGAGCCCCCGAGCTGGACAGGTCGGGCTGGGACTTCGACAAGGGCTGCTTCTCGACGATTGCTTCGAAAAAATTCGAGTGTAGTGATGACGATTTTCACGCACTAGTGAGTTGAAGTGTCATAAATATTTATCAACTATGAACAAGCCAAAATGCTCAAAGTGGACTGGAATATTAAATGAAATACAAAGCTGGAAGTAATTTTTACAAATGTTCATAAAATAAACTGCAATGGTAGATGCAAAATCTGATTAGCCCATCTTGTAATTCACAAAAATAGTAGGCTGGTATCCTGACCTTGGCCCTGTAACGCCAACCGAGGTATTAAATTTTCTTCTTTTCTGTCTAGCTAGAAAAACAATGGTAGATGATGGGAGAAAAACAACTACTTTCCTGGCTAATGCAACGGAGAACATTGAATTACATCCTCCCGAAATCTAAATCGAAATCAATCGGCACTGAAGAAAGAAACCCTTGCATCAGTATTCGTTTATACATATTGATGCATAGAGCAAGCATACCAGATGACCGCCATTTAATCCATAGGCGATCCAAATGCGAGATGTCAAATGTCAATAGATTGCTTTGGAATGACATTACACACGCCATTATTTCATATATTCTTTCTTCTTTTCACTAAACATGGATAAATCACAAGAAAATCATATTTCTAGTAGACTCATATAATAAAAAAAATGTATCCAACATTGTGTGATATATATAAATTGTCCAATGATGGAAAAAGAAGGGCAAATTGTTCTAAATGCGATCCAGAAGACAGGCGGAAAAGAAGGTGAAATTTGTAACTCAATAGTGAAACATCTTAATAAATAATGGTTTGTTCACATTTTCATTATAAAATTCGTGTTTTTCAGACAAAAATACGTAAGTACCAAGTGCAAAATTACCCAAACTCTCATCCTCCATACATACCTTTATTCCGGTTCTCGACGGCCTGTCGCAGCGGCGACTTCTCCGCCCAGTTGGGATAGTCGGGCGGGGCGGGCAGATCGTTGGCGTCGAAGCGGGCGGGATCGAAGTCGCCCGACAGGTGGTCGACGTGCTGTTGCTGGACGGGGTGCTTGTTCACCTCTTTGGCCAGGTGCTTCAGCACGGAGGACTGCGAGAGGTAGTCGTCGGGGATTTCGGTGATCTCCTGTACACCTGCGGTACGCGGTTTTTTATTCATTTATTCAATTATTTATTTATTTATTATTGACACTTTTTATAATTGCAGAATTTTTTTCAATAAGGTTCTTTGTTAGAAAAATCATTCAACCCATATAAAAATAATATTCAAACAAGATGAATCACCAAACAAGAGCACAAGACCAATTTTTATGAGAGTTCTTGTTGCACTTACCTGTGCTACTCAAAGAAGGTGATGGAGAAGCAGAATTCCTCTTATTGATTGGAGACAATTTTGGATCATTACTCAACAAACTGGATTGATGTGATAAATAATTTGGTGGTGGAATATTGGTACCATCCCTGGGCCCAGAGTTTCTTCCTACAAACAAACCCATATGAAATAACTGGGACACTGAAACCTGGTTTGTTTTACCAGTCCAGGGTTCATCTCCAGCACTGTGTATGATCAAAGTGTTATAAGAAGATGAAGAAACGTCTAATGAGCTTCGATTTGAAGGCAGACTATCTCTCAGTGAACTTCTCTTTGAATCACTGAGGTTTTCTTGTCCCTGAGGTTCTTGTCTAGGAGTGTGTCTGATAACGTACTTTTCTTCGTTTGATAAATTCTCGTTTGAAGTGGAAATGTCAGTTTCACTACCACTTAAGCTTTGTGGAAAGTTTGCTGGTGAAAAAAAAAAGAATATAGAGGGCAGGTCACAAGGGTTTCTGAGAATAATTACCTTGGACTATCTGTTTGAAGGGTCTGTAGCGATTGTTGGACTGCATATTTCACCCCATCAGTATAAAATCTTATCATATTTTGGAAGGAACCAGAGGAAACTGAAAATTATTCCTATCTCCTTAGTTCATGCAAGATACCTAATCAATAAATTGAAATACAAGTTCCTTGAAAGGAGTACTTGAGGTTAAATGAACAGTGAGATAACTATTGTTTATCATAAATGTTCCGTTTTTGCCAACTTGTGTACAAAAAAGCTGTGATAAAAGTATCCATCCAATGATGTAATGCAGAAGTTATTCAAAGAATTCCATTGCATTCCTGACATTCTTGTTCGCCCATTCCAAATATTTCATGGAGAACAGATTCCTTATTAAAGGGAATGACGCACAGATCACCTTAGTTTATTTTCACTGGCAATCCTCAAAGCAGAATGGAGTGTGCATTTTAATGAAAGGAAAATTTACCAAGAATATCCAGAATTTTCAACAAAATGTGGAATGATCACTGTCAAAAACTTTCACAATTTGGTGATTAATCATTATATCGAAAGTTTCAATCTATACTTACAGTTGAGTTGAAATATAAAACGATAATAAAGCGTTTAAAACATTCTTGACTGAACTCAAAATAGAAACAATAAAAAATAAAGAAAAATTAAAAACGGAAAACGAAGTACACCACACAAAAATATTCAGAACTAACCTGAACTAACCAAACCAACTTAGGACTAGAGCATGGTTACCAATCCAACAAAAGTGAAATTGAAACTATTGACATTTGACAAGATGACAAACATTTCCAACAATTTGCGTGAACTTGGTAACGAGTTGTTTTTAATTTTACTTTGAGAATTTTACTAATTACTATTTCTAGTTCTGAAATGAGTACTTACGAGATTAGTAAATCATCGGTAAGCATCTTTCAGATTTTCCCCAAATATATCTAAATCAAATTTATTTCAGTTATTGAGCCTTAAAGCTGAAATATTAAGAAAACAGCAGGAGCTAGTGAAAGCAAAAGCTGGCAATGAAGTGAAAATCAAAGTATTGAAAAAGAACACTCCATTAGAAATAAAAAATAAAGGTGTTGAAGGTCGCAGCAGAAATGATGAAACTGAGGAAGAACAAGATCTTCTCAAACAGTCCAGGTAGGACATGATTTTGGAGTCTGATCATTTCCTGAAAGTTTCAAATAATACAATATACCACTTATCTTAAGTAGGAAAGAAAGGAGAACCAAATATTTTTTATACAGAAATTTAATAATGCAATGGTTTGCCAAAAACAATAATAATAGGTAGAAATATTGCTAGTACATTATTTTGACTAATGGAATGAGGTCAAATTACAAGTAATACTATTATAATATATTATCTCTTGAATACATATACAACAGAAATGCATCAGCTAGTAATTCACATCTGTAGACGAATTTTCTAAGCCACCTCATCTGGATTGAACATTCCCTAAAAAAAAAAACATTATTATAGGTCTTGCAAAAAAGAAACAAAAATAATTCTACCTTTGCACGTCTGAGAATAGAATCTTTGCTGGCATCATAAGGATGATCTTTTGATGGAATCTCAAGTATGGCTGGTACAGGGGAATTGTGATTATCAATCACATGGCGTATGATTTCTGCCACATTCTGATTGATCAAAATTATATCAATGTCATCTCTTTTAACAAAACGCTTGAAGCAATCCTCAATCTCGCTAACGGCTGTGTCTGGAACACAAAAAATTTAGAAATTTTTTATTTGGTGTGTGCAGCCATGCTCTACCTACTTTTGTCCACAACCATGAAATTGGGGTGCCTGTTTTTGTTTATTTCGCCTACCCCTCCTAGGAGAAATCCAACACAAGTGTCCTGGAAAAATAAAACTTTCTCACAGTTTTCCATACTGATGTATGATAGTTACCTCGTCGCCAATTACTGAGATTAGTTTTCCTTTTACTGCAGAATGTAGTGCCATTTTAAATAAGAACAATCAATTTCAAATTGTGTGAACGAAATTTGTAAATTTTTACAATGAAAACTGGATTTCTAGTCACCTGACAAGGAGTGGTGGTTGAAAATTCAGTGGACAAACATAAGTCACTAATCAGCTGATTGCTGCACTATTGACAGTAAAATGACAGATAACCTTTACAGCGTTGCCAGGTATATTATATAAGAAATGTACTAGATATTCATACAAGTTCTCGTACTTGAATCCATCTGCGATCCCTCACATAGGCGTACTAAATTAACTTTTTTGGAGGGATTTTCTCGAAACAAATTTTCAGGTCAGCTCTCGAATATAAGACCAAATTATATGATCAACTATCATCAGGACAGTTAACAGAGGAAGAAATGAGGAATAACCGGAGATTTTTGGTTCGGTTTGACAAAAAGAACAAATCCAAAGTTCCCGATTTGCCACCTAGCGATTCAGAACCAGAGGATAAGTACCCAGAGAGTGAAGATGAATATTATAATTCTGATAGTGATACGAATGATAGGGATCCTGGTGAAAAATTGTTAGTATCTTCCAAAAGTTATTTATCTTTATTTATTCCTAATTTTATATTTTCAGTGTGGATTATGTTGATTGTTTTGGAAGAACAAGAAAATGTATGCAGAAAGATCTGGATTATTTGAAATCAAAGGATAAGGAGCTTAGAACAATAGTGGAAGAAAAAAAGAAGAAACTTGAGATATCCATGAATGAGGAAGATAATACTAATATTAATATTAGTCCAGTTCCCAATGAAATAGAGAATGAAAAAATAAATGATATAAATGAAGAATCAGAATTACTCTCAAGTGATATGAGAAGAGAAATGCTGAGAATGCAGTGGGAAAAAGAGGAGGAGGAACTAAGAAATAAATCAGATATTCACTACCAAGATATATTATTTAGCGGTAAATCATAGCAAAAAACAAAATAAATTTCCATATCACTGATCAAATTTTCATTTCAGAGGCTAGATCCCATGGTGTTGGTTACTATGGGTTTTCCAAAGATGAAGAAGAAAGGAGAAAACAACAAGAAGCACTGAAAAAATTGAGAAAAGAAACAGAAGAACAACAGAAGAAAGCTCAAGACTTGAAGCTGTCAAGGGAAAAACTTTTAGCAGCAAGAATAAAGGCTGCTAAAGACAGAAAAAGGGCCAGACTTGGCCTACCACCTCTGGAAGATGGTAAGCAGTTGAATTTCTTGTCTTCTCAAGTAGATGTCTTGAATATTTTCATTTCAGAACCTGAAACCCCAGTAGAACCTGAAATATCAGATGAAGACAAGAAGAAGGAAGAGGAGAAAAAGCAGCAGGAAGAGAGAGAAAGGATTCTTGATGAGGCAAGAAAAAAATTCATAAGACCTTGGGACATAGGTAAAGAAGGAGTGAAAGAAAAAGAGGTCATGACACAGGAAGAATGGGTGGAAAAACAAAGAAAAGAAAGGCCTGAAATGTTTGCACCTCCAAAAACTTACAGCAGACAAAACTTCAGAAGTAATGAGAAGAAAAATGACATGGAAGACACAAACAAATCTTTGAGATTTTCTACAAAAAAAATACCCAAGAGTCATAAAAACAAACAGTCAAGAACACAATTGGGTATAAATCCATTCAAGAAAAATGTTCAAGAGGACACAATTATTGATGTTGATGAAGATTATGTGGAAATTCCACAAAGTAGTCCCATTGAGCCAACCCTCATTGAAGATTTAACAGATTCTAGAGATTTTGAAGATAGACTTTTAGGAGATTATAGTACAATTTCCCAAACCATTGATCCAGACTATTCCAATGACTCAGACAGGGGAAGGGGTGTTGAAATTGCCCCACCACCAACTTTTGATTATTATGGACCAACCAGTAGCAAAATCCCAAGAAGATCTGAACAATCTAAACCACTTGAAGATTCAATAGAAGCTGGGCTGAAGTTCCTGAGAAAACAAGTTGAGCATAAAGAAAAATCTACCAAACATCCAGAGGAAATGTTTCTTTTTTAGTTTATAATGGATGTTCAAATAAATATTGTTATTTACCTCTTGTAATAAATTATATTTTAGCCCAATCTCTTATAAATCTTCCCTGGCACAAAAATAATCAGATTGAAATAATATTAACCCATCAAATAATACACATTGTAGCTATTATGGAACAAAAGAAAGTTACTTGGTGAACAATGATTGCTCAATGCTCAAAGTCTGCATACTGACAGCAGAGTGAACACAATAAAATTCAACTATTACCTTAAATATTTAAATGCACAAAATCAGTAAAATCACAGTCAACATAACCAGAGAGTCATCCCCAAGCTTGTGTTTTACAGTAATGTAAAACTAATTTGCCTTCGGTACTGTAGCAGTCATACAAGTTCCTTATAACTTGATCTGGAGATGGTGCAAATGTTTGATTAACATACAAAAACAGTTTCTCATTAGATTCTAGTTTCAAGTATTTCTTGATGAACTCTATAATCCAACCTATTTTTTTGTCACTATCTACAGTCCATTTCTTTTTCTTCATGATGGGGGCATTCCCAGTCGGCTTCAGGAGTATGTCCACTTTGAGTTTTTCTACGTTTTTGCCTTGTTCATCTGAATCTGTGGATTCCGTTCGGATGTTCATAGACTGGAGTGAGTCGCCCACTTCTTGGCAATCTGCTTCAGCACTCATTTTTGTAATGAATTAATTTTAATGATTATTATCAATGAACAATGAATCAGACCTTCCCAATCAAGTTCATGTTTATTTTTTTCCTTAAATTTTTCATTTGTTCTGGATTTGACGTTTGACTTTGATAGATCGACTGTTATCGACATACTAATGACATCACAGAACAACAATTTGAAACACTCATATATATTATTTTGTAGTGTATATATATTTGTCCTTTTCTTCCTCACACATTGGAAAAGATGAGATGTTAATACGGTTAACAATTAACCAGAAATTACCAACAAGATAGAAACTGACCACCGAAACTGACAGAAAGCGAAATATCTATGAAAAAATGACAAAATGACGAGTCGATCATTGAAACAGCTGAATGGGGGTTCGTCTGTCTGTAAAATTAAATAAATTTTGTCTGAAATCCAAAATCGGATAAATATAAATCTGACCAGCTTTATGTAATTCGGCCCAAAATAAAAACGATTCTATAAAGTATCCATTCAGAGAGAAGTGAAAGTGCGTGAAGTTTTTGATAGCGAAGGTCGTTGATGTCCATTGAAAATGATTGAACTGGAACAAACACAAAAACAAGTCTTCGATTAATCTGGTAAAATTTTAATTTTTCAAGTGATACGATTATGATATACTTCACAAAGTGGCTGAGACTCAGTAATATTTTTTAATTATCATTGCACGTAATGAATATCTGATAGTAATTGCTGAATTTGGAGTGAGAAGAGAGAAAATTATACAGCATAACAATGTCAACTATGAAAAGTGGTGGATTAGCCAAGAAAGAAGGCAAAATGAGGATTCGGGCCTTTCCTGTAAGTTTGTAATGATTGATATTGATACTATATAAACAATAATCCTTGTAGTTTCTCAAAATACATGATGACACCTACACTGTTTTCCCTACTCTCTTATATCATCAATCATGGTGAAATTGGGATTGAGCACAACATTTGCAAAATATAATTTTTTGCAAGAGGTGACATGAAAAAACAAACAAATAAGTAACTGTCATTTCAGAATCTTAAAAATTCAAATTCATTGTCATTTTATTACTTTTTACAAGACACAACTAAGAAATATCACATTATATACCCAAGCAAAAGGCATGTTCAGTGTACAATCATTATCCCTAAATGCTCACATATGAAATTCAGTGATCATAAGATGAACATTAACTCATATTTCTCCAAGTACTGGGATCATTGGGAAACTCCAGGAGACAATGTACTCTGCACCCTTCTGGAAAACTTGCAATACCCACTAACAAAATTTATGTTATTAGATGACTATGGATGAGAAGTATGTAGAGAGTATATGGGCTCTGTTGAAAAATGCCATCCAAGAAATACAAAAGAAGAATAATTCAGGCCTGAGCTTTGAAGAACTATATAGAAATGCTTACACCATGGTTCTCCATAAACATGGAGAAAGGCTATACACAGGATTAAAAGAAGTTGTTACTAATCATTTAGAGCTCAAGGTAAATATCCTATGCAATGTCCAAACATGCTATATATCCAGTATTCTGATTTCTAGGTCAGAGAAGATGTTCTCAAGTCTTTACATAATAACTTTTTGATGACTCTAAACCAAGCTTGGAATGATCATCAAACATCAATGGTTATGATCCGTGATATACTTATGTACATGGACAGAGTGTATGTGCAGCAAAATGATGTAGACAATGTCTATAATCTTGGACTGATAATATTCAGAGATCAGGTGATTTTCTGTCACATGAAACATTTTCTACAAAAAAATAAGCAATGAGGTAATCAAATAATCTAGACTGAATATTTTTTAGGTGGTAAGGTATGGTTGTATAAGAGACCATTTGCGAGAAACTCTTTTAGATATGGTTATGAGAGAAAGGAGAGGTGAAAAAGTGGATAGAATATCAATTAAGAATGCCTGTCAAATGTTGATGGTGCTTGGTATAAATTCAAGGACAGTGTATGAAGAGGACTTTGAAAGGCCTTTTCTGCAGCAGTCAGCTGAGTTCTATAAGGTCTTTTTAAATTGTCAAATATTCTATCATATGGATTGTCTTCAATTGATATTTTATTTTAGGTGGAAAGTCAGAGGTTTTTAGCAGAAAATAGTGCTTCTGTGTACATAAAAAAAGTTGAGACAAGGATAAATGAGGAATCAGATCGTGCCAAGCATTATTTGGATGAATCAACAGAACCAAGGATTGTAGAGGTTGTAGAAGAAGAGTTGATCAAAAAGCATATGAAGACTATTGTTGAGGTGAAATATAGTGTGAAAGAAAAAAGTGTTTACCCCATTTTGATTTATTTTTGTGTTTCAAGATGGAAAACTCTGGTGTTGTACATATGTTGAAACATCAAAAAACTGAAGATTTGGCATGTATGTACAAGCTGTTTGGTAGAGTGTCAGATGGCTTGAAAACCATGGCAGATTGTGTGAGCATGTACCTCAGAGAGCAAGGCAAAGCCCTTGTGCAAGAGGAAGAACACCAACCCACAACAAATGCCATCACTTTTGTGCAGTCCCTGTTAGATCTAAAAGATGGTTTTGATCATTTCCTGAAGAATTCCTTCAACAATGACAAGATATTCAAGCAGATGATTGCTTCTGATTTTGAGCATTTCCTCAATTTGAATCCCAAGTCTCCAGAATATTTGTCATTGTTTATAGATGATAAGCTGAAAAAAGGAGTCAAAGGGGTAAATGAATCACAATAATTTGAAATACTTTTTGTTTTAGTCAGTGTTGAAGAAACATTTTTGGGTTTTAGATGTCAGAACAAGATATTGAATTGGTTTTGGACAAATCCATGGTTTTGTTCAGATTCCTTCAAGAAAAAGATGTGTTTGAGAGGTACTATAAGCAACATCTTGCCAAAAGATTGTTGTTGAACAAGTCTGTGAGTGATGACTGGGAGAAGAATATGATCTCTAAACTAAAAGTAAAACTTGAGAAACTTGTACACAATCACAAAACCACTGACATTTTTGATTTTTTTTTCAGACTGAATGTGGTTGTCAATTCACTTCAAAGCTAGAAGGGATGTTCAAAGACATGACTGTCTCAAATACCATCATGGATGAGTTTAAGGAACACATTTCCAAATCAGAGGTTCATATTATTCAATAATCTATTGTTTTCACTCATGGTTTAATTTTTTGTATATTTATAGACGAATTTGGGAGGAGTTGATCTGTTTATGCGGGTCCTAACGACCGGATTCTGGCCGACCCAGAGTGCAACTCCCAAATGTCATATCCCAGCTGTGCCATTGGCTGCCTTTGAATGTTTCAGAAGGTGAGATCCGAGTTTGGTAATTTTGTGTTCATATTTATTTATTTTTCTCTTGATAATGGGGAAGTTACTATAATGTAGACAACCCCATTAATTTATAAATCATTAAAAAGTATACGCCAACAATCCTTGAACACAACACACTGATGAATGAATGAAATCGCGAATGGTGGGGATAAAGATGAAGTGGAAGACGGTAGCGCCGATGAGCAAGAAATGATGCGGCGTGGGCATGGCCAGAGTTGATGGGGAAGTTTCCTTCAGATGAATTTTCATAAAATAAGTTCGGAACTCTCCAGTTTTATGTCCACGCTGTACAGAATAGCGACCGATAAAGTCCAAGTCGTTTTCATTTTCAAATTAAAGCAATTTCTAATTTTCGGAGCGGCAAACTGTGACGAATATTCTGAATCTAGTCTGAAAATAGCTGATGGTGAAGAATATAGCTAGCGAATAGCTAATGAATAGCTAACGAATGAAAAAAATAGAAGAAGAAGTAAAACTGGTAAACGAAAACATACATAACCACAAATGCACTCGGAGCAGGAATGCAGAAGGTAGTTGGCTTCATTCTGCCATTTTTCGCGGAAACTGTTCACTTTAGAGCATTGAGACAAGAGGACGTTTTGTGTGTGAAAGATATTGGCGCTTCAGAATCTACTTTGAAAATTACAATTCCTCCAGTGGTATAAATGTTTGGGGGGTTAAACCCCTACGAGACGTTGAATTCTCCTCCACAGACATGTCCAAGGAAATTGATCAAGAGCCCTAAAAGAAGTCATTATTGATGATGAAGTGTCTACGAAGGCTTAACTCCGTAGCTCAAACGGTTCCTGAGATAGTAGCAAAAAACAGATTTTTTTTGTATTTTTTTGACGCTCTGTATCCTGGAAACGGGAGCCTGGAAAAAAATGTCGAAAGGGGAAAAAATGTTTCTTTTTTCATGAGGAATCTACAGTTTTCCGTTGTGACACTTATTTGTTAACACCCTGTATAAAGACCTAAGAATTATGTGCCATCTGAATATTTTATGGCTTTCTGGTTGAAAAATATTGTTGTTTTCGACATATCAGGTTTTTCTTTTTGAAATATACATATACGTAAAATCGCCTCCCGCCCTTCCTTCCAGATTCTATCTGGCCAAACACAGCGGCAGGCAGCTCACCCTTCAACCCCAACTCGGCAACGCCGACCTCAACGCCGTCTTCTACGGCCCCCGCAAAGACGACAGCGACAAAGACGGCGCATGCTCGTCCTCCACCAGCCTGGCGTCAGCCAAGTCGGGCCCCCGCAAGCACATCATCCAGGTGTCCACCTACCAGATGGTGGTGCTGATGCTGTTCAACAATCACGACAAGCTGACCTACGAGGAGATTCTAAACGAGTCGGATATACCGGAAAGGGATCTCATCAGAGCTCTGCAGGTAAAGATTCCCGAGATCGTCAACAAAATGATCAAATTTTGCAATGGGGAAGACCACTGTGGGATGAAATCCGTCCAAACCTCTTTCAATCAATAAACCATGATCTACATTCAATGTACAATCATTATTATGATTTAAAGTTGAAGGGAATCAAATCTATAGCGTTTGGAAATCAGCATATTCCATAGGATGTTTTAATAAGCCAAATATGAAGGTGGAGCCGTGACGTATTAGTAGCTATCTCTCTCTGATACATTGCTTTTTTGCAGTGTTGCAGTGTGATTGGTCAGCTCAAGGACAATAGGCGTGTTGGGACTAATACGTCACACCACTCACACCAATGAATTGACACCATTCCAAATGGCGCAGGAAGTGTTTTGAAATGAACATATTATTTTTTCATCGTATTCAAAATTATATTTACTAGTAGTTTTTAGATATGGAGCTCACGGTCGTTTTAAAAAATCGGAGATCTCCCCCATTGACAAAGCCTTGAGCGTCATCTGAGAGACATACAGTGGTTGTAGACCTCATCAAAATAGACGAAGTCACCAAATATTGCCCAAAGAATTGATCCTGTTACGGTCCTGGTATGTTTACCATCTTGGTCCTCTTCTTTTTTCCTTCAAACACCCTGTGGCACGGAAAATTTGCACCAAATCAACGAATATTGGCGGTGTTGGATGATTCCTTAACGGAAATCTTCCTGTGTACAAACGAAATGCTGCTGCTGCACTTTGGCGACACTCACCATAAATCGAAGGCACGTGAACAAGTTTATTAATTTCGGAAACGTGCTGCATTGTTTGACAATGCACAGAAAAAACATAAGCGGGTCCGCTAACTAGTGGTTAGACGAACAAAATTTCACTGTGGGCGGTAGTAAGACAGATGGTTTGTCGAGTAATCATTGAACATACACCATTCAGAACTTTCTGAATATTTCAACTCAAATTAATAAAAGGTTTTATGCATTTTTTCAGAATTCTATTATGATAAATGACCAATTCCATATGTGCTGTGTTAGTAGGTACAGTCGTCTTCAGAAAACATGTCGCACATGGACGGTGTCAGCACAAACATATTGTCAGGGATGGGACCACCCAGTATATTTAAGTCGATACACTTCTGACCCAAATCGTTCTGATTGGCGATTGTCCCCCTCTTGAGTTTCTATGAAAAATTTAATCCACTTAGTTTCTTCCTGTAACCACATAATATACATCACCATCAGTATTGTATCAGTACTTGGAATTGAAAAAAAAACTATTTATTTCAAAATCGTCAAATAGATGAACGTGTTCTGTTTAATGTAGCCGATACTATATTCTATCTTTCATCCTACTGAAATGATCTTGACATTGACTGATCGTCAATCGATGCTCAATAGTCAATGTCAGTGAATCTCAAAGAAACAAACACAAAATAACTGCCGCACCTACTGGAATACATGTATATAAACAACTTTCTTTTTATTTCATTGCTCCGCTAGTAATATCATAGCTTGCTGGCGATGGGCAAGGCGAGGCAACGCATTCTCATCAAAAACCCCAAGACGAAGGAGATCGTGGTCTTCATCAAATTGATTAACGTATTATGTTCAATCAAGCTGCTACTAAATTCTATCTTCCATCCACCACAAACATATTGTGCTTCATATTTCCCACCGAAGTGATCTTGACGTTGGATCGTCAATCGATTCTCACTGTGTCGGGTCTGTGAACAGCAAAGAAACAAACACAAAATAATTGTCATACCAACGTGAATACCTGTATATGAACACGTTCTTTTTATGTCATTGCTCCGATAGTATCATATCTCTTGTCATGCGGTTTTCAGTCGCTGGCGATGGGCAAGGCAACGCAACCCATCCTCATCAAGAACCTCAAGACGAAGAAGATCGTGGTCTTCGTCAAATTGATGAACGTATTATGTTCTATCAAGCTACTACTAAATTATATCTTCCATCAAGCACAAACATATAGTGCTTCTTATTTCCCACCCAAGTGGACGTTGGATCGTCAATCGATGCTCACTGCATCAGTGAATAGCTAAGAAACAAACACCTGACGAAGCTACTGTGTTAACAAAATAACTGTCGCATAAACGCAATAAACACGTTCTTTTTATGTCATTGCTCCGCTAGTATCATAGCTTTTGCGGTTTTCAGTCGCTGGCGATGGGCAAGGCAACGCAACGCATCCTCATCAAGAACCCCAAGACGAAGGAAATCGAATCATCGCACGAGTTTTTCGTCAACGACTCGTTCACGTCGAAGCTGCACCGGGTGAAGATTCAGACGGTGGCAGCCAAGGGAGAGAGCGAGCCGGAGCGCAGGGAAACGAGGAACAAGGTGAGGAAAGGGCATGCAGGGCCGGGGTTTTTCGATATGTGTGTTCGTTTTTTGTTCAATTCTCGTGATGAAATTTATCGTTACTGAGAAGAATTAGAAAACATCTGATATCATGGGAATATTCCTTAGACTATATCATATTGATGTGCTGAATATGTGCATTAATTTCAAAAACACCGTACATCAATTTCATGTATTCAAGAAGTGAAAAAGACCTCAATTTTTGAATTCAAATATCCCGCCAACTTGTTTGACAATTGACTGACAGTGAGAAATGTTTTGGAGGGAAATGTAACGTCATGAGAGTTGGTGTTCCAATGTTGTATGCTTAGTTGGAATGTAAAAACATTCTAATGAATAACAGTACCGACAACGAAAACCCGATTGTTCACTCAATTTCTAATCGATTATTTCGATGCAACGAAGGTCGACGAGGACAGGAAACACGAGATCGAGGCGGCGATCGTGCGCATCATGAAATCGCGCAAGCGCATGGCCCACAACATCCTCGTCACCGAGGTCACCGAACAGCTGAAGAGCCGCTTCCTCCCCTCCCCAGTCATCATCAAGAAGCGGATAGAGGGTCTGATCGAGCGCGAGTACCTAGCGCGCACGCCCGAAGACAGAAAAGTGTACACGTACGTGGCGTGAACGGCGCTCGTACGTGTCATGTACGTGGCGTGAACAAGTCACGTTCGTGGCGTGAACAAGTCACGTTCGTGGCGTGAACAAGTCATGTACGTGGCGTGAACAAGTCACGTACGTGACGTGAACAGATCGCTTACGTGACGTGAACGGCACGATTCCCGAAATCGGGGCACGCGGACTTTGGCGAAACTTCGGACGGTGATCCAGTGAATCCTCATAGATAATTAATTCATATTCGTATAAACATAACGTTAATTAAATTATTCCAAATGATTTTTTTTTAATTCGCGATGGAGGTGTGCAGTGTGGGGTTTGGGAGGGATTGTCGGGGCCGGAATCGGTTGTTTTGATCCAATTTGAATAATGAATGGCTGGAAAGTTCTTGGGCTTGAAGCTTATGTTGATATTTTTTTATGGTACTTCTTAGAATATTTGGGGATTTATCTTCAAGCACGATATTTTTTCAGATTGTATATTTTTTAATTACTTATTCTAATTATTTTACTGAAAACTTTCATTGCCTTTTTTTATCGATCTATTTATAGATGTACATATTTCAAAAGTATAATTTGAAACTTTCTAATCTGACTTGACTTTCAAGTTGAGTGTGAAAGATTTAACCCTAAAAAAAACTAATGTCAAATTCAATGAATCTATATTTTTGAGATTCGTTCTTAAAATACTCATTTTCTCGAAAATCCTTCAAATTCTTTTTTATTTGAATCATATTATTGTTTAATTTGATTGAATCCAGGTAAATTTGAGACTAGAATTCCATTTGAATTTTATTGAATTTGGAATCTGATGAAGTACTGAGAGTTATGAAACAATCCTTCACCTAACATTTTTTATCGTTTATAAAATTTATAAATGGGGATTCACAGATGAAACCAAATAAAAGAATTGGTTGAATCAACTTATTTTGGCTCTGACAAAATGGTTGAACAGACTTGGAGATCTATCAATTTCTTGAAGAAGAGTTTATGTTGGAGTTGGTCAGCTAGTGATTATTTAACATTGAAAACACATTTTTTGTATTGTTGATCTAATGAGGAGCACATATAATTTACATTTCCTTGGGTCATGATATTTGATATGGAATTTATTTGAAATTATAATTGAAAAACCAATGGATATATTACAGATAACGGTTGTTGTTGTCAAATTATCAACTAGTCAAAAATAGTTGAGGATGTGGAGTTTTTTTATTATGATATTTTATGTGGAGAACCAATTTCATCTTTTTGTAACTGTCAAATCATTTGTGAACAATATTTATATCCCTAACTTTTTTGATAAGTGGATAAATTTCTAAAACAAACTGTTATATCAAATATTATTTATTGAAAAATATGAATCTTCATATCCTTACCATCTTGTAGAAAAAAAGTTTGTGGTATTGAATTTGTGAATTAATTCTTGAGGTAGAAGGATAGGCTATTGAAATCTGTATACTGCTATATTGGCAGATATTTCCAAATGGTTTCTTTGGAAGTGGAAAGAGTAAATTTTGGAAACATGATGAAAAATAAATAATTTCTCCAGTTATTATGCTGTACCTATGGATAATTTTGAATTAATTGAAATTCCTCTGTAAATAGTTTTCCAAATGTACGAAATAATCAAATACATATTGTTTTTTTTTTTTCATACATAAAGACAGATAATATGGATAATGCTGATTTAACATGGTGAATAAACTGTTTTAATATGTATGGTATTTTAATTCCTATTATACTTTTTTGTTCTTGTTATTTATTTTTCCATATTCATATCATAATCCACATCAAAATAGTACCTAGTTTTTTCCGCAGTAGTGCGGAAAATTGACTAGTTCGACACTAAAAAAGTTGCTTTTCCGCGAGTTAGTAGAAAATAGTAGTCTACCTAACAAGTGCGGAAAGTGATGCTTTTCCGCACGCTATTGCAGATGTCCGAACGACGCTTAGCGGAGTTATAGGCCAGCAATCGTCTGCGGAAAAGTCAGTTTACGCACTTCTTGGGTACACTATTTTTTCTATTATCCTGCTGAAAAAACCCTAAAGTTAACAGAAAAATTCATTATTATTAAATATTCCAATGTCAGTATACGTCCCAGAAACTTAACAAATATACTTTTCCGCACTAGTGCGAGTTTTTCATTGTATAACGTCATAAGGCCAAAGATTAACTTAGAGAAGAAGAAAAAAATACATTGACATCACATGATTTTGATATCTATAAATGTCTCTCGCAAGAAATTCAATTAGTAGCGTGCTGCTTGTGATAAACAAGCCAACACACGATATCTCCTTTTTCTTCATAGCTAGAGAACCTTCTAATAGCTCGATAGCTGACTGTCCTGTGTATCTGACTTCTACGGCAGGGGCTCGTGTTCAAATCCCTGCGAGGCGTCATTTTTTTTTTCTTTTTTTTTACGAGTTTGGTTGAAAGAAATAGCATTCTTCATCCAGAAACAATATTTTTCTTACTTATACTTAATACTTCCTCTTTTATCTAAGTAATTTTTCGAAAAATAACTTCAGGAAAAAGGTTCATTCATTCCTTGAGATTTTCCGTAGGACGGCAGCATGCTACTGATGGAATCACTGGCGAGAGACGTGTGTAGATGTCTACTTCAAATTCAAATACTTCGACGTCACAACATTGATATGTTGACAATGTCACAACATATCAAAATGTCAAAAATTTATAAAAACAAAATGAATTGTATTGAATTCTGGAAAGTATTGTATTATTATTTGTATTAAATTGTATTCAGCTCTACTACCAGTATTTCGATTTTACCATATTATCTTACAGTGGTTTGAAGAAGTGACTAAACTATTTGAATTTGTTGAAGACCAACAGAAGCATGAACTATGTCAATAATATCTAATTGAACATTGAGATTCCAATCAAAACATCTCCACATAGAAAATCGCAGCTTTGTCGTTTTCTTGTGTGTACAACAAAGAAGTAAAGGTAAGCTCCACACACATTAATCCCATGACAGTCATATATTATATCAACTAGTAGTTCATACTTGAAATAAAAATGGCTTTATAGATAGACTCAGTGTGGGGTTGGGCGTCCCCGCCCTTACGACTCCAACTGGCCGCCCACCTGCGCCCCTGCAGAATGGGGGAGATGACGGGGGGCGAGCGGCCCCCCTCCCCCGCTCGTCTGTCCCACTCCTCCGAAAAACACCCCAAGAACACCCTCACGGAGCTGAACTTGCTCCGCAGACACCGTGAGCTGTGCGACGTCGTTCTGAATGTGGGCAACAGGAAGATATTTGCACATAGAGTCATACTCAGTGCTTGCAGCCCTTATTTCAGGGCCATGTTCACAGGGGAACTGGCTGAGTCGAGGCAAACAGAAGTGACCATCAGGGATATTGATGAGTTAGCTATGGATTTGCTCATTGACTTCTGTTATACTTCTCATATTGTTGTTGAAGAGTCGAATGTGCAAATGTTGCTGCCTGCAGCTTGCTTACTGCAGCTAACAGAGATCCAGGATATTTGTTGTGAGTTTCTCAAAAGGCAGCTGGATCCCTCAAACTGCCTGGGGATTAGAGCTTTTGCTGATACACACTCTTGTAGGGAGCTGTTGAGGATTGCTGACAAATTCACTCAACATAATTTCCAAGAGGTAAGTTGAAAATTGATATTGTGGAAAAATAATTGTGAACATAATCCTAAACAGACTGTTTTTTTTTTCAATAACCTAAATTTCTTATATGCTATTCAGTTCTTGAATGGATTTTGATAAAGGCTTATTATAGGGGATTACAAAAGATTTTTGGTGATAACTGTTTGAAATCTAACCAGTTTGTCATATTAGCAGAAACAATTATTTCAAAACTCAGAACTCATTCAATTTATATCCACTTTTGTAATTTCATGGAAAATGTGTCCTACAGTTTTCAAGATAATCTGAATAAAAACATGTTCTTTTTGAAAAATGGTCCACAATTTTTGTTTTAAAATTTTGAAAAACTACCGAAAGGTGTATATGACCCAAATTTTTTTCAGATTATTTTAATATGCCGCTTTTTTTCATCTTTTTTTTCGTCTGTTCATATGTGGTGTTTTACATACTAGTTTGATATATAGGAATCTCAACATCTCTTTATACAGATCCCATCTTTTTTGCCAATAGAAGTATTCCCAAGAACTTATACCAAAACTCCAAAAGTTCAAAATAAAATTAAACACCTACCTCCTCTCCCTATCCTCCCTATATACTTTTTATTGAAAAATTACAGCTTGAAATTTTAAAATGGTAGCTGAATACTCCATAACAAAATATCATGTAAATGTTAGAGACTTGGCAACATTGTGCTGAATGCTGAGTAGGGACAAGACCACGCCCACAAGTCATGGGCGCGCCGTGTTGTCACGTTCACCGCAATGAGCCACAAAGCATAAGGGAACATTTTGAAACACTGTGCTATGGTCTGCCCCTAATTACGAAATCGTGACGTCAATTTTTAGTCGCGCTAAATTTCTATCTGTTTGAAAATTACCGTGGCATTATTGATGATTTTAGCACTTAGAAATCGACCGAAAAATTGAAAAAAATATATGAAATTGAAAGGTATTTGAGTGATGATCCTATTTGACAAATAAAAAAAATTAATCCACTCGCCTATTGTAACGTTAATAACTATTATCTATTGGCGCCCAACGTGGGGTGTCCATTGTAATGACTTTATTGAATCCGCGAATTGAATCATATAAAGATGAGTTATCCATCTGGAATATTCCATTTGTGCATTCGATTCCCCCCAGGTGATGGAGTCTGAGGAATTCTTGCTTCTGCCTGTGGGTCAGCTGGTCGACATAATAGCCAGCGACGAGTTGAACGTGCGCACTGAAGAGCAAGTGTTCAACGCCGTCATGGCTTGGGTGAAGTACAACGTGTCCGAGAGGCGGCAGCACTTGCCGCAAGTGTTGCAACACGTTCGTCTGCCTCTGCTCAGTCCCAAGTTCCTGGTACGTCATTTTGTGATAATCATTTGTACCGGCTGATTAAAACGTTCCGCCCTTGGCTTATTACAGGGTAAAAGGAGACCTGCAAATGGAAATTTATATTTCTTTGTATCTGAACATCATTAACCCTTTTCAAAATGGCGGAATTGACGTTGGAAAAATATTTTTTCCACAAAGTTGCCATTTTTTTATATTCTGAATGTACATATTTTTTTAAACAACTTCCATCCAAAAATATATTTTCTATGTTCATTTTGTTAAATGCTTTGGGCCTCTGAAGTTGGTATTTTTAAATAAATCTCAACATTCTCAACTCACCCCGCTCTAATAAAAATCAAGTGGACCGAGTTTGAGTTTTTGATGGGTTTTAATATGGATGCAAAATGCATCTCAATGCATATTGTTCACATATCAATTTGTTTTCCGGTCGACTTGATTTTTATCACTTCAGGGTCAGTTGCTTTCAACCAGACACATGTTCCGACATTCAGCTGGGTATTCCGACTTCCTTGGAGTAGTTCAGCAGCTTCCTTAGCTAAATATCTTTCACGTCCTCTGAACTTAAAATTATGTTTCCAAGGACAGCCCTCCTCTGATGTGTCAGTGCTGGGCACTCAGTGAGGACGTGTCGTCATCTTCTAGGCACCATCGGCAAAGGGGATCATCTTTGATCTCTAATAAGCTCTAGGCGCCTATTGAGGTGGCTGTGCCCCGTTAGGAGCCCCACTACCATTTTAAGGTATCACCTGTTGAGGGATAAAACCTCTTTTGTAAGTCTTTTCAAAGGATCCTTTATGTGGAGCTTCGATTATCTCATTCCTGGTGTGTCCTGCCATATTTTGAGGAATTGCTCTTGCAGCTGTCCCTTCATGGAGGACATTGGCAGACTGTTTAGTATTCCCAAGATTGGTTCCGGTCCGTCCGGGGTCCGTCCTGAACCGATCTTGGCCAGTCTGTCTCCCTCTTCATTTCCGGGTATCTCCGAGTGTCCCGGGACCCACATGAGGCTAACTTTTTTTGATTTTGCCAGGTTTTCCAAGGCCTTTCTGCACTCGGACACCAAATTGGTTGTGATCCTATTGGATTGCAAAGCCAGTAATGCAGCTTTGCTCTCCGAGCATACAGTTATTGGTCTACGACCTCTCATAATCAGGTTTTCTTGGACACAGGTAAGTATTGCGAGTACCTCTGCCTGGAACACTGAGGCGTATTCGCCCAAAGGAACTGAGATTTCTTTTCTTGTTCCTTCGTTGTATACCCCTGCACCTGAACTGTCCCCAAATTTAGAGCCATCCGTGTACCAGATTGACTCATTGGGAGGAGGCACGCCAGGTGTTGTGTCATTCCATTCTTCCCTAGTAGGGATGACAATGTTTGGGGCTTTGTTGAAGCTCAGAATCGGCAAGGTACTGTCCCTTCTCATCATGAGGATGGGACAGTTTTCTTTGTCCATGATCTGCTTCTGCTCCGACCCACTGGTTTGCACCGTTAAGTCGGTAAGCAGTTCTCATGGCTTCGTGTCGGCTGGACTCTATATAGAATTTATTTTTCTATTTTTCTATAAGGAATCTTGTTTAACTTTTTGTTTGAATGTTTATTGCAAATCATAAAAATATAATATGGAATAGGTGGGCACCGTCGGATCGGATTTGTTGGTGAGGTCCGATGAGTCTTGCAGGGATTTGGTGGACGAGGCTAAGAATTACTTGCTGCTACCGCAGGAAAGGCCGTTGATGCAGGGACCGAGGACTCGACCCAGGAAACCGACGAGGAGAGGTAGGCATTTTTACAATTTTTATATTTAAATGCCTTCATAAACAATGGGCGATTTTCAGGCCACTTCCATTCGTTGAAACGTTTCTAAAAAAAATAGGAATACCCCTGAAAAAGAGAGGTTTTGAACCATGCCTTCAGCAATTTGTGTGTTTGTTTAGTATTTTATTTCCTCTGGATTCATCGGGAAAACAACCTCCAAACATAACGCCAATTGACAGTCATATGCCCGAGACCACCTTTCGCCAACATACTATGAGGAAGATTTTATTGGGTCTCAACACCAACAAAGCTTGTGGCTCCGACGGAATCCCACCGATTATCCTCAAAAAATGTGCTCCTGAACTAACACCTGTTCTCTACCTAGCAACTATTATTTCAAAGATCATGGAGAAAGCTATCAACGTCTCACTTATATGGCAGCAATCTATTGAAAAATATGGTGAAACCTTAGCCGTGGCACTTGATATCTCCTAGGCATTCGATCGAGTATGGCATCACGGACTCCTCGCCAAGCTTCCATCTTATGGCTTGCCTCCCCAGCTATGTTCTCTGCTAGCTAGTTTTCTCTCAAACAGGTCTCTCCATGTTGACGGAGTTTCATCTGACTCTTATCATAAATGCTGGTGTTCCGCAAGGAACAATTCTAGCACCAACACTATTTCTACTCCATATCAACGATTTATGGAAGCAACTTCATGTCCAGTACACAGCTTCGCGGATGATAGTACCCTTCATACCGCCTTCTCTTCCAGGACTCCTATACCAGCCAGGCAAATCAGAAACGAACGAGGGAGAAATGTTGACAACATAAATATGGACTTGGCAACAATTCTCGAATGGGGATCCAATAACTTGGTAGATTTCAATGCAAACAAAATACAAGCATGCCTTTTCTCTAGAAAAACCGATCTCACTGTGCCCAACATGAGCTTGTCAGGAGTAACCATACCTTTGAAGACATCCATTTTGATGCTTGGTATTACTATCAGCAATAACCTTTCTTGGGAAAATCACGTGAGATCAATTGCTACAAGTGCATCCCAAAAACTTGGTTTTCTGTTTCGGGCCACGAGCTATTTCACTTCCAGTCAGCTGCTCATGATCTGATCTGTCCTGGAATACTGTTCACAAACTCACTCACTTCTCTGGAACACCGTAGAAAAGTTGACGATCTGGCTCTATTTTATCTCTCTATCTGAAGTATCAACAATTGTTCCTCCCTTGGCAGTCCCGCGAGATTAACTCGTCGAGTTGAGGCTTCGCACCCCTTCGTTGTCATTTTGGAGACCTGCAGAACATCTCTTTCCAAAGACTCGTTCGTCCAACGAACAGTGAGGCTCTGGAACACATTGCCAAGGGAGGTGTTCCCCGAGGCATATAACCTCCAGAAATGTGAGAAGAACACCAATTCCTACCTTATTTCCCTTGGTTCTCACGATGATCTTTGAAAATTACAGGAGAGACGAATTGCTCTTTTTTGGACAGAATCCAACAGTTTCAGGGTATGTTTGGGTGCTGCACTCCAAATATGGGAACAGTATTCCAGGACAGGTCGGTGGACTATTACCTTCAGTAAAATTATTTTTTTTTTATCCAGGCGAGGTGTTGTTCGCGGTGGGGGGCTGGTGCAGCGGCGACGCGATCGCCTCCGTCGAAAAGTTCGACCCGCAGACGATGGAGTGGAAGATGGTGGCGCCGATGAGCAAGCGAAGGTGCGGAGTGGGCGTGGCCGTTTTGAACGAGCTGCTCTACGCGGTCGGGGGGCACGACGGACAAAGCTACTTGAACAGCATCGAAAGGTAATGGAATTTTTAGCTGTTCAGAAGAGTCTTGTAGCTCAGACTGAGTAACAATAGATATGCATTGTGATTCATTTATAAATAAATGAAATGTATACGCCATCAAGCCGAAACGCAACACACGGATGAATGATTGAAATTGTGAATGGTGGGGATAATAACAGACACTTTAAATATGCGGATGAGTGCTCAGTCTAAATAACAATAGATAGACATTGTGATTCATCAATAAATAATTGAAATGGATACGACAACAATCCGAAACGTAACACACGGATCAATGAATCAAATCGCGAATGGTGGGGAAAATGGCAGAAACTTTCAAGTATGCGGATGGGTGCTCAGACTAAATAACAAAAGATAGACACCTCGATTCATTCATAAATCATTAAAAAGTATACGCCAACAATCCTGGACGCCAAATACGGATAAATGAATGAAATCGAGAATGGTGGGGTTAACGATTGAGTGGAAGATGGTGGCGCCGATGAGCAAGAAATGCGTTGGCATGGCCAGAGTTAATTGAACAGCATCGAAAGGTAGGGATTTATTCACTGGTTTTTATGCAATTCTCGACTAACCTTTGAAAAATAAATGGGTGGTTTCAATTTTTTCATCGGACAATATCGAAGAAAGTTTTTTTCTGTGTCTGACTCACTAAAAAAATGTTTACGTCACTGAAGTTGCATCTGAATTTAGAACATTCATTGATATTTTTTCAGGTATGACCCTCAGACTGATCAGTGGTCATGTGATGTAGCCCCCACAACTTCGTGTAGGACTAGTGTAGGAGTTGCAGTCTTAGACAATTTACTGTATGCAGTGGGCGGTCAAGATGGAGTCCAATGCTTGAATCACGTTGAAAGGTTTGTCTTTGTTCATTTTCAGCTTTTTTATTGTTCATCTCAGAATTTGATTCACTAGTATCCATATTTGAAACTGAGAAAGAACTTTACGTACTTGGCCAAAAATCGTAAAGATGATGCATGTATTATTTTCATTTTGAGGTATTTTTTCAATTGATTGGAAAACACTTGTTCGGTATCCGTGAAAGTAGCTTTTGGCACTCCAAATAAAGAAACATCTGTAATTTCCCGGAAGATGCTTATTGTCCAACTAGCCTCATTGGAATTTAAAAACATTCTATAATTTTTCAAGATATGTATGCGCCACAAAATAATTTTTTTTAGGAGAACGTCTGTTATAGGTTATATACACTAGTAAATCAATTTGAACACGAAATTCCTTCTTGCACTAGTTCCAAAAGTAATTTGGTGTTACTTCTCCCTTCTAGCACTAGTGTTTGATTCACCTCAGCACTAGCTTATACACTAGTAAATCACTTTGGTCACCAAATTACTTCATGCACTATTTTCAAAGGTAACTGCTTAATTCACCTTCAACACAAGCATATACACTAGTAAATCACTGACTACTATATAACTTTTTGCAATAGTTACAAAGGTAATTTGGTGATACTTCTTACTTCTAGCACTATATAGTGTTTGATTCACCTTAACACTATAGCTTATACACTAGTAAATCACTTTGATCACCAAATTACTTTATGCACTAGTATTAAAGGTAAATGCTTAATTCACCTTCAACTGACTACTATATTACTTTTTGCAATAGTTACAAAGGTAATTTGGTGTTACTTTCAGCAGTAATGTTTAATATACCTCTAACACTAGTAGATACACTAGTTTTAACACTAAATTACTCCTAGCACTAGTGTTGAATTTACATCCAATAGCATATACACAAGTAAGTAATTGCTGTGAACACTAAATTACTTCTTGTAATAGTCCAAAGGTAATTTGGTATTTCCATGACAGGATTAATGAATTCGTCGACACTCTATGCACTAGTAAACTACTTTGTACACTAAATTACTTCTTGCACTATTTTCAAATGTAATTTGGTATTATCTATGGTTGGTTTAATGAATTTGTTGACATCCTATACACTAGTAAATTACTTTGAACACTAAATTACTTCTTGCACTACTGTCAAAGGTGATTTGGTGTTACTTCCAGCATCATTGTTCAGCACCAAAAATAATGCATGCGCCGTTTCAGATACGATCCCAAAGAGAACAAATGGATGAAGGTGGCGCCGATGACGACGAGACGCCTCGGCGTTGCCGTCGCCGTTTTGGGCGACTACCTCTACGCCATTGGCGGCTCCGACGGCCAATCGCCGCTCAACACGGTCGAACGCTACGACCCGAGGCACAACAAGTGGACGCTTGTCAGTCCGATGTCGACGAGGCGGAAGCACCTCGGCTGCGCCGTGTTCAACAATCTGATTTACGCAGTGGGTGGCCGAGACGATTGCATGGAATTGAGTAGCGCCGAACGGTACAATCCGCACACGAATTCGTGGAGTCCGATCGTGGCGATGACGTCGAGGCGCAGCGGGGTGAGAAAAACCGTTTTTCCATAGATGCTTTTTGGATTGTTGATTTTTTAGATTTTTGACCCCCTCAGAAAAATATTTGGTACGCCACTGGCAACTATCTCAATTTCTATTTTCTTCTCAATGGTGTCCAAGAAATTTCAGAAATTCGGTTTTTCAACTTTTTACCTATAAATTAATATGGAGTCCGATCGTGGCGATGACGAAGCGCAACGGGGCGAGAAGAATGGTTTTCCGTTGGAGAATTTTGAATTTCTGATTTTTTTTTATTTCTGACCCCTCTAGAAAAAAAATTGGTGCGTCACTGGTAACTGTCTTGTTTCCGATTTTCATCTCGATACTGTCGAAGAAATTTCAAAATTTCGACATTTTCAACTGTATGACCTATAAATTAATCGACGAATTCGTAGAGTCCGATCGTGGCGATGACTTCGAGGCGCAGCGGGGTGAGAAAAATCGGTTTTCCATAGATAATTTTGGATAGTTGATTTTTTAGATTTTTTACCCCCTCAGAAAAATATTTGGTACGCCACTGGCAACTATCTCAATTTCTATTTACCTTTCAATGGTGTCGAAAAATTTTCAGAACTTCGATTTTCCAACTTTTTACCATTAAATTTATGTGGAGTCCGATTGTGGCGATGACATCGAGGTGCAACGGAGTGAGCAGAATAGTTTTTCTGTGGAGAATTTTGGATTTCTGATTTTTTTCATTTCTGACCCCCCCTAAAAAAAAATTTGGTCCGCCACTGATAACTGTCTTTATTTTGATTTTCATCTCGATGCTGTCGAAGGAATTTCAAAATTTCGACATTTTCAACTGTATGACCTATAAATTAATACACGAATTCGTAGAGTCCGTTCATTGCGATGACTTCGAGGCGCAGCGGGGTGAGAAATGTAGTTTTTTTTATTCTGGATTTTGAATTTTTGTTGTTTTTTCATTTTTGACCCCCTTGGAAAAAAAATTGTACGCCACTGGCGAATGTCTTGATTTCGATATTGTTTCCAAAGTTGTCGAAGACATTTAAAAATTCCGACTTCAACTGAATTTATTACCTATAAATTAATACACGAATTCGTAGAGTCCGATCTTGGCGATGACTTTGAGGCGTAGCGAAGTGAGAAGAGTAGTTTTTATGGAGAATTTTGCTTTCTGATTTTATTATGTTTTTGACCCCCTTAGAAATAAAAAAAATGGTACGCCATTGGCAACTGTCGTAATTTCGAATTTCTTTCTGATGGTGTAACGAAGTAATTTCAAAATTCCGAGTTTTCTAATTTTTTTACCTATAAAATAGTACACGAATTCGTGGAGTCCGATCGTTGCGATGACTTCGAGGCGTAGCGGGTTGAGAAAAGTAGTTTTTCTGGTGGGTTTCGAATTTTCGATACTTTTCATTTTTGACCATCTTAGAAGAAAAAAATGGTACGCCACTGGCAACTCGCGTGATTCCGATTTTATTTCTAATGGTGTCGAAGAAACTTCGATATTCCGTTTATTTTTCAAGTTTTTTGCGCTAAAAATGTTGGTTACGCCACTGAAGTTGAATTTTCATATTTGCACAGGAATTCATGGAGTCTGATCATGGTGATGATTTCAAGACGCAGCGGAGTGAGAAGAGTTGTTTTTCCGTGGAGTATTTTGGAGTTATGATTTTTTTCCTTTCTGGACCCATTAGAAAAATAGTTGATACGCCACTTTTTTCTTTTTTATCTCGATTCTTTTATCTTTTCTATCTCGATTCTCCTATCTTTTCTATCTCGATTTGTTTCTCTTCTATCTCGATTTTTTTCTCTTTTCTGTTTCGATTTGTTTCTCTTATCTATCTCGATTCTTCTCTCTTTTCTATCTCGATTTTTTTTTCTTTTTCCTATTTTGATTTGTTTCTCTTCTATCTCGATTTATTTCTCTTTTCTATCTCGATTATTCTCTCTTTTCTATCTCGATTTTTTTTTCTCTTTTCTATCCCGATTTGTTTCTCTTCTATCTCGATTTATTTCTCTTTTCTATCTCGATTCTTCTCTCTTCTATATCGATTTTTGTTTTCTCTTTTCTATCTCGCTTTGTTTCTCTTCTTTCTCGATTTTTTATATTTTCTATCTCGATTTTTTCCTCTTTTCTATCACGATGTTTTTCTCTTTTCTATCTCGATTCTTCTCTTCTTTCTATCTCGATTTTTTTATCTTTTCTATCTTGATTCTTTTCTTCTTTCTATCTCGATTTGTCTCTCTTCTATCTCGATTTTTTCCCTTTTCTATCTCGATTCTTTTCTCTTTTCTATCTCAATTTTTTTTCCTCCTTTCTATCTCGATTTGTCTCTTCAATCTCGATTTGAATCTCTTCTATCTCGATTTTTTTCTCTTTTCTATCTCGATGTTTCCCCCTAGGTCGGTCTGGCGGTGGTGAACGGCCAGCTGTACGCCGTCGGCGGCTTCGACGGCACCGCCTACCTCAAGACCATCGAGTTCTACGACACGGAGCAGAACCAGTGGCGGCTGTGCGGCTCGATGAACTACCGCCGATTGGGGGGCGGCGTCGGCGTGATGCGCGCCCCCCAAACGGAGAACCGGGGCTGGTAGTGGAGGGACTATTTGCGCTTCTCCGAGGCGCTCGCCTTCTAGATTTAGATCTCCGGACGGGAGGAGGTGTGGAGGGTTCGTGTATGACCTATAGGTCGCGTGCACGACTGCACGATGACCGACCCTGTATGTGATACATTGAAACACAACCTCACTTTTCTGTAGAACATTTGAACACAACCCCACTTTTTCAAGGAATCAAGGAATCGAAATAGTTTTATTTACAACCATATATGTAATGTTGTCATTACTAACGTCATTGAAGGTTGGGAAGTGTCACATTACACACCTCGACGCTTTGCGTCTCGGTTAACTAACTAATCTCACGACAGGAATGAATCACTTCCCATTTCGGTGTGGCAATCGTGTTTTTTTTTGAGCTATTCATCAATTGAGGCACGCCATCACCTTGTACTGTTGTACAATGCACAAAAAATGATGCAGCGAGAGACGAAGGAATCTGGTTGGTACATTTTAATTTAGAAGTAAGTACCTACTATAGTCACTCACATAGAGTTTTCATTTTGGAATTTAGAAAATTCTCTGATTCCTCATCGGAATTCCTTTTGCAATAGGAGCTAATAGAAATACCAATAATTTTGTAATTTCTCATCAGAATTCCTTCTGCCACATCTGCAATAGAAGCTAATACTGCTAATAAAGTGAAAATGTCTACAACACGCACACAATCATATTTCGTCAGCATGTCAGACCAGTCCTCCCGTTTGAATTTAATCCTCTTGCCTTCTTTTAGAAACTTCACGAGTATTTCTATTAGCTCCTATTGATGATAGTACGACCAACCCCTTGATCTGGAGCTCTGGCAGTGTCATTTCCACCCTTACAATCATCTTCATTGCCGCTATGATAGCTTGGGTAGTCCTCAAGATCAAGAAGAAACCTCAACAATCAGAAGAGGAACCTCACCAGAAAGAACCAAATGAAAACAAATCGTCACCACTCTTGTTTTCCTCTTAAGGATGGAGGAGTTATGTACCCTTATCAGCTGAGGCAGCAAGAAAGAAGACTCCTGTTCTAGGAAATCGCCGCCTGAAGCCGACCTTATAAATTCATGTTGATTACGATCATTATTCATTCTGTATTTTGGTCTGCAACTCTTCAACAGCTCCTCGATGGATCTTCAGGAAAACTCGATGCCTTTTTGGATGCCGTTCACTCGAAAAGTTCGATTATCCGATATACCGGTGTCGAAGGATTGAAATCCACGTTTTTCGTCGAAACTGGTCACAACACCGCGTGATTTTCAATCGATAACTGTACTGATATCCTACCGACTGCGCCAGATATGATTTCGAAAACTCGAAATAGGTTTTAAAAAACAAGATTTTATTTCCGAATGCGACAAGTGTGTGTGAATAGTGCAAAACACAGAATGATTAATGACACCGCGTGATTTTCGATCGATAACTGTACTGATATCCTACCGACTGCGCCAGATATGATTTCGAAAACTCGAAATAGGTTTTAAAAAACAAGATTTTATTTCCGAATGCGACAAGTGTGTGTGAATAGTGCAAAACACAGAATGATTAATGACACCGCGTGATTTTCGATCGATAACTGTACTGATATCCTACGGACTGCACCAGATATGATTTCGAAAACTCGAAATAGGTTTTAAAAAACAAGATTTTATTTCCGAATGCGACAAGTGTGTGTGGATAGTGCAAAACACAGAATGATTAATGATCGTAGTATTCGTAGTTAACATGAATTCATAAGGTCGGCTTCAGGCGGCGATTTGCTAGAACAGGAGTCTTCTTTCTTGCTGCCTCAGCTGATAAGGGTACATAACTTACATAAGGAATTCCACTGAGAAATGACATCATTTGAAAATGAAAACTGTATGTGAGTGACTATAGTACTTTTAGATCACAATGTATCTACCTGAAAAATTAGATTCCTTCCTCTCGCTGCATTTTTGTGCACAATTGGATGACATTCTTGAATTAACGAATAGCCGAAAAACACGATTCGTATGCCAACATAATTGTGAAGAACTATTTCAATCATTTGTGGACAAATAAGAACAGTGAGGTTGTGTTTCAATGTTTTTTCTCCAGGGTCGGTCATGTGACAGATCTTGCACGAAACCCATTGGGTTTTTTATCGTTCGTTTTTCGTGCGGAATGTAACGCGGAAGCACGGATACATGTTTTTTGCTTGTGTTCTGGCGTTCTGCAGTCACAACAGGGTCCGCAGATATTAGTAACTATTCCACTTATCATATAATCTGACCAATTACAAGCCAGAGACTCAGTTGAAAGAATTGATTTATCAGTTACCGTCAAATGAGGTGTCTTTGTGACATATTTTACAGTGTATATATCTTCAAATTTTCACCCAACTAGACGCTGGCGCCTCGTAAATGCAAAATTGGCTTGTCAAACAAAATGTCACTTTTGATCCTTATCAAACAATCTACCTACTATTTTTTTCGGTGTATGGTTCGGCAGGTACGACTCAAACTTATTATTTTTCAAATGGAACAGCCTGTATTTCATAAGCTCATCAAAATCTTTATTCTTTTTCCTTTAGAATGACATGGCAAATATAAAAACTTCACAAATGAAACTTGTATTGACTGGAAAATTCTTTGTCTCATGATTGTCTCATGCAGTTCACTAATAAAACTGCTGGAACTTATAGTCATCGTTGCAAAGATTTTAATTCCACGAAATAATCTCAAACTGTTTAAATGTAAAAACTTCACAAACGATAAGATTTCCACAAAATTTTTGAGCACACAACATGTTTCGCTACACAGTAGCTTCGTCAGGTGATATACTGGTACAATGAACTGTAACAGTTTGGAATTGTGACGTCAGTTTTTACTCTAGGTAAATTTCTAGCCGTTTGAAAATTACCGTGGCATATTGTTGATGAATTTAGTACCTTAAAATTAACCGAAAAATTCTAAAAATATATAAAATTGATAGGTATTTGAGTGATGATTCTATTCATCTCGCCTGCATGCGTCCATAATGTATCACGTGATTCATTGTAACCAATGAGGCGCTGTGTCCTTGAGGTTTTGGACCGCTAAAATCACTGCGGACTTAGTTGCGACTGCGGAAATCTTGTTTTGCGCCCGGTTGCAATGATATATTTAACTATCAACTAATTTTATACTCTGCTATTATTCCAAGAAGAGATTGTTGAGATGTACACAGGTGAGTCGGGATCGAAAAGGAGGGGAAAATAATCATTTAAGCTTTTTCGATTCCAAAAATCCAGTCATTTTAAAGAAATGCCACAGCATGGAAATATTGGGTAATGGAGGGATGATTATTATTGATAGAAGGGATGTTTGATATTGCTCTGAGGGTCGTCCAGATGACCTGCCATTCATCTGGTCAATTTTCATTGGACATGGTTACAAAAAGTTGAGAAAGCTTTCATTATTACTACAGCACATACCTTATAATGATAGGTTACGAAAAACTGACTCGACTTGTTGACCTGTGTATGGAATGAAAAAGTTTGTATATGCAAAAATGGCAAAAGCAGGACATTTTCAATGCTTTTCACGTCTTTTGAACATAGGCATCTAAACATTCAGAAGTAAATTTGTACATATAATCTTATTTGATATTCCTACTAATTATGTAGGTATATAATAGGGCTCTTGATGTGTGAAATATACAAAAGTGATCGCTAAGAAACGTGTAGAGAGTTTAGATGTGATACAAATTGAAAATAAATTATTGAATTATGCAAATTTTATGAGAATTAATTATTTTTGACATTATAGTACATTTCTATGAATTAAATATTCTATTGAGGATAGTTTTACTGCAAAATTTATCTTCTCATCTCAATTGTCAAAATGTTTCTCATTGTCCATTTATATAATATTTGTTTTCTACTTGTATAATTTTGATTTTATGTCTATTATTGTTGTATTTCGATTTTTTATAATTTATTTCATTCTGAACACTGTTTTTAAATATATCGAATAATTATACAAAGTGCTGTTTCTTCCATTCTTTTACAAAGTGATTATGAGAAATTCTTAGGATATTCCTGTAGAACATTTCGAATATTCTTATAATTTTCTCTCTTTCTAATTTAATGATGTACCGGGTGAACAACTAAGAACGGCTGTCGGCCATATCTCAGCAACGGATAATGATACAAGTTCGAAATAGAATAAATCTGATGGTATGCATACGATGAAATAGAGAAACTAAATCTCAACAGACCAACGAAAACCGCAACATGATAGCTTTTCGCCAACGGAAGATATTCGGGATAGAAAATAACACGTCGCCCCACCTGACGGCAGCAATTTGAACACTTCTGATCGGTTTGTTTTGATAATACGACCAGAGATTATACACTCTGTGAACCAATGAAAACAGATACGGTACATTTAGGGTCTCTTGATGGAACTTGACGTTAAAGTCATCTTGTTACATTTTTTTCCAAAAATCTTTGGAAAGATTCGGAATTTTTCGAATTTAAAAACGGCATTTTGTTAAGGCGGCTGCATAATTGGCCGGGAACGCGGGAACATATATTTACTATTTCTATATATGGCGCACAATTAACAAGTTTCGTGTATTATTTTTTCCCTACGTCGGCATTAACGCCTATTTTTGTCAAATTATCTGTGTTCTGTGGTTCTAAATGTCATTGGTCATTGGTTTGTTTATTCTTTTCATTGGTGCCAAGGAAAATATGGCGGCAGCTATTTTCGATTTTCCGATTTGGCTAAATAAAAAATTGAGAGAACTTAACACAGACGAGACTGTTTTTGGCTCCTACATTGAAGGAATACTAGACAGCGATGAGACCACCGAAGAAAAAAGCGAAGATCTCCAAGGTTTACTTTCAGAAATAGTTGAAAACGTGGGTATAAACTTTCAGACCAAAATCATTTTCTATAAGCTGTACTTTATTTATAGGCAAACGATATTGCTGAAATATGTGAGGAAATTCTAGAACACTGGCAAATGTTCAGGCCTAAAGAACAAGTGCACCAAATGTCCAGTGAGGAAGTGAACATTAAACTTGCAAAACTACTTGAATCTCAATCCTTGGCCACAGTGAAACAAAAAGAGTACACTGAAGAGGATAAGAAAATTAAAGAAGCGATTCTTTCTCAGTATAGTGAAATGACAGACGATGAAAACGAGCAGGAAGATGGAGTTGTACAAGAGAGTGAGGGTACTCTGGAGAAAAACTTGAATGCTCAAACTGTGGCTGCTGCTGAAAGAAATAAGAGGGAACAAGCTAGGTTAGATAGTCAGAAGAAAAAAGAAAAAGATAAGGAAGACAGGTAGGTGCATATTCAGTATTTATATACTACCTGTTAGGAATCCTGATTTTTTGCCAAACTTTACTATTATTCCTATCCACATCATATTATATTGGAGTCATGTGACTGAAATCATGCTTTTCCATAGGAATAAGCAGAAACAATTGAAAGAAGAAAAGAAGGAGAAACGGAAAACGGTTAAAGGAGAGAGGAAAAGGTAGCTGGTCATCTTCAGGATGTAATTTTTAGTTTTTTGTTTTGTTTTAACTTGATTGTGATTCCCAATTACTATGTGATTAAAATATTTATCATGATTTGGTTTTCCCTTCATTTCATATTCATTTCATTACTGTAGCAAGGTAATTTTATGTTTATGTAGTCTAGTAGCAATTGGATCTATGAGTAAGTAGTATGAGTACCTAATTGAAGAAGAAGATAATGAACACGAATCTTGTCAAAGGATCTAGGAAGAGAAGAGGAACGATGTCACGTGACCTATCACGCTTTGTAGAGTAATAACAAGAGTAATAATACTTATACCTCTGTTTTACCGTGTTTTACCCACATCCTATCCCATCACTATAATTGATATCCACCCAATGATGGGCATTAGAAGTCTGATGACTGTGCACCCCTCAGAAAAAGTGCCTAAGGACAAGAGGCCAGGAAGTTAAGAAGAAGAAAGATCAAGATAGTATGTCTTATGATGACAAGAGGCTAGAAAGAGAAGAAGAATTGTACGGTTCTGTTCGCACGTTGGCAATTCTGTGTCATTGTCATTTGGCATTTTTCCTAAGGTCATTCCTCTTCGAATCTGTCGTTTATCAATTTTTGTTCGGGGTCAGGCATCGGCTTGAGTTTTGAATATCAATAATATTTGTAGAAATATGAGTGCTCCATTATTATTCGCATGTTCTCGTTGCTTTGCCCGGCATCCATATGAAGAACTATCTGTCGGACAGCAGCTGTGCAAAGTAAGTTTATCTAACCAGCCTTGTCTTCTGTCATTAGAATCCGATCAAACATAATATTTCTCTAATGAAAAATATCTTCCGAACAGGAGTGCCGTGGGGCTTTTCCAGTCGTGAAGTGCACCTATTGCCGCTCGGAATTCCAACAAGTTTCAAAGGGTAACACAAGCACAATTTGCAAAAAGTGTGAACAAAATGTAAAGTCCTATGGAAAACCAACTGCCTGCGAGTATTGTAATATAATAGCGGCGTTCATTGGTAATAAATGCCAACGATGCACAAATTCGGAGATCAAGTATGGGCCACCAGTTAACTGTGAACAATGCAAGCAAAAGTGTGCTTTTGATAGACATGATGATGACAAAAAAGTAAATTGTCTCAGATGGTTAGTAATTTTGGACACTTAATCTTTGTGGTTTAAGGTGGATGGAAAACTGCTTTGCTGGCTATGCACACTATCATTCAAGAGAGCATTGGCAAAAACCAAGCAAGGTGATGCAGAACGTAGAGCACATATGAAGATGTCTCAGCTGCATAAGAAGCACAAGGAACCCAAGTCAGTATCAACTAGCTCAACTTTTCTTCAACCTATGTACATTCTTATTATTTTTCAAGGTTGAGAGGTCACAATAAGAGACCTAACCGTCCAGATGTAACTAAGATTCCTCCTCCAGAAGAACCCCCAAATAAAGTGTCTAGGAATAACATGGCACCTGGTATTATGAGAGGGGATGTGGATCCTAACAGCTCTGATCATGTTGTGGCTATGACTCAGCTCAAAGAAAAAATTGCAAGTCTTCAGAAGCAGCTGTCCCAGAAAAACTCAGAACTATTGAACAAAGACAAAACAGTAATGATAATGATATTCAATAGCTTTTATATTTCAAATTTTCTGCTGTCTATGTTTCAATTTCATTTTTTTTTTACAGATTACTGAGCTCAAAGCAAACAATTTTACAACAGAAAATGAGCTGAGACACAAGCTGAAATCCATGCAAAAAGAACAAGAAGACAAAGTGGACTTTTTGAACAACAGAATATCTGGCTTGTTGAAAGAAGTGGCAGGTCTCTCTAAGACTGCCAAGAAAGGCAAGGGGGCTTCTTTGGTGGCAAATGCATCGGGAGACAACAATAGCAGTGGCACTGACAGCCCTAGTATTCCATAATTTCATGGAAGAATATGATATTGAGGGTATTGTGCCCTGATGTTCTTCTGATGCTAGTAATACCTCTATTTTGAATATCATTGAGATGGTAAGCATGAGTTTTGAAAGCATTGTTAATTTTTTTGTGCAAATATATTCAACATCTTTCAGATAACATTTCTTTTTGTAAAAGTTCCACTTCCCTGGAAACATTTTTGATATTTAAATGTGAGAGGTGGTGAAAATATTTAAGCAAAATTGATTTGAAAGGTGCTGTGCATCTTTATTCGAAAGCTTAGTTCAACAAATGTTTTCTTCCTTGGTAGATATACAGTGTGACCCACTCAAGACTGGAGCACCCTTATAAAATCTATAGTTTTTAACCAATTTATTTTTTTTTTGTTTCAGCAGAAGGACTATCTGGAGATCTACGTTTACACAAATTTGCAAAATGAAATTTCAATCTACAGGGCATACTATGTTATTTTTTTCATCTTAAAAATTTGCGAAATATCATTAGCGATTTTTTTTTAAATCGACCCCGCCACTGAATTCAGAATCCTTCATTTAGGTTGAGCGCAAAATTTCATTGTAAAATATCAATTGGCAACAAAGTTATACCAACATTAATTTTGATGGCTCACCATTTTTTATGGATATTTCAGACAAATTCTGAGAAGCGGCAACATTGTCAACACAAATGTTGGAAATCATCAATAGGTTTCTGGTATACATTTGAATTGATAACACAAATTATTATCGAGTTATAACATTCCAAAAGAGTACCATTCTAGAGATTATAACTCGATAATAAATTGTGTTATCAATTCAAATGTATACCAGAATCCTCGATGATTTCCAACATTTGTGTTGACAATGTTGCCGCTTCTCAGAATTTGTCTGAAATATTCATAAAAAATTGTGAGCCATCAAAATTAATACTGTTATAACTTTGTTGCCAATTGAAATTTTTCAATGAAATTTCGCGCTCAACCTAATTGAAAGTTGCTGAATTCAGTGGTGGGGTCGATTTTTTTTTTAAATCGCTAATGATATTTCGCAATTTTTAACTTGAAAAAAATAATATAGTATGCCCAGTAGATTGAAATTTTATTTTTCAAATTTGTGAAAACGTAGATCCCCAGATAGTCCTTCTGCTGTACTAACTATAGATTTTATGAGGGTGCTCCGGTCTTAAACTGGTCACACTGTATATTTTTTATTATTATATTATGTAGATCCAAATTAGATTGTGTGTAGTTATATACTATGCACATTTTACAAGCTTTCAATCTCTGTTGAAATTTCATTTAATCTGAACATTTTATGATTTTTTTAAAAATATTATAGCATTATTTTACCTGGATTAGAAAGTTGGCTGAATTCATAAATATCAGGTATCAATATTTTTTAAATGGAAACTACATGATTTTGAATTGGGGAAGAAATAAGTATCTGGCAAAATTGATATACCTAATGTTATAGGTTCATGGCATTCTGACATAATTCAATCATGAATACAGGGTGTCCGCTAAAAGGTCAATCCATTAACCACATATTCCTTGAACAAAAACAATAGGAGTTTCTAAATACCATTTTTCATTTCAGCCCTTCATATTCGATATACAGGGTGTCAAAGTTGGAAATTAAAAACTGTTGTTTTCTAATCACTCGCGTATTTAATTAGATATTAATCTCAAAATTGGTACATTACTTCAGCACAAAGAGTTACATCGTGTGAGGAAAACATAACAGAACATAACTGTCAAATATTCAAAATACTGGGGGTCAAGTACACACTTACCCCCATATTTTTTTTGTACGTGCGCTAATGACTTCCTATCTATTTTCCTTCAAGTGTTCAATCATTTTTGAGTATTTTTTGTTTCTTGTAAAATTTCGATTAAATCATTTGTTTTTAAGATAATTCGAAAAGTACTGATTATTGTTTGATGCCTATGTGACTTACGGTAATCTCATAATGTTCACATACTCCTATTTATTTCGTCGAAATTGGAAGAAGGCGTATCTTCTTATTTACGGAAAGGTAAATATGGAAATACCGGGTGCTCCGCAAATGTACTAAAATAATTTTTCCAAAAAAAAAAAAAAAAAAAGATAGGAAGTCATTAGCGCACGTACAAAAAAATATAGGGGTGTGTACTTGACCCCCAGTATTTTGAATATTTGACAGTTATTTTCTATTTTGTTTTGCTTACACGATGTAATTAGAAAAAAAAGTTTTTAGTTCCCAACTTTGACACCCTGTATATCGAATATGAAGGGCTAAAATAAAAAATGGTATTTAGAAACTCATATTGTTTTTGTTCAAGGAATATATGGTTAATGGATTGACCTCCTTTTAGCGGACACCCTGTATATCATGAAAATGAAACTGATTTGTATCCATAAGATTGTATATTTCTACATTTGGTCACTAGGTCAATGAAAGTTCAGGATTAACAATGCTTAACTGGATAAATATTTTCAATATTAGCTCAGTATGAAAGTTGTAAGGATTCATTTTGGTTGATTTGAATACCCAAATTATAGCTTTGAGTGTCAATAGAATGTTTGACAGTTTTATTTTGAATACTCAATAATATTTGAGTGAACCCATTGTTCATTGTAAGTTTCATTTTTTTTTTATTTATTAATTCCTCATAATATACAAATAGGTAAATATTTTTGTAAAATTATGTGATTTCATTGTATGTAAGACTATTGAAATAAAAGGTAAATATAAATATTATTGTTTTATTATCAATTGCATAACATTTCAGAGTTTTAGACAAACATGGCTGAGGGTTTGCCCAAAACTAAAATTAACAAGTAAATTTGTATAAATATTGTTTGGAAGACATTCACAAGCACAGCTACATGTTTCCTTCACACCTCTCATTCAACATTTATTAAAACTAAAAAGACATTTTATTGCACTTGCCTCTATTCCTACTGATAAAATGAAATGTATAATACATTGGTCACTCCACAATTATAGCTTTGTAAGTAATCTTTGGTCTTTCAATATCATCTTTGCTCTGCACAAGCTTCAATTCCTTTTGTTGTGGAGTCACTATTTGATCACCTATAAAAATAATCAAGATAAAAAAGATTCATAGAAATCTATCTACCTAACAGAAATATTTATATTTACCTCCACAGTTAATACTGTCAACTGTTCGTTTCAAAATAGCTTGTAGGGTAGCAATAGTGTTCTCTAAAGACTGTTTCAAATCATTTGAACTTTTATGCATCCATGATAAAATTAAAGCAGCAAATAAGTCACCAGTCCCTGTGAAGTTCCATGGAATTTTCTTCAATTCCATGGATAATTTTTGTACTTTACCTGTAGATTAAAAGATTTCTTGTTGCAGGTGCCAATAAACAAAGATTGTTGTGTTGATGAGAAATGTGAAAGCCTTAGTTTTTCACCAACCTGTTCTACTGCTTGCATAAACTGACAAGGAATTTGGGTTTTGGGAGATTTCTGCAGAGGATATGATGACAGTATTGCAACCTTTTGAGTGCAAAACATCAATAGCTTTCCACACATGGTCTACATCTGTAATTTTAATGTCTGTCAATAGCTCAGCTTCAAAGAGATTTGGAGTTATGATATCAGCCAATGAGAGCACTGAAGTCTTGTAGACTTCAACTAGATCTTCAGGTACATAAAGTTTACCATTGTCCCCTAACACTGGATCACAAACTATCAACAAAAATATATAAATTTTACAATCAAAGTAATGGAGTTATTTGTTGTACCATATATGAGATTTGGGTTTTTCTGTTTCAAATGCTTCACCACTGTGGCTACTTGTTTCAGGAATGACTTTGATCCAATATACCCAGTTAGAAGGTGAGAATAGAAATCAATATCATTTAATGTAAGTCCCTCTATCAAATCAGCCAAATCCTTTTCAGAAAGAATTTGCCCTTTCACATTTTTGTAGCCTGTATGGGTAGAAAGCTGAACAGAATTGATGAAATCTACCTCAAGGCCAAGTAACTATAAAATGGAAAAAATGATAGGGTTTTACATTATTTTTTACCAATTGGTTCACTTACTTGCATTGGAAAAACAGCACTTTTATTCCCAACATATCCAGAAACCACATGACTCTGGATTGATAATACTCTTGGAGAATGGCTCATATTTTGTAAAAATCTATGAAACCTAATATATTTCCAATATTTACACGTAGCACTAAATAGGATATGCGTCATAAAGTAGGGGATTTAGGGTTGTTTATATCGCATATCTTTATCATATGTAAATACAGATCAAAAGCAATGAAGTAATGATTCGTAAAATCTCTCGATTCATGATAAACAATAATTATTATCTGATCAGATTTTGAAATGTGAATGTTTGTTTATTTTTATTTGTTTGACGTTTCGCGGAATCGCGGATAGGTCGCGTGCAAGAACTGTCAGATGAACGACCCTGGAGGCAAAACATATTTGTTTACAAGTGATGGAAATAGTTTTCCACAATTATTTTGGCATATGAATCGTATTTTTCCGCTATTCATCAATTCGCAAATGCCATCACATTGTGCTGTTGTAAAGTGCACAAAAACTGCAGCGGAAGATGAAGAAATCCGGATGGTAGATTATGATTCAAAAGTAAGTACCTACTATAGACACTCACGTAGTTTTCATTTTTGAAATTTGGTTATTTCTCTGATTTCTCATCGGAATTCCTTCTGCAATAGAATCAGCTAATAGAAATATACCTGAAATTTCTAGAATAATGCAAGAAGATTGGAATTCATGCAATCAATCGGTAGAACTGGTCTGACATGCTGACGATCGTGTGTGTTGTAGACATTTTCAATCTATTAGCAGCATTAGCTTGTATTGCAGAAGTGGCAGAAGGCAGAAGGAATTTTAATAAGGAATGACAACATTTTATAATGCTAACTATGTGAGATTACTATTTACCTGAAAAATCATATTCCCTAGTCTCTTGCTGCATTTTTTGTGCATTGTACAACAGCACAATGCGAAGGCATGCTTGAATTAATGAATAACGCAAGAAATGGCAAGAAACACGATTCGTATGCCAAAATATTGTGAAAAACTATTTCAACCTTTTGATTCCTCTGTAACCAAATAAAAAAGTGAGGTTGTGTTTCAATAATTCACAGAAGAATGAGGTTGTGTTTCAATATTTTGCCTCCAGGGTCGGTCTTCGTGCACGCGACCTATTCGCGGTTGTGGGTTGTGGTCTTGTTCTTGTGGTTTTGTTTTGTCGATTTTCGTGGATGGTGTCGTGTGTGAGCCAATGAGCTCTTTGCAATGAGTGTCAAAAACATTGCCATGTTGCCAGGTAACTATCTTAATCTGCTACTGTGATTTAATCTTTCGACGTATTCTCAATTCTCGTATCCGAAATACCTAGTCTTTTTAATGATCACAATGAATCACGTGATACGGTTTGAACATAGCCCCTTTGGGTCACGAAATGAGTAAAAAAACAACATTCTATATATTGGTTGACATCGAGCAATGGTTACATTGAAGCATTGGTCAAAAACTGACGACACTCATAAGGTTCTTGTCTTGTTCATTGAAATTCCGTAAAAGGCGCTGAAATCTTCATATTTTCACTGGTTATCAGACCAAATAACAATCATTATTTTTATATTTACGAAGGAAATACAGAAATGATGTAAGTATGTTAATTTTCGATTGTGTTTATTGAAATTCTGATAATTGAGCTCTTATTTCCATTTTAAAGAGAATTCGTACACCGACATGTAATTTCCAGCTGGTTTATTGTCGTCAAGTTTGGGCAAAACGAAGATGCATCAATGTAAACACCATATTACTCAATTATAAATATCTCAGTCAAGGCCCGTAATCTGTTCATTCTGTTCATTGTTCAGTTCAGTACAGTACAGGTCACTGTTCAGTGTGGTTATGTGGTCATTGTCGATTTAAATGGGAACCTAGTAGGCGACCTAGTACGCGAGGAGATACAAGAGAGTTGAAGTAATCACTGTACGTAGACCTTCACGTAGACGTTAACGTACGAAAAATAACGTTTACGTATTGTCGTTAAATGAGTTGAAGTCGCCACTTTGGTCGCCACTGTCATCATAACGTAATAATACATTTTGTTTTCGGTTTGTATTGGTCATTTTTGGTTGTGTGTTTAGATTCGAACATTTATTCCTGTCAAAATTAGAGGACTCCTTGATGCAGAACTCGTTGATGATCTCGAATTTGATAATTTTGACTCATCGGCATATTTCGAGTATAGTTTGGTTAACGTACGTTGATATTTAAGGTATACGTGAAGGAACGTGAGATACCGTACACCCGTAAGCCCACTAACAACGCAAACGTGAAGAATTGGAAAATGCGCATGCGTAGCTGTCAATTTCTACGTTTACGTTAACGTTCATGACAACACTTCAACTCTCTACAAGTTCTCGCCTACTAACTTCCTAACTAGATCGTCATTTTAAACGACAATGGTGTGGTTTAGGGTCCCTTGATGCAAATTTGACGTATTTCTATGTGGTCAATGATGGCTAAATATCTAGACTGCCTGTCGACATTGCAGTGCTGCCAGACGGTGCTACTGTCTTGATTTGAAGTGACATCGAAGTTGCATCGAAGTGACTTGTGATGTTCTCTCTATTTTTGTTTGATTGGCAATTCTGTAAGGGCGCTTTTGTCACTTGTCAATTTTTATCGTTACTCGCGAACTCACGGTAATTATAATTATGCAGAAAGTATTTTATTCATACAATAATTCATCCCTTAATATATAAACTAAGCTCTCGATTAATTCAGATTCTTCAAAAATTTCTTGCCACCACCTTCTGCATAAAGTTCAGATGCATTTTTGTTTGCAGAAGCAGCAGAAAGGTGAGGTGACTTCTTTGCAGTGATTTGACAGTTCGTGAACTGATCATCATTCATGGATTTTGATCTGAGCAAAGAAAATATTCAACCCCTTCGTGGGGGTAGGAATGTTCAACAACTCGGAATGGCTCTGCAAGCTCAGACAAACAGAGAATTGCAGATGGAATTGTTACAACAAAAGGAGTGAGTAATGTTTTTTAAATTGACCAAAAAGTCATAACATCTAACTGGGCTGTGTTCCAAGAGTCGGGTATTCAAAAGGGGATTTCATGGGCCCCTAGCTCAAATTTTCTTATAACAGTAATGAATTATTCATCTTTTCCTTTCAATCTGTGATTTCAATGTAACAATAATTATTGGAAAGTGAAAATGTTACCTGAATGAGGCACAACCTTAACAGAAAAATATATGTTGAATTCCCCTTTCCAAAAAGGCTCCTATTTATAGGATTCAAAAAAGTTAAAAAAAACACAAAGGCTCCTAGCAATTGATAGAATCCATGTTTTTCTTCAGGCTATTGAGCAAACCATTTTTTCTTAGTATTTTAAGTGAATTTCAGTGGAGATTTTAGTATGAATATCTATTACATCAGGGGTCAGCAACGAAACAAATTGTGAATGTATAATTTCAGATTTATTTATAATGAACATTTACAACAGGGCAGTAGCAAAAAAGGGCCCATTGGGGCCTACTTGCTTGGCTACAGCCTCCCCACCTAGTACTACTAAAACAGACAGATGTCCAATTATTATATGATTATTGCAGGCATTTAAATATTTTAGGCTTTATCCACCATAGTTCATTATCTATGATTTTTGCTGTGGTTTTTGGTATAATCTTATGATGGACTATGAAATTGTATACCATTTTGGAATGAATGGTATTTCCCAGGATTGTATTAATACCCTTGTTCAAATCTTCCCAACAGTTCTATACAAGGAAAATATAAACTGTTTGTGATATCTAATTAGATTAAACTATTTCTTGATCATTTGGGTTAACAAAAGCCTGATCGTTTTCCCAACTTCAAATTGCAAAATACTCAAATGAAAAGTGTTTTGATACTATTGCAAAGTGAGTTATAAATAGGTTTTGCTGGTTTCAGAAAGATCTCCCACAAAATAGAAAATTTTCAAAACTCATTTTCAAAATAATGAATATTATTGACTTGCAAAGCACTACCACACTGAAAATGGAAACAACTTTCAATGAATGTAATCATTTGATAGATTTCTATGGGAGTTTGTCATCTGAAAATTTCAGGGACCTAAAAAAGTATGCTCAACATATAATAATTATATTTGGTGGTACAGATTTATATGAGCAAACTTTTTCAATTATCAATTACTGAAAATAACTATATCTCCACTAACAGATGCACTTTTAGATGCTATACTACATGTATCTACTTATAATATTCAACCAGAGATACAAAAACCAAGACAAATTCAATCACTTTGAGAAATTATTAGTATCAAATTGAAGTGTATGTGTAGGCATTTTATTTGAATTATTTTTATGCAATATCAGATAACCTGCAGTTGTTGGTTTCAATTATAACATGCATGGCCCACCTTTGGAAAAAGGCTGTGGACCCATATATTACTAGGTTTTTTACTTTGAATACACAGATATGTGCCACTTGTGTATCATTTTTGAGATTGAACATTTTAGGGAATTTGAGAATCTGATAAGGACATACACTGGAGATGATCCTCTAGAAAATCATTATAATTTCATCTCTTGGGTAGAACAAAGCTACCCCAAACATGGCCATGAAGGTAATGTAACTCCTTTACTAGAACACTGCCTAAGTCTTTTTGAGAGGGACAAGAGGTATACAAATGACAGAAGGTTTTGTAAACTATGGATTAAATATGTAAGTTGGAACAGTTTTCATCACAATTATGAAATCATAGAGTACAAGTAAATTCTCTTCACAATATATTTTTCCATTTGTTATGAGCATTGCACACCTTCCATGATTTTAGTTTGACTTGCAACAGAACCCATTGGAACTGTATCAAATGCTGAGGGCCAAAGGGCTGTGCATTGGTTGTGCAGACTTGTACAAGGCATGGGCATACTATCATGAAGCTGCTGGAGATTTTCAGTCTGCCAATAATGTGTTTGAAGAGGGCAAACTCAACTTGGCCCAGCCCTATGAGGAATTGGAAATGGCACACAAAAATCTCATTATGGCAGCTGGCCAACATGTGAGTTGAAAACAAAAAATCCAAAATACTAGAAGTGTTGATTGGTCAACCTCATCATACTAAGGTTTTGGGTCACCTTCTTTCACTCAATTATATCTTAATGGTGAGAATGTAGCATGACAAAATATAATATGTGAGACATGAATCATTTTTATTCTGTGCTGGAATTTATGTGATGTATTTTTTTTGTTTTCACTGCTTGTAAGTGTACTCAGATGAAACTGCTGTGTAAATTTAATAAGGGAAGCATACATTTTTTGTGCAAAATCAAGAAGTTAGAGAAAATCCCCATTTTTCTAATTACATTCCAATGATGAACTGCTGAAATAGAAACATAATGAAAATAAAGTGTAAACAGTAAGGTTTCATCACAGCACTGATGAGTTTCCAGTTCCTACTTAAACTCAAATAGTATCAATAAATCCAGCTCTTTAATCATTACATAAACTATGTTTTTTTCATTATGAATCCTGCACTTATTCGGTTTCGAATTTTTGACTCTTGATGTCGCCGCTAGATGGCGTTAACTGAAATTTCGACAAATTTTTGAGTTTTTTTCAAAAAAATACAAATGTAATGGTATATCAATTTTCATGTGTTCCAAAAGAGGATAAATTTCTCTATAATTCAATCAAAATAATTTATCATTTACCTTTTTTTGAACCGTTGATATTGACCAAAATATAATTTTATCACATTAAAAAATGGCACGCCACTGTTTTTCATCAAAATAAAAATCAGTTTTGTAATCTCTTATTAGTTGGTAGGCTACTACGTCTCCATTTTCCAAATTTTCCCGATTTCCACCACAGATTCGTTCATTACGACATCAAATTAGTCTATGTGAATTTTTTCAGATTTTTAATAGGCAAAATAAAAATTTTCATTTTCCCACCTGAGACTTCAGCGCGATATAGTTACCGAACCATCTTCGGACGGCCGAAAGTGCAAGAAAACGGCGGAAATCCACGCGAATTATTGCTTTTTCAGTAGAAAATGACACGCTGAATCGAATGAGACCATGATCAGCCCGATAGGAAAGATAGTTTTCGAGATATCGACGCTCAAAGTCAGCTTTCTGCTTTTATTGCCAATAGGAGCACTCCGGTAGGCTACTACGTCTCCATTTTCCAAAATTTCCCGATTTCCACCACAGATTCGTTCGTTACGACATCGAATTAGTCTATGTGAATTTTTTCAGATTTTCAACAGGCAAAATAAAAATTTTCATTTTCCCACCTGAGATTTCAGTACGATATTGTTACCCAGCCATCTTCGGACGGCCGAAAGTGTCAGAAAACGGCGGAAATCCACGCGAATTATCACTTTTCCAGTAGGAAATGACACGCTGAATCGAATGAGACCATGATCAGTCCGATAGGACAGATTGTTTTCGAGATATCGACGCTCAAAATCAGGTTTCCGCTTTTATTACCAATAGGTGCACTCCGGTAGGCTACTACGTCTCCATTTTCCAAAATTTCTCGATTTCCACCACAGATTCGTTCATAACGACATCGAATTAGTCTTTGTGAATTTTTTCAGATTTTTAATAGGCAAAATAAAAATTTTCATTTTCCCACCTCAGACTTCAGTACGATATAGTTACCGAGCCATCTTCGGACGGCCGAAAGTGCTAGAAAACGGCGGAAATCCACGCGAATTATCACTTTTCCAGTAGAAAATGACACGCTGAATCGAATGAGACCATGATCAGCCCGATAGGACAGATAGTTTTCGAGATATCGAGGCTCAAAGTCAGCTTTCCGCTTTTATTGCCAATAGGAGCACTCCGGTAGGCTACTACGTCTCCATTTTCCAAAATTTCCCGATTTCCACCACAGATTCGTTCGTTACGACATCGAATTAGTCTATGTGAATTTTTTCAGATTTTCAACAGGCAAAATAAAAAATTTCATTTTCTCACCTGAGACTTCAGTACGATATAGTTACCGAGCCATCTTCGGACGGCCGAAAGTGCCAGAAAACGGCGGCAATCTACGCGAATTATCACTTTTCCAGTAGAAAATGACACGCTGAATCGAATGAGACCATGATCAGCCCGATAGGACAGATAGTTTTCGAGATATCGAGGCTCAAAGTCAGCTTTCCGCTTTTATTGCCAATAGGAGCACTCCGGTAGGCTACTACGTCTCCATTTTCCAAAATTTCCCGATTTCCACCACAGATTCGTTCGTTACGACATTGAATTAGTCTATGTGAATTTTTTCAGATTTTCAACAGGCAAAATAAAAAATTTCATTTTTTCACCTGAGACTTCAGTACGATATAGTTACCGAGCCATCTTCGGACGGCCGAAAGTGCCAGGAAACGGCGGAAATCCACGCGAATTATCAGTCCGATAGGACAGATTGTTTTCGAGATATCGACGCTCAAAATCAGAGTTCCGCTTTTATTGCCAATAGGAGCACTCCCGTAGGCTACTACGTCTCCATTTTCCAAAATTTCTTGATTTCCACCATAGATTTGTTCATTACGACATCGAATTAGTCTATGTGAATTTTTTCAGATTTTTAATAGGCAAAATAAAAATTTTCATTTTCCCACCTGAGATTTCAGTACGATATTGTTACCGAGCCATCTTCGGACGGCCGAAAGTGCTAGAAAACGGCGGAAATCCACGCGAATTATCGCTTTTTCAGTAGAAAATGCCACGCTGAATCGAATAAGACCATGATCAGCCCGATAGAAAAGATAGTTTTCGAGATATCGACGCTCAAAGTCAGCTTTCTGCTTTTATTGCCAATAGGAGCACTCCGGTAGGCTACTACGTCTCCATTTTCCAAAATTTCCCGATTTCCACCACAGATTCGTTCGTTACGACATCGAATTAGTCTATGTGAATTTTTTCAGATTTTTAACAGGCAAAATAAAAAATTTCATTTTCTCACCTGAGACTTCAGTACGATATAGTCACCGAGCCATCTTCGGACGGCCGAAAGTGCCAGGAAACGGCGGAAATTCACGCGAATTATCGCTTTTTCAGTAGTAAATTACACGCTGAATCGAATGAGACCATGATCAGCCCGATAGGACAGATTGTTTTCGAGATATCGAGGCTCAAAGTCAGCTTTCCGCTTTTATTGCCAAAAGGAGCACTCCGGTAGGCTACTACGTCTCCATTTTCCAAAATTTCCTGATTTCCACCACAGATTCGTTCATTACGACATCGAATTAGTCTATGTGAATTTTTTCAGATTTTTAATAGGCAAAATAAAAATTTTCATTTTCCCACCTCAGACTTCAGTACGATATAGTTACCGAGCCTTCTTCGGACGGCCGAAAGTGCTAGAAAACGGCGGAAATCCACGCGAATTATCACTTTTCCAGTAGGAAATGACACGCTGAATCGAATGAGACCATGATCAGCCCGATAGGACAGATAGTTTTCGAGATATCGACGCTCTAAATCAGCTTTCCGCTTTTATTGCCAATAGGAGCACTCCAGTAGGCTACTACGTCTCCATTTTCCAAAATTTCTCGATTTCCACCACAGATTCATTCATAACGACATCGAATTAGTCTATGTGAATTTTTTCAGATTTTTAATAGGCAAAATAAAAATTTTCATTTTCCCACCTGAGACTTCAGTACGATATAGTTACCGAGCCATCTTCGGACGGCCGAAAGTGCCAGAAAACGGCGGAAATCCACGCGAATTATCACTTTTCCAGTAGGAAATGACACGCTGAATCGAATGAGACCATGATCAGTCCGATAGGACAGATTGTTTTCGAGATATCGACGCTCTAAATCAGCTTTCCGCTTTTATTACCAATAGGTGCACTCCGGTAGGCTACTACGTCTCCATTTTCCAAAATTTCTCGATTTCCACCACAGATTCTTTCATAACGACATCGAATTAGTCTTTGTGAATTTTTTCAGATTTTTAATAGGCAAAATAAAAATTTTCATTTTCCCACCTGAGACTTCAGTACGATATAGTTACCGAGCCATCTTCGGACGGCCGAAAGTGCTAGAAAACGGCGGAAATCCACGCGAATTATCACTATTCCAGTAGAAAATGACACGCTGAATCGAATGAGACCATGATCAGCCCGATAGGACAGATAGTTTTCGAGATATCGACGCTCAAAATCAGCTTTCCGCTTTTATTGCCAATAGGAGCACTCCGGTAGGCTACTACGTCTTCATTTTCCAAAATTTCTTGATTTCCACCATAGATTTGTTCATTACGACATCGAATTAGTCTATGTGAATTTTTTCAGATTTTTAATAGGCAAAATAAAAATTTTCATTTTCCCACCTGAGATTTCAGTACGATATTGTTACCGAGCCATCTTCGTACGGCCGAAAGTGCTAGAAAACGGCGGAAATCCACGCGAATTATCACTATTCCAGTAGAAAATGACACGCTGAATCGAATGAGACCATGATCAGCCCGATAGGACAGATAGTTTTCGAGATATCGAGGCTCAAAGTCAGCTTTCTGCTTTTATTGCCAATAGGAGCACTCCGGTAGACTACTACGTCTCTATTTTCCAAAATTTCCCGATTTCCACCACAGATTCGTTCGTTACGACATCGAATTAGTCTATATGAATTTTTTTTCAGATTTTCAACAGGCAAAATAAAAATTTTCATTTTCCCACCTGAGATTTCACTACGATATTGTTACCGAGCCATCTTCGGACGGCCGAAAGTGCCAGAAAACGGCGGAAATCCACGCGAATTATCACTATTCCAGTAGAAAATGACACGCTGAATCGAATGAGACCATGATCAGCCCGATAGGACAGATAGTTTTCGAGATATCGACGCTCAAAATCAGCTTTCCGCTTTTATTGCCAATAGGAGCACTCCCGTAGGCTACTACGTCTCCATTTTCCAAAATTTCTTGATTTCCACCACAGATTCGTTCATTACGACATCGAATTAGTCTATGTGAATTTTTTCAGATTTTTAATGGGCAAAATGAAAATTTTTCATTTTCCCACCTGACTTCAGTACAATATAGTTACCGAGCCATCTTCGGACGGCCGAAAGTGCCAGAAAACGGCGGGAATCTACGCGAATTATCACTTTTCCAGTAGAAAATGACACGCTGAATCGAATGAGACCATGATCAGCCCGATAGGACAGATAGTTTTCGAGATATCGACGCTCAAAATCAGCTTTCCGCTTTTATTGCCAATAGGAGCACTCCCGTAGGCTACTACGTCTCCATTTTCCAAAATTTCTTGATTTCCACCACAGATTCGTTCATTACGACATCGAATTAGTCTGTGATTTTTTTCAGATTTTTAATAGGCAAAATAAAAATTTTCATTTTCCCACCTCAGACTTCAGTACGATATTGTTACCGAGCCATCTTCGGACGGCCGAAAGTACCAGAAAACGGCGGAAATCCACGAGATGTATCACTTCTCCAGTAGAAAATGACACGCTGAATCGAATGAGACCATGATCAGCCCGATAGGATAGATAGTTTTCGAGATATGACGCTCAAAGTCAGCTTTCTGCTTTTATTGCCAATAGGAGCACTCCGGTAGGCTACTACGTTTCTATTATCCAAATTTTCCCGATTTCCACCACAGATTCGTTCGTTACGGCATCGAATTAGTCTATGTGAATTTTTTCAGATTTTCAACAGGCAAAATAAAAAATTTTATTTTCTCACCTGAGACTTCAGTACGATATAGTCACCGAGCCATCTTCGGACGGCCGAAAGTGCCAGGAAACGGCGGAAATCCACGCGTATTATCGCTTCTTCAGTAGAAAATTACACGCTGAATCGAATGACACCATGATCAGCCCGATAGGACAGTTTGTATTCGAGATATCGACGCTCAAAGTCAGCTTTCCGCTTTTATTGCCAATAGGAGCACTCCGGTAGGCTGCTATTGCAGGAACAAATACATATCCATTGTTCTATAAGAGTTCCTCTGGACCCCAACTTCAATTTTACTTCATGTGGGGAAAATTTCATCGCCGAAGTTTGTAGACGAAGTGCAAAAATGTGCCTCTTGTCGAAGTCTTCTGCCTCACACAAAATCACATGATTTCAACGGAGAACTGCTTCTCCTTCCACTGCTGGTTGGCTTTTTCCATCTAAATAGAGCAAAATATCTGCCAAAAGAACATCTACAACAGGCATTATTAGCGTTTTCGATCGAATATTGACAATTAATGTCAGGAAATTTAAAAACATCACTCTTATCAGTACTCAGCACACAAGCTAATGGCACTAATGGAATTGAGTGACGATTGAGTTTGTTTTCCCCCAGTTTTGACGTGGCTTTGACATGGAACGATGAAAACCGAGCGCCACCTGGTAACATTGATTCCCGCGAATAGGTAGAGATTTTTAGGTTGGCAACTTGATGCGAAGTCCCCCTTTGTGTCGCAGCCTTTACACAACTACTTACGTAATGTGACACGTTTCAAAATTTCCGTCTGTGTCAGTGTCAAATTGCATGTCAAAATTAATAATCCGAATGAACTCTATCGATGGTTCCCCCTTTCCCAGTGCATCTTCGGCAGGGACGAGTCCCGCCTGGACGAGAAACGGCACGCCCTCACCTCGTTGCACACCTACCGCCCCGGCAGGGTAGGCAGCGTGCGAGTCCCCGCCCCGTACGCCCCGCCCACTCTACCGTCTACGCATGCTCCGCCCTCCCGCGCCAACGCCCCCGTGCCGGTGTTTGACGATGGGGGCGTGTCCGGGGGCGGGGCACAGGCGGTCGGGCCTGCGAGCATAGTGGGGGCGGCGCGCAGCCAGGCGGCGCGGAAGGAGAACACGTTGAAGGCGGGGCCGTGGACGACGGTGCCGGCGAAAAGGAGGGTGGTGGGGGGCGGTAGCTCCGCCCCCGCCTTCACAGGTACGTTTGCTACAATGAACTCGATATAAACAACTGGAAGGGAGACGGCCGTTCTCTCGCATAGCACAAAGTGTGTCAGGTGCAGCTGCAACAAAGATAGCATGATTTACGGTAACCTGTCTCTTTCCTACTCGTGTTGTTTAATGGTGGATTGGTGGTTACGATTTCTTTTATCTAATAATTAAAGTACTTTAGATTTTTTTCTCTCATCTGAACAGTCAAGAAAGTGAAGACATAAGTTCATTCTCTTTGTTTATATGTATATCTATTCATTTGGCATGTTGAGCGACTTTACTGCAATATCATCTTCATGGATGCTGAAATGAAAAATCAAAAAACCAAAAATTATTGTCCCAATATTTCTTCTGTAGGAAAATTATGTTTATATTCACGTAACTTTTCCCGCCAACAATATAAAAGGTTACACCCCGTATATCACACAAATGCACATACAAATAAACAAATAAAAGCGAAAAGAAACGTTACATTGTCTCTGTTAGTCCACGAAGACAACCTAGACACCTACACGGAACCGGAGGGTCTCCGCTTGCCCAAGAATCATCCGAAGCAGACCCTTGAAGACTACTCCGACTGGAAGGTCAGCATCAAGTACATGGAGCCCCCTAATCCCGCCTCCATCCCCATGTACCCCAAAGATAGGGTGTACATCGACCCGAACACCGAATACAGCATCGAGGAGCTGAGAGCCCACAGGTAATAATAATAATAATAAACTGATGTAGAATAATTCCAACAGTATTTTATTCATACAAGTTGTATTTATAACTAATATATTGATATTATCTTGTAGCCATCACTAGCGAACATCACGACAATACGATGTGTTGTGTGCAAGAATTGTCAGATGACCGTCCTTGAGGTGAAACATTGAATCACAACCTCACTTTTCTTATTTGTTCACAAATGATTGAAATAGTTTTTCACAATTATTTTGGCATACGAATCGTGTTTTTCGGCTATTCATTAATTCGCGCATGCCATCACATTGTGCTGTTGTACAATGCACAAAAAATGCAGCGGGAGACGAAGGAATCCGGTTGATATATTATGATTCAAAAGTAACTACTATAACCACTCACATATCGTTTTCAATTTTGAAATTTGGTAATTTCTCTGATTTCACATCGGAAATCCTTCTGCAATAGTAGCTAATAGGAATACTCGTGAAATTTCTGAAAGAATGCAAGAAGATTGGATTCATGCAACCAAACGGGAGGACTGGTCTGACATGCTGACGAAATATGATCGTGTGTGTTGTAGAAATTTTCAATCTATTAACAGTAGTACCTTCTATTGCTGAAGTGGCAGAAGGAATTTTAATTAGAAATGACAATATTTCATAATGGAAACTATGTGAGATTACTATTTACCTGAAAAATCATATTCCTTCGTCTCTCGTTGCATTTTTTGTGTTGTACAACAGCACAATGAGAGGGCATGTTTGAATTAATGAATAGCGCGAAAATTCGATTCGTATGTCAAATCATTGTGCTCCTCTGTAAACAAATAAATAAAGTGAGGTTGTGTTTCAATGTTTTACAGAAAAGTTGGGTTGTGTTTCAATATTTTACCTCCAGGGTCAGTCATCGTGCACGCGACCTATACAATATATTGAGGGTTATTATAAACTTCTACATCTACAACACTCTTTTTGATGAACCGTGGTGAATTATTGCTAATATAGTCTGAATCACCCTTCATATCAGCTCACCTATTTCTATCCAATGAACACTTCAAATGATGGAAAATACATCCAAACATTACTCCTAATAACATGAAGGAATCCGTGATAATAAATATCATAATACATTTTTCACAAACCTGGTAATCAAATAATTCTGAAGCCGCCCCTGTCATGGTCGCGTCTGTGCTGCGCATGCTCACTTTTGCTGTTCAAGTCACGTTAGGGAACACCTCAATAGAACGATATTGGCCTTCTAGGTCTTTGAGTTATATGGTTAACTTACAGAAATAGGAAAAAAAGGAATACATACCTAATATAATATATAAATCATAGCGAAGATCTAAGTATTCTGAACCCTTCTTCACTATCCAGGCCCTGCTCAAAATAATAATTTATAGAATAGGGTTCTAGATTACATAAGAAATTCTTCACTAGTTGGAAATTTCCTTTCAGGACGTATTTTTGAAAAAAAAAATTGCAAGAATTGAGATAACTCAACTTTTTGATCATACCAAAGATGATACACACTCTATATAGACAACCCTCCGATGGGACGTTACAGACCAGTGGCTAATCAGCTGTGCTGATTCGTTGTACAAACATTAATATCGGAGTCGGTGAAATACACCTACAAGAAATGCTGGCACATTAAGTGACACAGGGTGAAGAAATTTGAGGAAAGCCCTGGATATGTTGGTGCAAAGTTATTTAAAAAAACTTCCCATCAACATACAAAACATGAGCCGTAATTCATTCAAGAAAGAACTTGAAGAAACATTGCTACAAAAGGCATATTATGTTGTGAGTGAGTTCCCTGAGGACTCAATAGAGTAAATTTTATTGTTAGTGTAGGTGTTTATTCTTTGTGTATTGAAGTATTTTTACTATTTTTTGTGTTCCTACATGTATTCTAATGATGTTTTCAACTATTCGTAAAAAAAACATGACGTGTACATGTATATTTGTATCTGTCTTTGTATTTGATTACCCACCGCTCTGTTACGTCCTAACTGAGCTTTGCCCGTTTTTACATTCACGGTGTCTATCTAGAGTGTGTATTATCTTTGCAGGTACCGACAAAAGGCGCGAGAAAGACAGCTGTTGCAGCAACAGTTCCAGCAGCAACAGCTTCAGCAGCAGCAGCTCCAGCAGCAGTTTCAAGAGCAGCAGCTCATGCATCAGCAACATGAACCGATCGAGATTTTTGACGATGTTGAATTGATGCAGGAATCTATGCATGAGGTGAGAATTTTTTGTGTTCACCGAGAATCACTTTTCGCGAATCAATCTATAGCCTTATTTGTTCTCAAGTCTAGATAAAACTAAAGAAACAATTCAGAACTAGGAAAAATTGTATTTACATTTTCAACCTGTCAGTCCTAGTTGTTTGAGAACGACTGAACTAGTTGAAAACAGTGATTCATTTTGTTTATTTATTTTCTTCTACGGAAAATGCATCACATTCTGAGGACTTCTGTGAAATCGCTGCCAAATCGATATTTCAAAGAGGATTTTTCGGATAAAAGATAGTATTCAACTCGGCATAAATAACTCATAGTAACTTAATAAACACATAACAACATTTTTGGAAATCGACTGATAATAATGGTAAACTTATTAGTAATTTTAGGGAACATACCAAAATGAAAAATATGAATTATTTAAAGATGAACGTGGCGGCACCGCAAAGTTCCGTAGTAGCAATAATCCTTGTAAGAATTGTTATTTGTTATAACTTTTTGTTATTGATAATGGTTTTCCGGCTGTTGTTTGATCAGTTTTTAGTGTTTTAGTAATTCATTCGATATAAATTTAAAGCAGAAGATTTTATGAATAACTATTGGCATCTAGTAAATCCTAATGAAATTGTCATCTGAATTTGAACATAATTATTCTTAAAAAAAGAAATTCATTTCAAATCCAATGTATTGCATGTGCACAGCTTCCATAGTTAGGAGCTAGGTCAAGTTATTGACCTAACTCAATGACAACGAATCATGGAAAACATGAATTATTCTGATATGGGTTTAATGCATAGAATGATATTTCACGAGTAAGCAGAAACTCTTGGTCTTGCAAAAAGGCAGACCATCGAATAATCTGCTTATAGTAGCTGATTTCTAGACACTAGTATGGATGGTCAATAGGATAGATGAGGGAGACAAGGATAACCGACAACAATCTTGGAATAAGCAGGTCCGGACTCAGTCATAAAGTGCATTATAATTTAGTAGGTGCGAGTGAACTGCTGAATCTGTGGCCAGACTTGATTTTTTATACTTTTTTTTTCATTTCTAATACCTATTATGATTTCATATTTTCAGCAATATTGCCGTTACCATATATTATTTTTCATTATGATTTCAGTGTTCTACTTATTCTTACGCTGGGGTCCAGCTTTGTTGGGCTAGGAAGATATGTCATGTAGTAAATCTTAATCAAATAATTATTTAAAAACAAACTTTCATTTCAAATCCAATGTGTCATGCAACTCATACCTAGACAGGATATAAAGTTTACTATTCCAATATTTTCATTACTTGATTGAAAGGAAAATACATTGATTCTAAAACTGCTGAGATATAGAAATTAATATACAATCAGAGAGGGAAATATTGGTTGAGGTAGTTTGATTATGAAAAATACGAAGTTAGTGCCAATTGAAGATGGATTGTCTGATATCCAAATTGTAAGTACCGATTTCTTATGCAATAAACATATTTCTTTTACTTTAAATTCTCCCTTTATTTCTCTATGTTCCACAATGTAAATACAACCCTCTCATAGCCAAGCGAGTGAATTAAGTCTATGGAGTAAGTATCCTCAAGGGGTATGCATATTTTGAAAAGGTCGTCATAGATACCTACTGGATCTGGAAAAGAAAAGTCAGTTACAAACATATCCTAACCCGATATTTCACTGGTACATAAAAATTGGTCCAGTGGCGACTATAACTACAACTTTTTCGTCTCTCAGATTTTCTCATAACGCATCATTTAGTAGATAGATGAAAATGAAAACTATTTAATTGCATTTCCAGTTATCATACAAAAAAATTACAACTATTGAAAGTGACCACTTGTAACAATGACTTCAGGTTTTATTCGAATGTCAATCATTTCGTATCTATCTGTCTATTCTATTCTTACTAAGTCCGTAACATGAATTATTCAAATCACCCTGTATCTTGGAATCAATGCATTCACGAACATACATTTATGGGAACTTTCTTTCATAAAATGATCTGAGGAATCCTTAAATATTGCCGCATCTTTTTTAAACACCCTGTATATCTATGAAGAATATCAATTATCTGGCAATGATTCCGCATAGTTATCCCCATCATTCGCGATTCCAACCATGTTTAGCGTTAAGGATTATTGGCGTATAAATTTTTAATGATCTATGATTGAATCGCGATTTATCGTTATCCTTATCTTAGGCATCATTGTTCCCATTCTATTCCAGGATAGAAACGAAGTATTCCAACGATCCTTCCAGCCCCCCGACCCCTTCCATCGTTCGATGGAAGTCCACCAAGCTGCTCTTTCGCCCCCTTCCTACGATCCCCGGGTCTCCACCACGAATTCGCTCCAGAAGTCGCCGCATAATTCACTGCAGAATTCGCTACAGACGTCGCTACAGAATTCGCTACAGACATCGCTACAGAATCCGCTGCAGAACTCGCTGCAGACGTCGCTACAGAATCAGCTGCAGAATTCGCTGCAGACGTCGCTGCTGCAGCACGACGCCACGGTGACGTCCGGCGTCGAAAGACAGACGCCGCAGCGCGGGGCTGGAAGACACGGTTCCTTTTCGTTGTGGGCCAAGAGCCCCGCGAAGAACAACTTTGATTTGTGGTCGTCGCCGCAGCCCGAGGCGAGGCCTCCGGCTGACGGGTTTGTCGTGTTCGAGGAGAGCATGCAAGAGGTTCAGCCGAAAGGTGAGCGATTGTGGCAACTAGAGTTCCTTAATGTACTTGACACTGCTGTTTTGACGTTTTTTGTGTATAGGTCGCGTGCACGATGACCGACCCTCGAGGTAAAATATTGGAACACAACTTCACTCTTTTGTGAATTATTGAAATACAACCTCACTTTTTTATTTGTTTTCAGGGGAACACAATATTTTGACATACGAGTTGTGTTTTTTGAGCTATTAATTAATTCAAGCATGCCTCCTCATTGTGCTGTTGTACAATGCACAAAAAATGCAGCGAGAGACAAAGGAATATGATTTTTCAGGTAAATAGTAATCTCATATAGTTATCATTATGAAATGTTGTCATTCCTTATTGAAATGCCTTCTGCAATACAAGCTAATACTGCTAATAGATTGAAATTGTCTACAACACACACGATCATATTTCGTTAGCATGTCAGACCAGCCCTCCCGTTTGATTGCATGAATCCAATATTCTTACATTCTTTTAGAAATTTCACGAGCATTTCTATTAGCTCCTATTGCAAAAGGAAGTCCGATGAGAAATCAGAGAAATTACCAAATTTCAAAATGAAAACTATATGTGGGTGACTATAGTAGGTACTAACTTTTAAATCATAATGTACCAACCGGATTTCTTCGTCTCTTGCTGCATTTTTTGTGACGGCATGCGCGAACTAATGAATAGCCGAAAAACACGATTCTAATGCCAAAATAATTGTGAAAAACTATTTCAATCATCTATAAACAAATAAGAAAAGTGAGGTTGTGTTTCATTGTTTTACCTCCAGGGTCGGTCATCTGACAGTTCTTGCACGCAACCCATATTAGGCAATCCAACGACCTGTCAAATAATTTCAAAATGGCGTCTGGTTGGCAAATAAACCAAAGTCAAGTTTGTTTACTTGAGAACTTTGTGGGTTTTGGAAGCCTCTTACAGTATTATTTCATCGAGTTTCGGCTAGATTTATTGTGAATAATGAAAACTCAGTATGATTTCAAAGAAAAAATTGCCAGTAACGTGAATTGTGGTGGATTGTGGAAGCAGTGCAGATCGGGACCATTTGCTGTTTTGTCACATTCCTACTGTAATACTGTGAAAAACTCTGAGCATTACCCACAGATGAAGGATCTATCAAGAAAAATAAGGGAAATGTGGATAGCAGCCATCAACGGAAAGAATCAGCAACAGAATCAATCATAATAAACCAGAGGATATGTGTCAGACACTATTTTCATAACAGGTACCTAAGAAGAAGGATTTCAATATTATTTATATGTACCTACCTACTCTAGAACTGATGAGTTTAGTGTTTCATCCTATGGAAAACTTATCTTTTTTTCATTTTGATAAAATAAACCAATACTCATTACTTTTAATGGACCTACATAGTTTGGAAACATCATGTTTCTAATACATAAATAAATGCACTCATTTGCTCATGATGGTAGAAACTGTGGGTCACTATAAATAGTAGGAGAGTATAATTTATGTGGTAGTCTAATCAGTCAGCAGTTTCAGATGTGAAGGGCTTCAAATCCTTGATCAACATCAGCTTCATCAGATATCTACAAACAAATAATGGTTGCATGATAGTTTCAGGAATGAAAATTTACTGGTTAGTTGAGAAAAATAGCCGAAAAAACAATAAATATTCATGTTTACCTCTGACCAACCTCTGGGTTTTCCTGCAATAACTTCTGGAAATATGAACTCAGCATATTGAAGCACTGTTCAATTCAGCTCTGAGACTCCCTCAAACACCTGACACATAAAACTACCAGAATAATAGGGTGATTCGGGCAAAATACAATTTAATTACAAGTGATGTATAATCTTTGTTTGCCAACCAGACGCCATCTTGTCAGCTGAAATGTCACGTGGTTTGGATTGCCTAATTCTTAGAGTACGGAAACTAGACAAACAGTGACAATCAAACATAACCACAAACGATTTTGAAGCAGATCAAATGTTTCGCCAGACAAGGACAATAATATGTTTTTCGCTTATATGAAAGATTCTTGCATCTTCCTTCCTCCACAAGTCCTGGAGTACATCCATATATCTTTCTCTGTCTATGATTTTCGTATGAGAGTGCATATAGCGTCTCCACTAGTGGGTAAAAGGGTACGATAAATTGATTAGAAAATTATTTCATCTGGCTGAAGGACCTCAATGCAGGTCGATGGAGGTCGATATCAAGTTGGTATGTACATATATACCAACGAAATACATATACTATTCCTATGAGATAAGTCTCTTATATGAAGGTGAATATATACGTTCAGTTGAATATTTTTTTATCACAGAAGTTCATAATGGGGTAAAACCTGATAAATTTCAACCAATGAAACATACTTTTATTTCTTATGAAACAATTTCACTTGTACAAGAGTGGCAGGTAATAAGTAATTATTAATAAATGAACAAATGATATGGCAACAATAACAGCTGATTTCAGTTGGGATAAATAATAAAGGTTCTCCTAGACATACGGAAGTAGGTATAAATCGAGGTCTAAATGGACTTCAGCGCTCGACTCACTATTTTGCAAGCATGAAATCCATAGTCAATCACCCTGGCATCCCATTTTGGATGAAACAGCCAGGTATCTCGGTTGTTGTTGTATAGAACCTTGCAGTTTTCACGGTCCTTGGCCCCTCTATATCTATGAAGTTTCTCAGCGAAAATGTCAAATTAAAATATTGAAACACAATGTCACTTTTTTTATTTGTTTACAAGTGATCGAAATAGTTTTTCACAATTATTTTGGCATACGAATCGTATTTTTCCGCTATTCATCAATTCGCTCATGCCATCACATTGTGCTGTTGTAAAATGCACAAAAACTGCAGCGGAAGATGAAGGAATCCGGATGGTACATTATGATTTAAAAGTAAATACCTACTAATAGTCACTCACCTATAGTTTTCATTTTTGAAATTTGGTAATTTCTCTGATTTCTCATCGGAATTCTTTCTGCGATAAGAGCTAATAGAAATACACCTGAAATTTCTAAAATAATGCAAGAAGATTGGATTCATGCAATCAGTTAGACATTTTCAATCTATTAGCAGCATTAGCTTGTATTGCAGAAGTGGCAGAAGGCAGAAGGAATTTTAATAAGGAATGACAACATTTCATAATGCTAACTATGTGAGATTACTATTTACCTGAAAAATCATATTCCCTAGTCTCTTGCTGCATTTTTTGTGCATTGTACAACAGCACAATGCGAAGGTATGCTTGAATTAATGAATAACGCAAGAAACACGATTCGTATGCCAAAATATTGTGAAAAACTCAGCGGACTGGATAAAATTGATCATGGCATTTTTTTTTTTTTTTTTACAAATATTATTCTTTGTTTGCCAATTTACAGTTGTTGATATATTTTTAATGATGCTATGTTTACCTATAGGTATATAATTATGTACTTCCTTATACCAGAGCCTATTCTGTCTGGAAGTTATTTGTTCAATAAATAAATAAATAAAATAAATAAATAACCTTTTGATTCCTCTGTAACCAAATAAAAAAATGAGGTTGTGTTTCAATATTTTGCCTCCAGGGTCGGTCTTCGTGCACGCGACCTATAGAGAATTTTACGTAGAATCCAGTAGCGCACTCAATTTTTTTTCGGGGTATGGTTTTGAAGATATGACTCGAACTTTTGATTTAGTATTCATGTTCACTTCTACTCATGTCTGTGTAGTAGTTCATATAGATATTTATTACTTATTATTTTATACTTTCATTCTTCCTCATACCAGAACTTGTTCTGACTGGAAGATTTGTTTGATAAATAAATAAATAAATAAATAACACCTTATGTTTTATTAGTTCATTAAATTCCTCATTTTTTTGTCTTCAAAATTATATATAATGTATGAATATAAACTTTGCAAAAATGCTCCAAAATCAGTAGTCAGCAGCAGTTGATCAGCTGGTGAAATTTGTCAGTCTGTAGTTTCTCGTTTATCTGAACTAGAGTCACTGGATCGTATTAGTCCTCTGGTTGACATGCATTTTGAAAATTTGATATTTAACATAGAAGAGCAATCGGTTGTCGTAGCCTTCATAGTTTCCTAGATTGTTGACGATGATGATTCTAGCTCGAGCGATGAAGAATACCTACTTGGACATTTATGTAATATGGCATCAATGATGATGAATTTAGCAGACATTTCAGGTTTATTAAGATATTTATAAAACCAATGTTGCTTCTTCTTTCGTTACTACTTCTACTTCATACTACATATTAGTCTCAGCGTTTATTATTTCTGATATTGAAAATAATATAATTAACAACGGAAATGAATGTTACATTCCTTCCCCCTCTAAAATAAAGACAGTTTACTGAAGCCACACTACCTTTTGATACTCAGCAATTTCAGCAGAATGTTGAGTCGAAATATTTGGAATGAATAGTATATCTGCTCACAAGCATCTGTCACATTCAGTGATTTTTTTGATTTCGGAATGAAAAATCAATATTGTCAGTTAAATTCGGAATATAGCCTTAGTAGGTATGTATATTTCACAGTAAATGGTATTGGCTTATTATTAACTGCAATAAACTACCCGATTTAATTCCATTGTGTAGAAAATCATCAGGTGAAAGATGCAAATGTGCTACAGGGTCGAACTTAAGAAATTTGAATTTTGCATAATATAGGAGATATACAAGTAATTTATTCAAATGTTACAATTCTATTCTATATTTAGTTCAGTGTCGCTATCGCTATCCTCATCTGAATTAATTATAATTGGCGCAATTGATTTTACAGAAAGGTACGAGTTTTCAACATTTATAACATGACTAACAGAACTTTTCCAACTCTCGGTAGGAATGTCATTCATACAGTTCCTAATTAATTCTACCACACTACCACTTGAAGTCGGAGAAGTATTTTTTTCCGCGCACGCTCGATTTAAGTTGGTGCCACATAAGCTCTATGGGATTGAACACGCAGTAGTAGGGAGGTAGTCGTAACACTGTATATCCCAATTCTTCTGCAATTGTATCACAAACATACGTTTTCTTTAGTGAAAATGACTGCAGCACTTGTAAAAGTTCTTTTTTTGTATAATTTTCCTAAAAATATATGTCATTTGCAGCCATGAAGAATGAATCTCCAATTTCGTATTCTTTGAGCCAGGAATGATTTGCAGTTGTCGACTATGATAGCTTGCGTTGTCCATTACTATAACGCTGTTTGGCGGAATGTTGGGTAACAGACAATTTTTAAACCAATCTTCAAAAAGCTCTGCTGTCGTATCTTCGTGATAATCAACACAAGAGTCCTTAATATTTTTGGCAGGAAGCCACATAGCGTTTGGGATCCAACCATTTTCTGATCCTGCGTGTGATATTGTGATTCTCTTCCCTTTATTTGATGGTGCTTTTGTTTTACACTTATCAGAGGAATCAGACCATCCTTTGGAAGGGGTGTCATGCGTGTCAAACCAAGTCTCGTCGAGGTAGATTATTGGCCGATTTTCAGACCGGTATTTTCTTATTGACTTTATATATTCAGAACGCCAGTTTATTAAACGTGTGGATTCTCTTGTCACTTTTGCGATATTTAAATCCCATTGTAGTTAAAACTCGCTGAGGCTACAGTTGATTTGAGTTTCCTCATTGATGAGCCGGTGTTTCAGATTTTTGATTGTAGGGACACGCTGCTCATCGTACATAGTGTAGATTTTTCGCCTTATCAAATCTTTTTCCCAGTCGTCTAGACTTTTTGTGACACCGGAATCTTTACGCTTTTTTCTTGATTCCATGGGATTTTCAACAATTCGTCTAACTGAAGTAAGAGGCACCTTCGTCAAATTACTGGTTACTTTTGCTGCAGCACCCGCGTTATATCCTTGCTGAAGTAAGGAACTATACACATTTTTTATAACGATTTTCGCGTCACAAGATAAGTGATTCTTCTTTAACGAACCACTGGAAGAAGCACTATTACTTTTTATCCACGGGCGCCACATACTGCCTATTTTGTACGTTGGGGTATAAAATTTTTGCTATTAATGTCTGTAATAACAAATAAATGTTATAAAATTATTGCACGCCGTAACACAAGTGAACACTTCCAATGAAATACAAAGACTAAAATGAACAAGAAGTGTAAGCTGTAATCCTCTACAATCCCTCTATGAGAAACAAAATTACCTGAATCCAGTCCTTTTACATTAATGATGTGCATCTCGGATTTTACAACTTAAGGGTCTAATTGGTTTTATTATAATCCTTTAGTCAATTTACTGTGAAATGCACTCTATATGTCTTACGATTGTTTCGCAGGCCACGCCATGAAGACGGCCTTCAAGGTGCTGAACGCCGACGAGCTGGCCGAGACCGGCTCCAGAGGCGGCATGGATGTGGCGGAGACGGCGCACGCGGGCGACAGCGCCAAGCCGATGCCGCTCTTCGCCGACCACGCCTCCCCCTCCTCCTCCTCCCCCTTCGAGGAGGAGGCGGCCGGGGGCGGGAGAGGAGGAGGCGGCGGGGGGGAGTTGGAGGACACGTTCAACACGTACGCGTTCAACTTCAATCTGAACGCGATGCAGGTGAGCAAGGATACAGTCTGTATATTGTCACTATATAGTAGATGCGCCGGGCAGGTTAGGTTCTAGTTGGGTCACTTGATGGAAATTGACGTTAAAGTCATCTTAACAGGGTACGGACAGATCCTCGTCTCCTCTCACTCTAAAGTGTTTGTGAAACAGTTATATAGTTACATCCTTATTCAATTCTGGGGATAAACACTAGATTTTTGACATTCCTTGTATTTTAGGTTATATTGAGGTCACTGGCGTAGGTATTCATAATTATTTTCACAACGTTAGTTTCGAATTTTCTTAGACTGCCACAGAATAGGTCACAATGATTTTGCAGAACAACATAATTCATATGAAGCCCTGAAATAGGGTTATTGTTGCCATAATTCGTTGAGTGAAAGGTCAATGGAAATAAAGGAGGATTTCTTGTTCTGGCCGACGTATTGAATCTGATCACTAGTCACTAGATGATTAAAAGAGAAAGGAGCTATGCATCAAAGGACCCTACCAGATACCAATTAGTTCCAGGTCAAAATTAGTATTAATGTTTTCTCTTTTGTCAATGTCAGTTATAGCTAATTGATGATTGTGTTTATACCGAAAGCATATTTTCTGGTTCGGTTGATAATCTTTGATCAATAATTTAAAAAATCATAATGCCAACCTTAGAATTCCATTCCAAAGTGTTTTTTCGCCGCCAAAACTTGATTTTTTCAAAGAATCGTGTAGTTTCGATTATTAAAAAATTCTACAGGTGAGCACACCACAAAACAAGGGCCCAGCACTGAATACTCATCCAAATGAAGAGGAATTGGAACACAGTAGGAAGCAACTTTTCATAGAGCCTAAGACGCTTAGTACAATTTTTGAGGAAACCAAAAGTGATGGGTGAGTAAATATATATGCATAAGTATTTTGAAAAATGTTAATTTGTTAGTTGCAAAATTTCATGTATTGAAATAAACACGAAATATTGAAATCGGTCAAACGTTTGATGTTACCTACCTTGAGAAAATGGAAAATACTCATCAGAGTAGAAGTTGTTTTAGTACTATGACTAGGAATCTATACAAACCATATTACAGCGTGATTTTCATAATTATGCGACATATTAAAAGTTTTTAGATTAGCAATTGGATTAGAAATTTTAAAAGGATATGCCGTTATAATCGATAATTTCCAATCACCTGAAAGAATTTTAGTCCTCCAGTTATCCAGGGTGTGCCGAAATTCGGCACCAACTTTCTTATTCAAAATAGAAACCTACTTTTTTTTCACACGGTTCCATTTGCCTTCTGATTCTGATTTCAGACAACCTATTCATGTCAACAAATCTATCACAGTTTTCGAGATATATCAATTTTTCTGAAAATAATTAATTAAATTCATTCAAAACAAGACGAATTTCGAAAGAAATCCAACAACTAGAGTTTAGAACTTTTTTATTGATGTATTTTTTTACTAGACGACCCTTCGATGTTCAATTCTCAGTAGCAGACCTCTGCAAAATTCAGGTAATCAAATGATAATCCATTTTTATTTCAATCTTATGCAAAATTTTGACTGTTGGATAGACGATCAGTAGACCTTTCAAACGAGGTGTCACATGACCCCTGTTTGTATTCGAAAAAATCGTCCATTACGTCATTACTTCAACACTGGTGACGTAACATCTCTCATATGAATGTCATGAGATGAGGCTTCAAAAATAAACTCACATGTTTTTGGAATTTATTCAAATGTCTCCCTTTTCTGAAATAATGAATTTATCCCATACATTTGCATCATACTGTATATAACATGATTTCTATGATTGAGATGCCTGATGCTGACCTCGAGGCATTCCCTGTTTCCAGCTCTTCTCGTTCCAGCGGCTCGAAGTCCTCCACCACCTTCCACTCCAACCAGCAGCACGCCACCACCAAGATGGGCGCCATCTCCGAGGAGCACACCAACTACCTGGCCGAGAACATGCAGGCGAACGCCGAACTGCGGTCCAGCCTGTTGGCGCTCATGGACGTCGGGACGTCGCACTCGCAGGCCGAGATGGCGCCGGAGGTGCAGCCTGTCGGAGAGGTCACCGTGCCAATGCTAGGTTCGCCAAAACCCTTTTTTTTTTAATTTTTGTTGATATGTTTTTCGCTTCCAACTACTAAAGCTTCAGCTGCTTGGCATTCACTGTTATTCCAGGTCGTCTCGAAGGTTTGATTTGAATGAATCCGGCTCGGAGGACCAACATGTTCGATGGTTAAAAGATAGTGTACTGTATTTGTACAGTTATATGATATATGGTAATGAAATGATGATTGATATGGGAATTGTAATTCTTTTTTGAAAAAAGAGAGAGATAGGCATAAAAATTGGAACAGAGGAAGAGAGAGGGATAGAGAATTCATAAAACAAATGACATGGATCAAGTACTTTCTATGTGCAAGTGAATGGCACACTTGAAAGAGAGAGAATATATAAAGAGGGTGAGCCTGTTGGCGCTCATGGATGTCGGGACGTCGCACTCGCAGGCCGAGATGGCGCCGGAGGTGCAGCCTGTCGGAGAGGTCACCGTGCCCATGCTAGGTTCGCCAAAACCCTTTTTCTATTTTTGTTGATATGTTCTTCGATTCCAACTACTAAAGCTTCAGCTGCTTGGCATTCACTGTTATTCCAGGTCGTCTCGAGGGTTTGATTTGAATAAATCCGGCTCGGAGGACCAATATGTTCGATGGTTAAAAGATATATGATATATGGTAATGAAATGATGATTGATATGGGGATTGTGATTCTTTTTTGAAAAAAGAGAGAAAAGACAGGCATAAAGAATGAAACAGAGGAAGAGAGAGGGAGAGAGAATTCATGAAACAAATGACATGAATCAAGTACTTTCTATGTGCAAGTGAATGGCACACTTGAAAGAGAGAGAATATCTGGAAAGAGTGAGCCTGTTGGCGCTCATGGATGTCGCACTGGCAAGCCGAGATTATTTCTAACATTTTAACACCTTAACTAGTGTAACGGGGGAATTCCCACCTTTCCATCGATATAAGTCATACCTTTGATATCCTGGGAAAAAATCAGTATATCTAAATGTACACGCTATAATTTATTACTTTCGTTCCTCCGTCGTTCGCCGCGTGTGTGCTCTACGTGGCGCTCGGGTCGTCTACTACAAACCATGCGGCCACGCAGGGTATGATAGCAGCAGAATTCCTCTTTCACATGCACTTTGAATCATGAGAAAATATGCATTTTAACAAAGTTATTGAATAATTTGTCCCCCCGCCGATGTGTAAATACACGAACTGTGCTCTCCGGCATACAACACAGAAGCTCATTATTCGAGGTGCGCTTCGTGCCGTTTTTGGCAAATTTTCGAGAAAATTTTGTAGAAAATTAACTGAACTCCAATTTTTATCTGAACCGATAATCTCTAACTGCCATATTTTAGGAGATATTGGCTGAAAACCTATTTTCCTGGTCTTTTGGGGCCATTTTCTCCGCCATCGCACGCGTTTTCCAGTCAAACTTTGTCTCATGTTTAATGAGGTACCAAAAGCTACTTCCAACCGGTAGAAGAAAATAGTGCGTAATCAACGTTAACTTTGCCTTTTTTTCCTCCTTCATTTTTTGGACTATTATGGGTAGCCAATACTCCCTAATCTTTATTATTATTATTAAGATTTTTGCTAATGTTTCCATTATGAATCAATAAATTTTCTCCAATTTTGGAAACACTCTATAGAATGAAATGACACTTGAAATCTACTGTCAGAATCTGTAAAAAAAATTCCAGTGAATAAAATATGAAATAGGATGAAAATTTTCGAAAATTCTCGCCATTGCTATGTCAACGATTCAAAATAAGTCATCTAATTCGCCAAAGAAGAAAAAAAAAGGAAAGTGGAATGCTGATTGATCGATGTTCTTAGGCAGCCCTTTCGGCAGCCCGAGCAGGGACTTCCCGCCGCCTGCGGTGGTGGCGCCCATCGATTACGCCCCCTCGGATCCCTTCAAACCGAATCTCATCAGCCACCTGCTGGAGCGAGTGAACTTTCCGGGGCCGCACACCTACGGGTACGTCGAGGTGCCCTGCCTGCCGAGGATATGCATGAGGAAAGACCACTTCAATATTGGTGAGTGGAGTTGGATTTTCCATTTTTTTCTTCGGGGAAGGTAACAGGTAGAGTCCCTGTAAGTATTTGACACATTTGCTGTACAACAAAACTGATAAATATATACAGGGAATTATGCATACAGGGACTCTAGTAACAGGTAACATAGGACTTCAATTTTATTTTTAATTCACATTAACTCAATATCTACTTTGAAATTGAAAGCAAAACTAAAATTATTCGTAGATGATACAACAATAATCTGTACTTCAAAAGATTTCAACGATATCAATAATGATATTAAAATTGATTTGAAACAGATATCATCTTCGCTAACGACCAATAAGTTGACTCTTAATTATAGTAAATCTACGTATATTTACATCTCGAGAAGAATAATGGATATATTGAATAATACCACAATATGCTTCAATAACAAATCCATTGAATATACAAATGTAACAAAATTTTTAGGTCTTTATATTGATGAACAATTATCGTGGACTCTACATATGGATCATTGGAGGAAAAAATTGAATCCTATTGCTGGTATTATATATAAAATTCGAAATTAATTAATTTCAAATTTGAATTTTAATGAAGTTAATACGATTCACGCCCATGAAACAAGGCAATTTAATTTAAACTCCTTACCTAATGAGTTGAAAAATATAGAAGAAGCAGAAATATTTAAAATCAAATTATAGACATATCTGCTTAGTAAACTTCAATTCCATATCTACTAATCATTCACAATTTGATTACTTGAAATGGATTATGATATTTTCATTTAATATTTTATCGTAATTTTTTTTATAAAAAAACATCAATTGTGCAATTATTATTGTTTGGATTTAATATGTTATATGTATGTTTTGTAGTATATATATATCCCTATTAAAAACAATAATGTTTCTTGTGGTATTAAAGACAATCAACATTCAAGTGTATATATATCCAGAGTTCCAGAAATTATGTAATATTTCAAATAATTCTATAACTTCCAGTAATAGATTCTTTTGAATTGATAGACGTATTATATTGACGAAAAAGTATCATGGGCTAAACATATAGAATAATCCCAAAAATGAATCCTAATTAATACTTGGAGACTATTCTGTGTATTTACTTTTGCTCATTTATTCAAGTTCACAATATTCAACTTCTATTTGGTGTAGTACAAAATATTTCACGCCTAAAACCACTAATGAAATCACCAAACAAATCATTTCTTCATCTACATTTTCTAGAATCAACAGTAAATCTATACAAACCTAGACATTTTCTAAATCTAATTTTGTTATATGAGGTCAGAATATGTTGTTATTCATTAAGCTAGGAATACATTGAAAATATCAAAGTTAGATATTAATCCATAGTTATGGGACTAGAGAATTGAATTGCTTGATAGCAAATACATTCGAGTGGAATATTGGCAAACAATCTGTATTTCACATAATAATTTTTTACAATTTATTAGCGAATGCATTGAAAAATATACATCATGTAAGAAGATTCAAAATTAGTCTCAATCTATACCTGGTCAGAACAATTTGATTGAAAAATATATGGCATGATTTGATTACTCAGAATTGAATTGTAATAACTTTCATCTTGAGAAAAAGTATGAATTTGTTTCCACAGAGTGGAATTTATTGAACATTTTTTATAATTTTTTTCATATGTGTTCAAGTATCCCTATTATAAACAGATATGTTCAATCAAATTATATAAAGATGATACATGACATGACATGATGTTCCATTTGAAAATCAGACGTCGAGATACTACCCAAAACTCACAGGGAATCTTTATTTCTTTGAGAGTTTGCAAAACTTTGGTTGGTAACTAATTTTTCAGGTGAAGAGAGATATATCGTAGACAAACAATTGGGCAAAGGGACCTTCGGAACGGTCTTCAAAGCTTTAGATATAGACAGCAATGTTCATGTGGCGCTAAAATACCAAAAACCGGCGAACAAATGGGAGTTCTACATCTGTAGGGAGCTGCAAGCCAGGTTGGCGGGACATCCTCTCAGGGACAGGTTCATGGATGTTTCGAAAGGATATTTCGGTAAGCTCAATAATCAAGTTTGGGAGAAATGATCGTCAAAATCAGCCCCTATCTCCCATATAGGTTGAATCTACGACCTTCTTAAACGTCAAAAGAACATCGAAATGTCGGGAAAATGTGAAAAGAACGTCACGGAAACATCATGAGAACGTCACAAAAGTGCTGCACAGCCGTTGAAAATGTGAAAAACTGTCGAGAAAACGTTATCTTCGGGTTTTTTGAAATTTCGATGCATGCGTGACCCTTTCATGACGTTTTCATGACGTTTGCGAATCTATATATTCACAGGCCGGCGTACCTCAGTGCTTCGATGCTTCAATATCGATTCACGTCGAGGTATCGATCGTGGGTTCGAGCCCCACGAACGCAGACTTTTTCTGATGGCCTAAGAAAGTGTTTGGGATCACACGTTAAAAGGTAAGGCCCCCGTCATTCCTTGCTCGCACAAGACTTTCGAAGACTTCTGAGGGTTGCTCGTAAGGGGGCAACCGAATGACGGATAAAACAATTTTAGAACAATTTTTTTAGAACATAGGGTACAATGTAATGGTTGTTTGATTCAATTCCATCAAACTTTAGTAGGCCATAGTAAATAAATTCTTGCTCCAAGCATTCTCTTCCTTCCATGTCTTATTTCTCCTGTGCACATTATATCTTCATTTATTATTCCTAACTTCTGACGCTTCTCTTTTTCTTAGACTGTGAATGTCTGTATACACTATTCAATATATATGAAATAAATTTCACAAATGGAGAATTCAATAGGTTATGGATTTTGATCTTATAGAAATACATTAATTTTGACATTGGCGCCTGACATTCGGACTCTTTGTAGCTAACCTCACAATACGAAATGTCTAACTCTTGAGAATATGGTCAATTATTATATAAAGGGTGGCCCAAAAAGATTCCGACAATTTTCAAGGAGTGATAGATGGGTGACATCACAACAAAAATATTTTTATTTTTACATATGTCCGTGAATGAGGCGTTTGGGCCGTAGAGCAAAAAAACTATTTGAATCATGCACAAATAATTGAAGAAATTTTTTACTCGGTCTTTCAATCAGTTGGCCACGAGCAGCAAAAACATTTGTTTATCATCAATATTTCGAAAATGTCTACCTTGGAATGCGGTTAGCAAGGATAATGGCGAGCTGTATCCATGAAGAAGCTATTCCCGGAATATATATATTCCAGATAAGAATAAAGTAGGTGGCATGGATGGCAGAGCGTGCATTACACTAGTAAACATGCTAAATATGAATATTCGTATGATTGCAGAGTTTAGTTATGAATTTTCAATATATTATGAATATGAAATTAAGAGAGAATAACATAATAATGATATTGAGGTTATATACAAATATATACAGTTGTTTGTGACAATTGACCGGTAACGGCTGACTATGGAAGCAGCCGGATCCATATATGAAACATTGATAGTCAATAAACATCAACTTTCAATTCATATTTGACTGTTCATAAAAAGCCGATCGGTAAACTATGTAAGCTGAAAAGTCCAAGCAAACAGTCCCTACCCCACTATCCACTATAATCTTTACTGAAACGTACCGTAAATATCAACTCACTGTAAATTGAATATCCAGGCGAACAGTTGGATCCATGTATGAAACATTGATAGTCAATAAACATCAACTTTCAATTCATATTAGACTGTTTATAAACAGTCGATCGGTAAACTATGTAAGCTGAAATGTCCAAGCAACCAGTCCCTACTCCACTATCCACTGTAATCTTAACTGAAACGTATGGTAAATATCAACTTACTGTAATTGAATATCCAGGCGAACAGGTGAATCCATGTATGAAACATTGATAGTCAATAAACATCAACTTTCAATTCATATTAGACTGTTTATAAACAGCCGATCGGTAAACTATGTAAACTGAAATGTCCAAGCAAACAGTCTCTACCCCACTATGAACTATCCACTATAATCTTAACTGAAACGTACCGTAAATATCAACTCTCTGTAAATTGAATAACCAGGCGAACAGGTGGATCCATGTATGAAACATTGATAGTCAATAAACATCAACTTTCAATTCATACTAGACTGTTTATAAACTGCCGATCGGTAAGTTTACCAGTTATGTTAACTGAAATGCCCAAGCAAAGAATGCCTACTCTACTATCCACTATAATCTTAACTGAAACGTGCCGTAAATATCAACTCACTGTAAATTGAATAACCAGGCGAACAAGTGTCCATCCTGGTGTCCGAGTACATGCCGGGCGGCTCTCTCCTCGACCTCGCCAACACGCACAAACTCAAGACCGGCAAGAGCATGAAAGAGTGCCTCGTCATCTACTTCTGCGTGGAGATGCTGCGCATCATCCAGGCGATGCACGAAGCGCGCATCGTACACGCCGACATCAAGCCCGACAACTTCCTCGTCTTCGTGCAGCCCGACAACACGGTGGGGCTGCAGCTGATCGACTTCGGGTGCAGCATCGACATGTCGCTGTTTCCTGCGCATGCGCGGTTCACGCGCAAGGTCACCACTGAGGATTTCGTCTGTTGCGAGATGCTGGACGGCAGGCCGTGGAGCTACCATACGGATTTGTTTTGCGTGGCGGCGACGGCGCATGTGCTGCTGTTCGAGTCGTACATCAAGTTGCGGAAGAAGGACGGGTTGTGGTCGATTTTGCAGCGGTTCAGCAGATACCTCAAGGTAATAGCAATGAATGCGCCTGATTCAGTGGTAAATGGAGAAAATTCCTATATTGAGGTTTTTATCTCACACTTCACATTTTTGAAAAACTCTCATGTTGTGCCAATTTACAAGAAGTCAGGAAGAAAAGACTCTGTTTTATTACTATCGTCCAATCACAAAGATATCTCTCATACCCAAAGCATTTGAATATTAGTTCAACACAACATGGTTTCTGCCAATAAAGATCCATTACTACAAATCTTTTGCTCTATGAGACATACATTGTCGATGCCTTGGAGAAGGGACTCAGTGTTGCAGTATACACAGACTTCTCCAAGGCATTTGACAAGGTAGATCATAATTTGCTTTTCCTTGAGTTGTCCACATACCTTGGAGGCATTTTGTTGACTTGGCTAAAATCCTACCTAGAAATATTAACTCCTCCTTGAAATATTAATCACTTCTGGAGTTCCTCAAGGAGCTCATTTAGCACCTTCACTGTTCAATTTATTTGTTCATGACGTTTCTTCTTGCTTCAAATTCAGTTCAATATTATTATGTGCTGACGATATGAAAATATATCTCAAATTGGAGGGACCCTCCTCCTCAACTCATCTTCAAGAGGACTTGGACAGGTTCTGTGTGTGGTGCCACAAAAAAAACTAGTTCCGAATATTTCGAAACGTAAATATATTCGTTTCAGCAAAAATCGCAGCATGATTAACAATGATGAGTACTCATTAAATGATGTTGTCATTGAAAATGTCGACATTATGAAAGATCTAGGTACACCTTTTGACTCTAAACTTAGCTTTATTCCTCATATTGAATTTATCTGTAACAAAGCTCTGAGGATGCTAGGGTTTATCAAACGATCAACAACAATCCCCTTACTTTTCATTTGAACGCTCTCAACTTGAAAATAGCAGCTCTGTGTGGTGTCCTGCCTTCCAAGCTCATATCATGAAAATAGAAAGAGTTCAGACACGTTTTTTGCGTTATATGGGCTTCGAGCTCGGTATATTCCTATGGAGGAATTTAATTATGACAATATTTTGAATTGCCTGAATTGAATTTTTTTCAACCACCTGTTTGATCGGGAGTAGACCCAACTTTATTTTTTCAAATGACGCCCTGTTTATTTCTGTAGCCCTTTTTTATGTACTCTAGCATTATAATGTTGCCAGAGTCACGAAATGTTTGGGTTTAAATGAAATCCTAATAAGGAATATTTGGATATTAAAAGTATTCAATAAGTGATTAACAGGAACCAGGTGGTTACATTGTCTTCTGTGAATGTAAATATTGTAGTCATTGGTGGCATTGAATCTCATAGGGTAATTACTAGTTATAAATTTGGCAACGTCGAAATATCGGCTTATACTCTGTGCCATAAGGCGGATTACGTCATCGAAACCTGGCGTTAAGGTGCGATTTTCAATTAATAAAAAAATATATTTTCAATGATTGTAAATAATGAATGATAGCATCAAATTTATACACGGACTGATCAATATAAAATAGGTATGTGGCGTGTACAACCCAATTTCTGTTCCGACTGGTTTTTCCGAAGGAGTTCATTAGTTTGCGGTAGTGACGTCACGAGTAGGCGTCCATTTCGAGAACATCAGACGACGTCGCGATGCCATTTAGCAATAGGCAAAACATGTCTGACTTACAATCTATGCTAGGAGTTGGAAATGTTTTCCCACTTGCTAAATTTCATCGCAATGTCTAATGATGACCTTGAAATTCGCCAATAGTAATCGATAATTCAATGGTTGAACAGGATTGCCGTTCCAATTGATGCAAACACCAATAATTCGACAATCGGGTCGATTATGTTTTGCAAATAGCAATGTGGTTGTAGAGAAGATATTGCTATCACAGCAAGATTCGAAAAATTGAAATTCTGATCGATTTTGGGCAATATAATCCGTTAATTTCAATGATATCTCGCTACTCTCGCTAGTTTTCTTGTGCTTGCTATCTCATAACAAGGTTGAAAATGACAATGAATCTTTTGTTTTGCATTATAATTTCTTCCAAGATGTTCTAAACTTGACAAAAAAGTCATAAACATAGTACTTCATTCTCATATACTCAGTCGTATTACCTATATGATAAACGTTTGGGGATCTTGGTCAAAAAATTATTTCAGTAAAATATCTGCACTCTTATTTCTGACTGGAAGCTAGTTTTTCAATAAACAATAAACTAACTACTTGAAACCTTGACGTTGGTTTCAATTTGCAGAGGAATTATGAGAATACAATTTCGGCATATCAGATCTGAGACACCAGCAATCCATTTACGTTGGCTGATGAGAAGTAGAGAGATACTTCCACCACTTGTACAACCACGACCAATTACAAACAATCTGTCAATTTGAGTAATATAATTTTGAAAATGTCACTGCAAGATAGATGAATTTGGGAGGTTAGATAAAAATAAAATCTCCTTCATCATAAAATAATAGCAGTAACATTACCTAACACTTAACAAACGAGTTCAAAACAGTGTTGTCAGCACAAAAATTTGCCATTTTTTCAACAATATTGCTAATACTTCAACTTATCTTATAACCTGTCTTGCAGTTACCCAAACAGAATACAGAATTGCATACCAATATTGCTCTATGTTATTCTCATATTTAGGAATGTTATAACAAGATCCGAACCGATTCGACCGGAATGTTGGCGTGTTTTTATCTGATATTACAAAATCGAAAATATTAATATACTTATCTTATTTTTATTGAAGGTGGACCTGTGGAACATGTTCTTCAGCAACCTGTTGAATCAGCATACGGGTCCCGCGGATTCGGCAACGTTGCAGCTGATCCTCCAAGAGACTTTGGATTCTTTGAACAGGGATTCGAGTACGGCGTTGCCGACGCATATGCGGACGGTAGTGAATTTGCTTAAAAATCGATAGTTGTTCCAGTTTACTTAGGCCGTTATTACGAAATTAATATTTATGTAATTTTATTTAAGGTACCTAATTAATTGTTTAGCTGTATTTTTTAAAATATTATTTTTACAACAACACATATGGCTGTTTCCTTTTTTGTTTTCAATTAGGTTTGTAAATGATATAGTTTCTCTCAGAGATTATAGTAATATGCATATGAAGTCGAACTTTTAATTATTAATTCCTTCTTTCCCTGACAATTCAATTCGAGGTTTCTATTTTCACCATTCACCAAGTAATTCCACTGATTTTGAAGATTACCCGAAAATATTGAAAAATCTATCGTCCTCGTCGCATATGTATCCATTACCATTTATTTTCATGGTTTGGGATAGTTCTGGATGTCCTGAAAAAGCATATCTCTTCCGAGTTTCAGACATAGTTCCATTTGAAATTGTTAAAACTGGTATGGAAGATTGCTGAAGACATTGAGAAAAATGTTTCTTTTATGGGCAGAAAACTCACTTTTGCTAGAACTTCAGTAGTTCTTGTTTAGACAATCGAATTGATCAATGAAAAAAATCGATTTTCGTGGTCAAAATACGTGAATCGATTCAGTTTCGCCAGAACTTTAACAGTTCCTATGATATCGACGAACGAAAAAAATTCAGAGCAAAGTGAGGTCAAAAATTGCAACTTTTTTATTATGAAAGATAGAGAGCTGTGCTTCTGCTCTGCACTAGGGTATCCCTTAAGGACCCTGTATACCAAATTTGAAGGCCCTACGATAAAGTTGATTTTTTGGTCTGAAAATGAAAGAAGGTTAACCCCTTTGAACTTTTTTCACAAATTTCGAGGTGTTAGAATGAGCTGAAAATTGGCATACAGGGTGTTCTCGATACGCTGATCAAGAATCCGAAGTTGGTTTTTCCATATATCTCTCGGTTTCCTAGATAATTGCACTCAAAAATGAAAAAAATGCGTTCTAATAAATCGCTGAAATGATGGCAGACAATCCATTTTGGTGGTCAAAATACGTGAATCGACGCAGTTTCGCCAGAACTTTAACAGTTCCTATGATATCGACGAACGAAAAAAATTCTGAGCAATGTGAGGTCAAAATTGCAACTTTTTTATTATAAAAGATAGAGGGCTGTGCTTCTGCTATGCACTAGAGTATCCCTCGAGGACCCTACTGTATACCAAATTCGAAGGCCCTACGATAAAGTTGATTTTTGGGTCTGAAAATGAAAGAAGGTTAACCCCTTTGAACTTTTTTCACAAATTTCAAGGTGTTAGAATGAGCTGAAAATTAGCATACAGGGTATTCTCATTACGCTGATCAAGAATCCGAAGTTGGTTTCTCCATATATCTCTCGGTTTCCTAGATAATTGCACTCAAAAATTAAAAAAATGGGTCTAATAAATCGCTGAAATGATGGCAGACAATCCATTTTGGTGGTCAAAATACGTGAATCGACTCGCAGTCTCACCAGAACTTCAACAGTTCCTATGATATCGACAAACGAAAAAAATTCAGAGCAAAGTGAGGTAAAAAATTGCAACTTTTTTACTATGAAAGATAGAGAGCTGTGCTTCTGCTCTGCACTAGGGTATCCCTTAAGGACCCTGTATACTGTAATTTTCATATGAGAATCTGAATGACTGGCCGTGAAGAATGAAAGTTATAGAACTAGAACAGACAGACAAAAACCGAGTTTATAATCGCGTTCAGTGTAACGACAACACCCTGTTTACACATTTTCAGATCAAAAAAATAAAGAACAAAGGTTTGCCGTTCTGTATTTCGAAGTTTTTTCATTCGTGAATTGATCCCGAAACAACATTTGAACTACTGTAGGTCAGTGGATAGCAGTGGGTAGTTCATACCGTTCATACCCAGTTCATATGTCATATCTCATTTATACAATTAAGGTTATGTTTTGATTATTTTATTTTGATTTAAAAATGTTTAGTATTATGAAGGGAATATCACAAGTTTCTAGATGTATTTTCAACATCACGGTCCCAAATGAAGCTTCTTATTCGAGGATATGTTACAACCAAACCCGAAACTACAGTAAGTAAACACTGCTCTATACTCACCCGAACTGATGTCCAAATATTCAAACAATTCAGGTGCAGCATCAAAGAGATTTTACAAAAAAACAGGAATTTTACGTAGCGACGGCAAATTCGAAGTTACATTGGATCAGAGGAGACTAAAGACGCCGAAAGGTGCTGTATTTTCTGTTGAAAGTGAACCTTTAGCTTTAGCTGTTGCAACAGAATGGGACACACAAAAAGATACTATACAGAGAAGTAAAATGCACCTGGTTAGTAAACCCAGTGAAGAATCAAAAGTTCACAATAACATTGAAGATTTTTTTCAGACAACCTTGTGTAATACAGTGATTGATAATCCCAACAATTCCACCAAATATGATATTGTGAATTACATCACTGATTACTTGGATACTGACACAGTATTATTCCAAGCAAATGTAAGTTAAATACCTCAACATGACAACAAAGAAAACTGATTAAATACTGGGACTTTTCAGGATGAGGAAGAATTATTAAAATTCCAAATCAATGAGTGGGATCCAGTGATAGAATGGTTCAATAATAGATTCAATGTGAACATACAAAAATCTGTTCAAATGGATTTACCTCTAGTCAGTGAAAATGATAAAGCTACATTAAGGAAGCATTTAATGTCTCACAATTTTGCAGCAGTGAATGGCTTCATGTATGGGGTTGACACATTGAAATCAGTGGTGCTTACACTTGCTTGTACTGAGAGATTTATTTCCACTGAAAAAGCTGTGTTACTGTCACGCTTGGAAGAGGAATACCAGACAGGCCATTGGGGTAGAGTAGAATGGGCTCATGATCTGAGTCAACAGAGTTTGCAAGCTAGGTTGTCAGCTGTTGTACTTTTTGTTTATTTTAATTCACAGTTTCATAGTTCACAAGCCAAAACAACTAGGTAGGTAAATACTCATATTGTAACTCATCAAGTATATGTATGTTTACAGAATTAAAATCAACTCTTTATTATGGAGGTCTTTTTTACTTTTTAATACAAATGGAGTTCATGTTTCTCCAAAACTAGGATGCATGTATTGTAGAAACACCTATTGTAAAAACCAATAATCTGCACTACATTAAAAGCATAGTATTGTAAAAAACCAACTAAGTCTTTATCTATTGTTTTTTCAATACATGATCTCACATGAGGCTTAATGTTTTGCAAAAATGCAATACATTGAGTCTTGTTACTCTTTTTGCAACAGATTGATTTTCTTCTTCCTTTCGATTTGTATGGCCTTAGGTACCTGGGCTATGTGGCCAAAGGAGTTTTCAGGTTTCCATCTAGTTTCGGTTATCTTTTTCTTCTTCTCAATCTTCTCTACTTATCTTGAATCATAGAATGCATAATATTTTTGAGTTCTTGATGTCCAGATGTCAAAAGTCAAAAACAACTGAACGAACCCCTATATATCTATATATATATATATCAAAATTCCGAGAATGTATAAAATAAAAAAGGTATTTGAATAATCTGTATTTCAACATTTCAGAGTACTGGTACTGATAGGTAGAAGTGAGGGACAATTGCAAACATTTTATAATTACAGAGGTATTCCATGAGCAGTTTGCCCCTTGGTATGGAAATGAGCTATTTTTCTTGTACAAATTGAAATAGGTATATATAGCTTCTAAATGAGTAGTGTTCTAAGAAATTAGAAAGGTGGATTTGTTCTAGGATGTGATGGTAAACTCACCTCACCATTTTGGCAGTTTTATATAATAACTAAAGGGCATAAGGGTGTGAAGAGAAAACTAGAAAACTAACAGTTTTAATCTTACCTTTCATAAAAGGCGAATAAAAATATTAGATTCTCGTTCAACGCATTTCAACGGCTTTAACGTAGATCATAGATGAAGTCACAAGTCATCAGTGATTATTTTAAACTTTGAACTCTCTGCTATAGAGGTCCACAGGCAAAAAAAAAGGAAGAAGTCATTATCTTTTTCTTCTCCAGCATTATTTACCTTTTTAGATCATTGTTTTTACCATTTTACCATGTTTTTCATGAGGCTTATGCAATACATTGAAATCAATGTATTGCAGAATAGTATATTATGTAACAAGTGTTATAAACGTCCTTTTAGTAACGAGTAGTTTAAGCACGAGCGGAGCAGAGCGGAGCGAGTGTTTAGTAAACGAGTGTCTAGAAGAGTTTATAAACGCGTTACATACTATGATTTTTCTACGAACTCCAAAAATTACATCAATTAACATACCTGCTATTCCTGCTAACCTACAAAATAATTCGAAAGGAATGGGAATTGAAAAACATAATACATACAACTGCATGCAACCAGCGAGACACGTATAAGTGATATTGGTTGTAGATCTGTCCAGTCCATTGCTTGCTAACCTTTGTTTCACGTTTATTGTCATGCTTAGCGCAGAATAAATAAATTGTTATCAAAGATGGATGCTTCATTTTTACACTTCTTGGAGATATGCAAGTACCAGAACATTCTCTTCGATTTCACTTTCGTCTACTTTTCGCATATATGTTTAATGAAGAATTCTGATGCAAACGAATATTGTTCGAATAATTCTGATTCAAAATATGAAAATAACAGTTGACAGTTGATACAATTGACAGGCCAGACATGTCTCGAACTACTGAAGCTGTGTTTAATACTAGCGGATACACAGAAACTATCTGCAAATCGTCCCGAGTGTATGAACCAATCAGAACGATTCTAGCTATGGCGGTGCATTCAAAATGAATCGTGATTGAATCCGAATCTTTTCGAGAAAAGAAAATAGGATGAAGTGGAAAATTTCAATCATATAAAAATATAGTATTCAACAAAATTAAATGGATTGAGTCTATTTATCCTTAACAAACTAACCTATTCCTAATTGCAATATTTTTTGAGGAAGGAAAACCAGAATGAAGTAAATACACATTGATCAATGATAAGTCAAGTTTGTCAACAAAATTGAATAAAATGAGACTGTTTATCCTAAACGCACTAACCTATTCGACATTCGATATTTTTTGAGGAAGCTAAACCAGAATGAAGTAGTACGAAAGCTCTGAAGGGACATGGTGAGATATTTTTTAAAAAAATATCTCCTACATTTTCTTAGCATAAAAATGAGGGAGATATTTTTTTATCTCAATATAATGAGTTAGCTATCTCATTATAATGAGATAAAAACAAAATTATATTTCTTCATGTCCCTCCAGTGCTGTTATAAAAATGTGAAAAATAATTTTAAAAAAATATCTCCTATGTCCCTTCTGTGCTGCATATAAAAATGTGATAATTTTTTCTGGGTCTGCTGTGTTGCCAAGTGTATTTGTATAATTTCTATGAGCTCGCACATGCGTGCAACGTTCGTGTTTACATATCATGTGATTCATGTGACCAATTGGGAGACGGAATATATTTTGCTCTTTCCCCTTGATCACATCTGATCCCCCTTCCCTTTATGTGGCTTCACCTTCCTCCCTTCAATTCAAAAGTTCGATGTGGTTCGACTCGTAACTCATAAATGTCATAAGCATAGATAAATTACTCTCTTTTGTTAATGGTCATAAGTCATAAACAAACTAGGTACACTTTGACTACTGTTGGAAACATTGAGGCTTTGTACATAATGACGAAAGTTGTTCGATGATAATCAAAAATGTTTGAATGAGATGACAATGGTAGATTAGAAGTTGATTGAACAATCAGAACTAATGTCTGCTGCCTAGTGCTGATACCATCCTGGTGTTGAAAATGGGAGCAAAAGAAGCAAGGATAGAAGACTGATAGAAGCATGATGGGATAGAAGTTATGGTTTTACATTCTATAGACGAATAAACATTTGAAATATTGTATTCTCTGCCTGAATTCACTAGAACAGCAGAAGGTACTGTTCCTATGAAATGTGAGAAAGTAAAAAAGAAACATAATATGAATCATATTCTTTTCAGTTGTTGATTAATCAGTTGAAGAATGTTCTCAGACAAAAAATTAGATATGGTCTGGTCTATGTACACCCCTGATATGTTGAAAAAACAAATTTCATCACCACTCAGAGCTGGAAGGTACCAGTAAATAAAGGGTCCAGTAATGACAAAGGTGAGGAAAATATACCTACTCTTGCACATTTATTGTTAATGTCTCTGTTACTTGACTAATCACTTTTAAATGATATATTTGCTTATCAATTTGTTACTTTACATCTATATTCTCATTGTAGAGAATGGCGACACTTCCAAGAAGAACAGAAACCCCCTGAATAGCAAGTTGATAATATATGGAGTGCTACAAAAATAGAACTTGCTGAAATTTAGAAGGCTGCTTTTATAGAAGATCATCAGCTCAAACTCAAGCATTTGCAAGTAAAACCATGAACAGAAATGATGGAATCTACAGAGAGCAGAGATTGTGGATAAAATAAAATCCTGAAAAGAAGAACATATGAAATAAACATGACAATTCTTCCAGAAGAGAATAGATTACTGAAATAATGTTATTTTTGTATTTAGGTGTTATCTTTTCAATTTAATTAAAAATGTATATACATCACAGGTATCTTTCATGCCTTGTATCTAAGTTATAAAGGTTTTTTTTACTTATTTCAGATGTTTATTGTCAACAATCATGAATTAATGTAGGTATAAGAGATACATCATCCATACATTTGCAGGTTTTACAATGTTTTACTAATTCCTAATAATATATGAAAATAGAATGTTGAAGTAGTAAGTATTGGAACCATAATAAAAAATTGAACATATTTATTTTATCTTCAGCATTTATTCACATTAAGTTGGCAGAATATTTGTGTATGTCCATTGTCCACAAAATCTACAACAGCTTCCATTTCCTCATCATCTGGAGGTGCAGCATCTCAATTTTCCAACTTGGCTCTCAAATTAGAATTTCCAAAAAATATAAGCATCATGAGTAGCTCTAGCCCAGCAGCACACAAGGTTCAGTATTTTCAGCTCAGCATCACTCTGCTTGTGCATTGAGAGAGAACAAACCCTTTCAATTAAGATAATTTTCAGCTTGTGGTCCACAGTCTACCTCTCCAGTACATTTTGGAAATCTACCAATATTAAAGTAACCTTGTCTGGTCTGCTCAATGTGTAGGTACAACTAGGTCTAGCAATTGTTCTTGTCACTTAGCGTACAACTTGCTGTAGAATTAATCAATTGAAATCACATGTAACTTGCAAAATGGATCCTGTTGACATATACCATATACCACAATGTTACAAACACTTTTATATCAGGTGTGAGAACATGGTTCCTGAAGAATTAAAATTATATAACAATTGCAGATATTTCAGCATGAAACTCACTTTCAATCTTGGACATAATTTCTTCTGAGAATCTCACAGTTCGTTTTTCTAACCATAACCTACATTTGAACTCAATATCAGACCATATTTCAAAAGTGGCTGGGTCTATTTCTGAAGGTCTTCTGGGATGTAACCATGATGTAACAATCCATTCACAATTTGCAAAAGGTCTTCATCATCCGTTAATTCTCCAATCTCCAAGTAAATGCCTATCAGCTACCAGCGATTAGGGTATTTTGTTCATTTCAATCATTTCGAAAAATAAAATACAAGTATTCCATAAAAAAATGAAATTTTAAATGAAGCAAATGATTCTGTGACCAAAGACTATGACATTCTGTTCTGACATTGGGCTGTAGTTTCTGACTCTCTGCTTAATCTGTGTTCTGTGGATAAAATCAATGACGGCTAAATATCTAGAGTGTCTGACGGGTTAACCGGGATAAAATGCTAACTTGGAACAAGAACTCAGATTCACAGAAGCCCCTAATTCGGGGTTCGAGTAGTTTGATCATAGTTAGATGTTGCGCGCGGAAGACCGGAAGTCTCAACTGAAGTTTTAGTTTTCTCTGAGGCTATAGACACGTTGATGTGTCTGTAATTCAATTTTTACGGACACGTGAACTGACGTCAATCGTGCACGGAGAACTGCTAGATGTTCTTCTCTCTTCGTAGCAATCTCTGGCGTTAGCGATAGCGACAGCGTGTTGGGATGTCAACC